TGATAGATAGTGCATGCTTGGCCATTTGAGAGGTACTATGTGAGTTGACAGGTGCTGTTGCTTTGGATGAGCCAGTTAAACAATGGCACTGAGCTCAACGTGACTGTGTCACGGGCCCACAGCAAATGATTCGCATTGATCAAATTAGGCTTGCATCTTACTTCATTCTATTGATTAGATCTGCTAATAGACTACTTCAGACACTCTTGACCAGGTGTGAAAGAGAAATAGCAACTAGGCTGGTTAGAAACTAGCACTACTTATCCAAATAGGCGCGAGTGTAGTATTTCGACCCAAGAGGACTGCTATTGAAGCAACTCCCTACTAATATGCAAGGGAAGTGATGGCATGAAGGACTAAAAACCTATAGCGACCTAAGACCAAAAACCAATGAGTAGCGCTATAGCGATCAGCGACAAGTGAGTTCTGACAGAGAAACGTGCGTATAAGTGAGAAGCGCTATGCAAGTTTTTTTATGCAATAGCACTATGCAACGTCCAACTAGCAAAAGCAAGAAGAAATCAAAGGGAGCGAAAGCGAGGAGTAAGATAAGACAGTGCAAGTGAAATGCCTGATAGCAAATAGATTATAGCTCGACTACTGATAGTGATCCCGACATTGCAAAGTCAAACTTAAGAGGGAACTTTAGCGACGCACACTTAAAGCAAGTCAAGCAACACGCAATCAAAGAGATTGGCAAGAGTGGAATCAATTGCACCAAGACTAGGATATAGCGACTAAAGTGACTCCGACACCAGCAAAGGTCCGGGGAAGGGAAGTACTGTACTGTATGTGCAACGGGTCATTTTATCATACTGCATAAGGGTTCGGAATTGTGTGGGCGAGTATAGTAGCGACACTGGCAAGGGCACAATGTAGCGACAGGTAATAAAACATGCAGTGCTGCGGAACACAAGGATACATGTAATAAGACCTGCGACTGATGAGTAGTGACATTTAAGGAAAAATAATGCACCAGTGGAGGTAGGTGGACATAGGCAGGACATGGGAGGACAGAATACCTAGGCGTCGGACCGGGGTAGCACGCTATGGGAGAAAAGTGGTTCCAAAGTGGATAGCTTGGGAGTTTGATAGTGCTGGTGACTAGCAGCTTTACTCTTTTCCTCTAGGCAAGGCAGAATATGCCTATGACACTCATATGCGCCCAGCACTGGTATGATTGTCACACCGGCATTGCTGTGGCACGTTGTTGGCTTGTGGGATCACTTGTGGAGCTTGACAATATGATAAGTGGAGGTCATGACTATATATTTCGACACTCCGAGAGAGAGGTGAAAGGGAGTACATTATTTGTTGCACAAAACAATGAAATTCACACTACAAAACATAACATCATGTTTTCAGATGAAATATTTTTAGTATACAGATGTTGGTGGTATGTAGTTGTGCATGAAATACAAAATATCCAACAAAAATTATGACTGAAATGGTGCGGGATCGAGTGTTATCTGACTCGAACCCAAATGATGGTGGAAACTCAAATGACGGTGTATTACTGTAGATGTATGACAATTTTTGGTCTCATTGAAGCACTGTATGTTTTTTTCCCGTCACATTTACCACATGTCACATTTTAGCAAAAACCAGTGTAACGGTCACATTGAATAGCTTCGATTCAGAGCGCGGTGTGACGCGTGACAAATTTAGTGTTGTAACTCTACAGTAATAGGACGAAACGCACACATTGTTCCGTCAAACAGACTCAGCTCGAGTTTGCTTAACCTCCGAGTTCCAACAGTCTCGCATCTTACAGGATATCCTAGAGGTCTCTGGTCATGACTAATGCTTAGTATCTCGTCTTCTATGTCTTTTTTTCCTGTAGTTATGTAAGCAACCGAGGCTACAATGAACGCAAGTACTCCACGGGACTTTCCTAGCCGCCGGCAGCTATGAACATCGGCACTATGTCCGGATGTGTCGCGTTGTCGCCAGGTAAGCTTGCAAAGGCCCCGAAATATCCAAAATTATTCGTACTGGCAGGGAATCACTCAAACGCACTCTACTTAGACCGGACACACCGCACCGGTACAGTGGTACATCTAACAAGTTTGACAACGTGGGAGCCTCAGGTGATCCGATACCGACGGCTTGCCTCACAGACGGGCTGGTCACGAGTCTACGGAGAGGCACCAATGATGAAATCGGGCACTGAGATCAGATCTCTGGCTTGCGAGAACCTTAAGTCAGCCTCGTCTCTAGCTCGATGCTTGAAGGCTAAGGATTTGGTAGGGAAGGCAGTACTCTCTGGCTTGATGCTTCACTGTCACATTTTTATGCATCAAGGTCCGTGTCTAAACTGAAGCTTCAACACTACAGGTGCAGGTGTATTGTAGGACGCGAGCCGATGTCAATACATCGCTCGCCCTTGTCCATTTTGGCTTGTGCTCGTACCTCTCACTCACTCTCCGTTCCATCTTGGATCTCTCAGATTCCAACATATATTACTTTAAATAACTTTCTCATCTGTTCACCGGTTCTCTGATGGCAGTAAGTAAGTAGAGTGCAGTTCCCCTTGTTTTCCCTCGCCGGCATTGCTTATTTTAGCGCAATCTGTTTCTTACAATTGCCTCTGCCACGGGTCTCAATACGCCGCGTGCCACATGGGTCCTTCATACCACATGAGCGCTTGATAACACGTTATAAGAATCACTGATCCAGTGGACTTCGTCGTCCTGTTACTGGCTACATCTCTTAACCACCATGTCTGACGGGCAAGCAGAAGTCGAGAAATTTGGCAGCGGTAGCAGCGAGGACTCTGGTTCTCAGCGCGCCGAAATCTTTGACCGTCCGACGGGATGGAGGGCATACTACTACCACCCCGCCGCACAGATTTCGATGTTGGGATTAGTGTGTTTCGTGTGCCCCGGCATGTTTAACGCACTTAGTGGTCTTGGAGGTGGTGGCCAGGTTAACGCTAAGGACCAGGCCAACGCTAACGCGAGCCTGTCCGCGACTTTTGCTTTTTTTGGGTTCTTTTCCGGGTAAGGTCATCACTGTCGCTTTTGCCTATAGTGATTAATATTATTGTTGCAGTACGGTCAACAATGTGATTGGTCCTCGACGGACTCTGATGCTTGGCACCTGGGGCTACTCGTTGTATATTGCTGCCTTCCTGTAAGATGCCTTATCATTCGATCAATAGTTCTTCTCAAACATTGCCCTTTAGCGCTGTCAACATTCATGCTGGTGCGGGTGATTTTGTTGTTGCATCTGGTGCCATCCTCGGCGTCTGTGCGGCTTTTCTTTGGAGCGCGCAGGGCTCGCTGATGATGTCATACCCCACTGAGGCTCAGAAAGGCATGTACATTGGTATCTTTTGGGCCATCTTCAACCTTGGAGCGGTTGTCGGGGCTGCTGTTGCGTTTGCACTCAATTTCAACAATACGGTGGGTGAAGTATTACATTTGTGAATCTGTGGACGCTCATATCCTCCATTGAAAGGCCAACAGCGGTAAGGGGTTCAATATTGCTATCTCAGCGCGGAACTGAATGATTTTGTTGTGTCCAGTTGGCAATGGAACATATGTAAGTCATTAGATCCGTTATTGCTAACAGAAATTGATGGTTCATTAGGTTGGCTTCTTGATTCTGACTCTCATCGGTGTATTTCTCCCGCTGTTCATGGCGGACCCAGACAAAATGGTCCGCACAGACGGAACTCGCGTGAACCTGGTCCGCCACCCATCCTGGAAGACGGAGTTTTTAAGTCTGTTCGTAGCCCTGAAGACAGACCCTTGGATTATACTCCTCTTTCCGATGTTCCTTGCCAGCAATTACTTCTACACCTGGCGTTCGTATATTTCTTCTTAGGATCAGTGTGGTTACTGACAGGTCATACAGAATTCAATGATTACAATGGCGCATTATTCACCATCCGTGCTCGGGGTCTCAACAACTTCATGTACTGGACATCACAGATCTTTGGATCCGTTTTCATTGGTTACTTTGTCCTTGACCAGACGAAGGTCCGGCGTAGAGTCCGTGCCTTCTACGGTTGGGTCCTCGTGTTCCTCATGATTTTTGTCGTCCACACCTGGGCATACTTTTACCAAAAGTAAGTCATCTTACCGCACCGCACGTCCAAATTCACATCAATGCGATCCTTAGGACATATACGCGGTCTGAGGAGGCTATGACAGGTGCTTACAAAATCGATATCTACGACTCAAACTTCCCTGCCCATGTTTGGCTCATGATTTTCTATGGACTCCTGGATTCGATGTGGCAGACATATGCATACTGGCTGATGGGCGCAATGTCGAACGATCCCGCCAAGCTGGCCGTGTTCGCTGGCTTCTGTGCGTATTGGCCCTGAATCGGAAGTACGAGTTCGATACTGATCAAGAACCCACACAGACAAGTGCATGCAAAATACGGGTGCAGTAAGTGTCTGGGCTGCCGATGGTGCTAGTGCCCCGTAAGTTTATTATCCCTCCGTTTTGCGAAAAAACCGCTGGATTGATGATCGATGATTTCAGATACATGAACATTTTCCTGTCAACGTGGTGTCTCACAGTCGCCGGCATGATCTTCGCCGCACCAATGGTGTACATTCGCGTCACTGACCACACGGATATTGAGGATGAGGTTCTGTGAGTGTCCATGACGACTGATGGACCTGTCACTGGTGTTGACCTCTATGGCAGGATGCACATTGAGGGCGTGGAACCGATTGAGCCCCCAGTGGTGGTTACGACGGCGCACGCGTAATATCACGATACTAATGTATTGGTCACGAACAGCTCCGAGTCTATGCTTTGATTATTATCTTTTGGTTTTCATGGTAAGGTATTTAACGATCAATAACTTGTCTTTAGTTTTCTGTACACTTAATGGTGATTCTGCTGTCATTTCAAGTTGAAGGTTCAGGTCATGTCATCCCCTCGTGCTGAGATGTTGGTTCCTCGAAACGATGTGTTAATGTCGTCCCATGCAAACTTCGGACACACCCAAGTAAGGACTCTCCACTACACTTACATGGCACCGTGTGATTGCACAGATAAAATGTGGTTGCTTAATCGATTTATAATGCTCCAATGTTACAAATAGTAAAAACTTTCGTCTATGACTATCATATGTACAACACCAAGCTGTGGTGCTCATCCCATCATTCAGGTATCAACAACCACTCATATCTTGGTGCGCCTGAAGTGGAAAAAAAAAAACAGAAGTTCAATGCTAAAGCCCAGAGGAATCAATGCACGGGGGAATCAACGAGCTTTAAGCTCGCATTTTGTCACCCCCCAACCTTGGTGCCCAAGTACCCCTCGCCCTCCGCGCCATCTCCTTCGCCTTCCTCCCCAGGCTCCTCCCCATCCTCGTCAATATCTCTCTCCTCCTCCTTACCTCGCCGATCGTCGTCACGTTGCATCTCGTCCCGCATTACCGCCACATCCTGGTCAACCTTGGGGACGACTCTGTCAATCCCGGCCTCCGCAAGGGAGACGTGCATGCGGTTCTTGGCAAGATGAGCGGAGCGCTTCGGGGGCCGCTTGAGCCGGCGGCGGGCAACCATGACCGGCACGGAGCATCGCTGATATAGTGTCAGGATGAGAATCTCGTAAGAGCTATGAAAAGACTTACTTGAATGAGATAGTGTGATGTTGAGCCCAATAGAATGCTATGGAGAGGGTGACACTGGTTTAGTGGCGTGATGCAGCCACCATCGTGTGCACTTACCCCTTAATCTGACCTAAGCCTCTGGACCCCACAATCAGCATCGTGGGTTCGTTATAGTCAACAATATCAAGGAGCATGTGGCGTGCATTTTTAGAGTGCCATGCTTGGCAGGATACGGTCACGTGCAAGTGCGTGCGCTGCAAGAGTGACGTTGCTTGACGGACAAGGATGTAGGCAAGGCCTTGACGCTACGCCCCGATATAAGTTCACAATAAAATTGATATGAGGTCTATCTTACTTCCTGTTGGGAACGAAGTCTGGTGGTGCGATCCACTTGGTTGGGGATCGGCGGGTCGACTGCAATACGTAAATTAAAACAAGGTACGAGCATATGTTCAAGGTGCCATTACCTTTACTCTCGTTCTCGACAACTGTAACGATGAGCCTGTACCATAAATTTGACAGTGCACCACGACAAGGGTGAGAACACTTACAGATGATCACCGTCTCGAACCACTGTGCCGATACCCCACTCAACAGCATAACGACTCTCCTCGCTGAGGTCACTAGCAACAATGTACATCCGCCTCCGTCTTCCTGATGCCTCCGGATCGCCTTGGGTCATGGTGATCGTGCACCTATCACGCTGGAATAGTGGACGATCAGTCTTCAAAGGAAGAGTTTCATGATGCCGGGACTTCTTTCGCTTAGGGGCCCCACGTTTGCCTTTTGAGGTGAAGCTCGACCGGTTCAGAGTAGAAGGAAAATAGGGTTCGGGTGGCACCACGACATTGACACCTTCACCCAATGGGTCGGGATCCATAGTGACGTCATCGGGGTCTAGCTCTCCCATTGACATCTCATGGGCAGCAATAAGCGCATTCTGCTCCGTGTTCCTCTCGGTAACGAAATCAAACATGCCATCTTCACTCCAATCATCTTCTTCATCTTCCGTTTCTTCTCCAGCGTACTCCGAACCTGAATCCATATCATCTGTGAAAGCATTGCGAGGCCGGACGGCAAGTCGTCGTGAGATGACAGAGTCACAGTCCGAATCTTCGAGAGGCAGAGGAGCGGGAGATGCATCGCGATCGCGAGGACGGAAACGGCGTAGACTGAAGGGAGATGACGAGCGAGCACGAATAGGATTCTTTGGAAGCTACTGATGCTGTAGTCCTTGTCTTTGTCCTTGTCTTTTGTGATAAGACGGGAGTACAAAAGACGAGGAGCGAGGTTTTCGTTTGCGTCCGCGAGTTTCCTTGTCTTTGTCTTCATTCGTTATCGTGCGAGACAAAGAGAGCGCGGAAAGACCCCCCATCATGGAATTAAAAGATATCTTCCCGAAGGATCCGGCGGAGCGAGGTGTCAGTTCAGGTGATTTCACGGCAGATGCCAAGGGGGCCGATATAGTAGACGACGATGATGCGGCATTCTGTGGCGAGGCTTGGTCATCTTGCTGTAGATGAGAAACAGAGGAGTGAGGAGATGAATGCAAGGAAAGTAAATGAGATAAGGAGGAAATGGAGTTGCGTCTCGGTGTGCTAGGCCGCGAAGTCTTTAAGCCTGACTCACAGCTCGCACCTGGGTCTGCAGAATGGATGGTCTGCTCGCTCTGCTCGCATTCCTCTCTGGAAGACGCCAACCCTGTGTCCAGGTGAAGAGTTGGTCTGGCCACTTCCTTGGTACCATCCCTCTGCGGACCGTACCATGCTAGCCAGCGTCTTGGACGCACGCTAGGCTCAGTAGTGGCAGACATAACCAAGACAAGAAAGCAGCGACTGAAATGGTTCGATTCAAACAAAGGGTGGCGCTTACCTGAGTCGCAAGGGATTTCTTGAGATCGGTGGCTGCGTCGTTCGAGATTGATGTCTAGAAATGGCGAGAGGTTCGCGGAGGAAGATTAGAGGTGAAATGTACACGGGAGCATGACAGCGTCTTGGCTGACACGCCCAGCACTCACTTTTGCTTCTTTTCCCCCGTTCATCCTTGTTCCCGCTCTAGTCTCGTCTAGAGCCTAATATCAGGTTAGATCTGCAGATAAACTGTATCCTCGAGTTTATGACACGCCTGCTGTTAGATATTTATCCGCGTTGGTTGCTGTTATGGTGGTGCTATTGTTGAACTCGTTCGCTATCACTCGGTGGGCAGTGCAAGGGGGATGCCTAAATCAGTAAACCCCACACACGTGGCTTTCCCAATTCATATACCAACCATGACACAACTATTTATTGTACTCGTTGCGAGGACCTCTCTGCTGTGACACGACTACTTAATGTGTATTGTACATGAGGACATCACTGCTTCGGCTCATTCCTTACAGGTTCGCGTTAGCAACTGTCCCAAAAACTTCCTCTAAGAATGCATCGGAATTCGGCGATCGACCCAGGAAATCCTGTTCCATCACATCAGCTACTACCCTCAGAATGTATTGCAAGGATGTGACACACCTCAAGCGAGTCCGTTTCATCGCGGCTACCTCCTACAAAGAGAATTTTGTCCCTGTAAAGCTTGCCCAAAGCAGGATTCAATGGATCCTTCTTGAAAACTGTCGCATACATGTCCGCGGCAAATACGAGAGAGTATGTGTACCTGGTTATCACATTCGCCCGAGTGTCGGTTTCAGTCGGTGACCCATCAGAATACAATGGCATGACTCACCCATAGTAACCTGCATCATAGCCACCGACGATATGTCCAAAGGTGCCTTGTCCTGGCTGGGCTTTGCCCCCTTTCACGAGCGAGATCGATTCACGTAGGTCATTCCAGAGTTTGGTGTAATCTGCCGCCTCTGTACAACATCCCATCAGCCCTGCAAGCCAAAATAATAACACATGCATCCAACCTTTATCCACGTGCACTTTGAGATCAAACTTGGCAAAGAACAGTTGCCGAAGGTAAAATAACCCAACGTTTACGTAGCGGCTGTGTCACTGATCATCTTTCATTCTAGAAAACCTTAAGATGAAACATACCTCCTTATCAGCTTATCTATCAAATCCGGCGACAGCGGCTCCTGTGTCTTGTAGTGGCTAGACATTTTCTCGAGCACTTTGGGCTCCCAGCACCTGTTCCATGCCGTCAGCACCCTTCTGATAGCACATTCCTTCAAGATCAATCTGTCCAAAACACGCACCAATTTTCGAGCATTTGCGACGGCGCCTCAACAAAGTCTCTTGCCACGGATGTACCGTGAAATCGCGCGTACTTCGTCCGACTCAGTAATCCATGGAAAACATGGCCCATCTCATGGAAGAATGTTGTTACGTCGTCGTGTCGCATTAGAGCGGGCCGCTCGGGAGTTGGCTTAGCGAGATTCGCAACCATTGCCGTCAGCGGGTAGTGACGCTTGCCCAATGGTAGCTCATAGCCCGGGAGAAGGCCCCATACAGCTGCGTGAGAATATTTTGCGGCTGGCAAATAGAACAAGGTTCAGCGAGGACAAATCAAAATACAAATGAAGCATCGTTCCCTTACCGCGGGGAAACAAATCAAGGTAGCAATATCCTACAAATGCAGATTCATCTTTGGCATCCATGTCCCACACAGCGAATTGTTGCACTTCTACAGCAAGAATTTAGACAATTGAAAGTTTGTCCAGTACGGCGGGTGCCACGCACCTGGATGCCAGACATCTTTGTTGTCGTTCTTGATCTCAATGAACTTGACTCCAAGTAGGTCCTGATATATCTTCAAGATCGTGGGAACAACGACCGAGACCGGGAAATATTCCTTCACAAGAGATTCGTCGAGGTTGAGTGTCTTCTCGATATAGACGCGGTCATAGTACCTGTCATGATACAATTGAGCGAGGTCCTGTAGCACTGATGAACGTGGTGGTTTACCTGTAGTCCCAGATGTAGAACTCGCCATCAAACGGAAGTCCGCGCTTCTCGTGTTCCTCTTTCTTCAGTTGAAGGAGAATTTTGCGCTCTTTCTCTCCGACAGGGCGCAGCTTCGCCTCGAGGTCATCCAGGAACTAGGGTGCATGTATGTTGGTTTGACAGGAGTAATTGAAAATTTGCCAATCACTCACGTCCGCGGCGTTCTTACCAGACTTGACCATCTTCACTTCGGTGATGTAGTCTGCCCATGTGTCATAGCCAAGCATCGCGGCGATGCGCCGACGGAGGTCAAGCGCCCTCTCAAGTAAAGGCACATTTTGTTTGAGTCGGTCTTCATATCCTTCTTGAGCACTGCGTCGCGTGGCTGGATTATGCGCAGATTTGAACTGAAATATTACTCAAGTAAATCGACAGAAGCTCTTCATGATACCACATACGATTGGGAAGATATCTGGCGTCTTGAAAGTGACATCATAGACTTCTTTTGAGCCCTCAGTGCGCTTGTTGTAGCCCGAGATGACATCACCCGGAACTCCTTCCAGCTCTTCGAGCGTGAACGAGATAAGACCCTATGTATGTTTGAGTGGTCATTATCACGAATCAAAGCAAAATGAGTGATCTCACGTCCTCTTCATTGAAGTTTTTCTACAAATCCTATTAGCATAACGCCTAAACACTGAAGAAACCATACCTACGCTGAAATCCAAGCAAGCTTGCGAAAGCTCCTTCTTCAACTTCATCAGCACCTCACACTCCTTCTCAGGGAGTGCAAGACCAGCTCTCTTGCCATCCAACACCATCTTCTCCACGAGCCTACGCTGCTCGTCGCTCAACTTCTCCCATTCACCTGATTCGCGCAGATTTTTCTCTGCAGCGGCCTTGGCTTTGAATACGTCAAGACGCATGGACTCCTCGACATCGAAATCCCGCTGAAGAACTTCCGCTTGGTTCGAGGCATCTCGGAGTTCTTTGGAAGTGGAGACGTTCTGATAAAATCCGAGAGGCTCGCAAATGATGAGGACCTCTGCCTCTGCATCAGCAAGCGGTAACTAAAGTCGGACGCTTGTCTCAAAATGCGATGACAACTGATCAGAAGGATCACTCACAAAAACCTACGAATCGAATGAGAGATGATCAGTTTGACGATGCACGTAAGACAGGTCACTTACGGTTTCGAAATTGCATTCCGCCTCTGAGAGAGCTGCGACTTTGTCACTAACCGCCTTATTCTGCGCAAGTGCCCGCTTGGTGACACTCAACACTTCTTCCGGAGTATGATTCCACTTAGGAGGAGCCTGTGGCGGAGTCAACGAAGCCATGATAGGATCACTTTCTAATAGCGAGAAAGCAAAGCTAGATTTTGCGTGCGAGCTGCTGGAGAACGATCTTGTGGTCTGTAATCGTGAAAATTGGGTTCGCGGACGACTCTGGCGCAAGCCAATGGATGTCGAGGATAGAGATTGTATCCGTGTGGGGTATTTAAGCGCTGGATTGGAGCTATCAATTTGAATATATGTGCTGTTGCTGGTGTGCGTGACCGACCCAGTATATCTACCGGGATTATGTGCAAACTGCCAAAAACACGAGGATTCTACATTGCGTGACTCTGGAAGTCTGGGACGTGGCAGAAGACAAGTAGACTTGGAGGACGCAGAGCATACACGGGCAATCATTAACCTTCCTGAGCGGTAGAATAAACCCTTATTCTTTGGTCCACTGTCCACGTAATAGTACTAGTGGTAGTTCTAACCGAGTCCGAGTGGGACGGAGTTTCATGGTTTATAACTGTAATTCATCCAGATGGCGCTACTAATTACAACTGCAGGAACAAATGGCTCTTCGATATATAGCTTTCAAAATTTGGGTGCGTTCTAGCAGATACTCGTGTTGTTATCCTGCACGATTAATGTCACTTTGGTTCGTCTCCGAGGATTGTGAGTTTAGCCAACGAACGGGGGTTCTCCGAGTCAATGAAAAATACACGACACAACTCCAACTCCTGCAGGGATCAGACCCAGGGATCGCTGACTCAGTGACTGTATTGCACGCTATTTTTCTAGTAAATCTCGAGTACGAGAATCTTCAGAAGTGTGCGTTGATCAACCCACCATGAGGTCGATCGCATTCGCGACTAGAAGCAAACAGTTTATCCGCTCTCGACAAATTAACTGTCACGTCACGCGCGTGCATCGCTCCGACTCGGATTACTTAAGTACTACACTAGTACTAGTAAGTACTTGCCAGTGGTGAAAAATACCAAACTTACATCAATTGCGTTAGTACTTGTGCCCTGTTCGTGTGCTGCTCCCCTGGAACCCTGTCGGATCACGGTGGTGTTCGGAGACCGGTATGCTCGCGGGAGTTGTCACCCTGGCCTTCAACTTGGGATTGTCACAGGGCGTGTTTTAACAAAGTTTTGGAGCCGACATTTCAATAGCGCGAGTATGCAGCTAGCTGCTTACCTACAATGTGCCGTGAAGACATAAAGTTTGAGCTATATGACTTCGTTCCTATCCGAGTCCCTTGATCAATCGATGTCGCCATCCAGTTGTGAAAGTACTAGATCAGCGACCCTGCTACTTACATTTTGTAATAATAATATAGCCGCATCTGTAGAAAGTACCAACTAGGCCAGATATCACATTGTTTGAATCTATGTCCGGTACGAATTTCTGGTCCAGGAGGGCTGCTCAATTCATTCAGTTCGCGTTCACTTGGGATCCATCTTGAAGCTTGAAGCACCGCTCGTCGCCAAACCTGTCCTAAACGACTCGTACCTACACCTTACAGCGCGCAGCGCCAAAACTTCAAGGTGCAGTAAATCAAGCAGACAGTCTTAAGGCACATCCTAAACTTGAGCAAGACTAGGACCTGACCGTCATCATTCCTAGCCCTAAGCTGCGGCAGACCCGACCCTATCTAAACCTTGTCAAGTAGCGATGTATGATCAATCGATTCCATTTTTGAGTGAGAAATGATTAGACTATGTTGTGTTCACGGACGTCGGACATACTACATATGATATACTCTATAGAAAGGGTCGGGAAAAGGTTCAGGAATATGTTATGGGTCAGGCCCGCTGAGGGTTTAATAGAGTTCCTGGCACCCTGCTCTTAGTCAACCTCGTAACACTCGGTTCCTTCGAACAACTTCAACCCCTGAGCCACGAGCACCCTCTCAGCTCTACTCAACATGTTCGCTTCAACTTAATGTTGCAGAGCGGTACGCCAATATATAATTCGTGTATTCCCGCTACTCGCATGCCTCACTCCATCTTTTCACCCGAGTTACGTCTTTCGACCTGTTAACTTATTATCGTATTTTTAGTGTGTTAGCCTTCCTTTTTGAACACTTTGTATAATCTACTCAATACTATCATATTCACGCCGTTCAATTTTTTTTAAACAGCTGACCTTATCGCAGCGCCACCACGTCACTCAAAATTCAGTGGCACAATGGACACCAGTGCCGTGATTCCCAGCGTTACGTCGCGCATCATGATGCACTGCAGCACCGGCGTCCCGTAGAATCGTACCGTTCATCGTGCGAGTGACAGTACATACTGATCTGAATGGGTTTTCCGCCCCGAGACAATATTACTTCCAAGAAATTTATATGATGCATGTGAATGAGTCGTCCTGACAGGACGTGACATCGCAGGACATCGCGAGCGCCTGGAGACTTATAATTGGATATTGGAGTCTCGAATTTGAAAGCCTGACATATAGCAACGTCGCACCCAGCGATGGCCACGATCGTGTATCTACTATCCACTTGCAGTAGTAGTACTATCAGTACGCCTATACATTGGTCGGAAAAGGCTAGATGCCGACCGGGACATCGGTTCTTATAAACGATACAATTTTACCGCCGGATGGACGGCAATGGAAGTAGTAGGTTACAGCACGACTGTTGGACCCACCTGAATCCAGGGAATTTCTTTAGACTTTGCTATATCACCGTTGATCGCCTCCGAAGTGACTAACAAACAATCCGATGAGTCTTAGGTAACTGGGTCAAGTTGATCTGCTGTTCAAAGCTCAGGCTGAGCGCTGAATCCAGTCCGACGTCAGTCACCTGACCGTCGAGTCAGGACGGGCCTCGGACTAAATGGTTTTTTTTTTTCAATTTGGTCTCAAGTAGTACTGAGCAAGCGATCACCGTATTGATAGCTCGCGACATGCTTACATAATACACCCGCATGACACAGAAATTGAATTGAATTGAACCCTATTTCAATTTGACCTGCTATGGGCAAGTATGGGCGTCTCCGTCCTTTGCCTATACTACTATGCACTATTATGTGAATGAATATTAATCGAATTTCACGTTATATATAACACCGCGTCGAGATGATAATCCTCGTTCATGCGTATTTCTTAAACCCTTCCTTCAATCTGCGGTTCACTACGCATGATGAGTGACCCCAACTCCCCCTCTCCTGCTGAAACAGAGAATCTCGTTGTTATTTTCCTGGGTTTTGCGTTTGCGACATTCTTCTACGGCTTGACGTTCTTTCGTGAGTATTTTATGGTGTCTCATTAGATTTGTCTCATGTCGTCTAATCTTTGCAGAGATGTACATATATTTTTCACGATACTCGAAAGATGATATGTGGATAAAAGTCTTGGTATAGTTTTCCTTCCCTATTTGTCGAGTACGCGTCTGACATCCTCACTTTCTCGCAGGTTGGGGCAATATTGTAATGTATTCCAAATTCGAATTTGAACTACGCCTTACACATATCCAGTGTCCTTGATACCACTTCAGCCGGTCTAGGTGCGATCACTCGCACACGTGTTTTCTGTCTTCCTGACTTACTAGATTCATAGTATCTGACCTGTAGGAGCTTCGTCTCCATTTACTCCAATCTCTAACGCGTCTGAACAGAGTATATGACTACCTGATAACAATGTTCGACGTGAACCTGGAGGTCATATATGCAACTCCGTAAGTGTCAGTTCGTGAAATGTGTTACGGACCTTTGTGACCATGTTTCTAGAGCTTTTTGCGTAAGTAATTTTGGCATATTCATGCCTTGACTGCTTCTCACTGACTGCCGTATCAAGATACAAGATCTCCTTTCGGTGAGTCTATACTCAGCACTGGCGTCCGGCGTACCTCACAGCATTACTCTAGGTCATTATCACTCTGATTGCGCAATTGTAAGGGTACCAATAATAGATGGAGTGTAACATCTCTTACTCCCCCTCAGATTCTTCGCTAAACGACTTCATACTGGTAAGCCAAGATTTTCGTGTATTCCATGTCAATCTCATTGCTTAATAGTTTGTCGTGGTCCTACGAGTATCACTTCGAGATCCGTCAGCGTGGTAGTGGTATGCGTTTTGTAACCATGCTCAGTCACTTCCACTGACCCCGTCGCAGCTTTTTTGTGCCTTCATCGCCTTTGGTTAGTATCCTTTCCCGCGTGTATAAACCTTGCCTGACATTGATTTTGATTACAGTTTTCGGCTTGGGTTAGTGTGTATGATATCTAATTGAATCTTATTGACGAAAGTGCAGTTTCAGTAGGGCAATTGTAAGCGGATAATCTTAGAGTGATCCTGGATGCCGTCACTGACTCGTTCATATCTCAGTTTCCAGCAAAGGGAGTTGTCGGCATTCGCTTTGCCTTCTATGGCAGTGAGTGTTTTGGTTGATTAATTGCATCGGGAGAATGTTCACCCGAAATCACAGGTTATCGCTGGCATCAGCCAAGGCTTCGCAACAGTCGCGAACATCATCATTTTTATTGCGATGTATTGGTCATTGCGTCCAGCACGTTATCCAGACATGTCCCTGTTAGTGTTTCATGTTGTGAGATACAAGCAACGCTGACGCATTGTCTTCAGGCCTAAGGGAGTGTTTGAAAACCTTTCTATGTTGTTTGTTGGCCGTGGTCTGGGACTCATGTAGGTTCACTCCGTGTCGTCGGTCTTTGCAGCCTAACCGTGTTTCTATTGGTCAGCATCATTCAGCTGGCGTATCTTGGCACAGTACGTGGATACCTGGCAACCATAGTTCCATAACTCATATGTATAGTTCGTTGCTTCGCCAGGGAAACCATACTGGGTAGCAGTCCAGATGGTCGCATCCAGGAGTGAGTTTTTGTCACCCACTCACGTCGCGCACAGGCTCATGGTAGATCATAGTTTACGCCAATACTGTCTTGGGACTGTAAGTCATTCACCTAACACATCATCAGACACCGTGTCCCTATTTTTTTTCTTAGCTTGAACGTCCGGGAAGTCAGACGCGGCATGGGTCTCAACGAAGAAGATACCTTTTCTGATCGGCACGATTCCCGAGACGATGGCTTACCAAGCGCGCTCCAATTCCGCAGCACAAAGGGGGTGAGTCACGCGCCTTAAGACTCAGTCATCCGGCATTGACATTAAGCTAACGTATTATCAGACACAGCAGTCATCGAGCTCTTCGCAAGAGGCGGAGAACAGCAGGAGTAGCGAAATCGAAGAAATGAGCAAATCATTCACTGATGACCATAACTTGGTAAGTTCATGTCATATGGTGTTGAAGATGTCCCCTGATCTGACGGATTTATGTAGGAATCCATTCATTCTCGTTGTAGCGAACAACTTGCGTATGACAAGGCAAGTTTGTCGTGATACGGAATTTGCGATTCGCTGGTTGCACGCCTAACAATATCAATATCAATATCATTGTACTAATTATCGCTGTCGTCGCTCTCGCACTTGCTTTCCTTGCTTTCGCCCTCACTTGTATTATATTGCCATCGATGCTACAGTCGATTCGTGCATAACCCACATTAGTCCCTACTTGAAGTAGCTCGGACTTGGAACACATTATATCACGGACTCAGGAATAACATAGCATATATCGTACATATTGTACGTAGTAAGTATCTACGTTCCAAAACAATTATTTTGGGAAACCACATCTTTCAGAACCGCGCTTTCTAGACGTGGCCCGCGCAAACCAACATTCAGTCTCCAAGATAACGTCTATTTTTTCCTGGACGCGAATAGTGTTCATGGGTTTATATGCTAACGCTATGCCTTTACATCGATGCTCGGTATGTGAAATAAATAACTGGAACATGAGATGGATTAACGTCGATCTCGAGGTTGGGCGGAGTACCGCCCATAAGATCACGAAGACACGCATGAATGTCGCCAATGTAGTACAGCAAACTCGCCCATGATCACATCGCGCACGACAAGAGAGGAGCTCTTCTTGGTGTAGTGTCGTATCTTCAAAGATATGCCATGTCGTCATATTATCCACGGTGACCACGCGCAGAGTATGCGACAAAGCGGGTTAGCAAGTATACTCTTCGTCCACTTCCTCTTCGCCTTCCTCTTCTTCCTCCTCCACCCCTTTGGTAGCCTTGATGATAGTAGTTGTGATCCGGTCACAATCCCGCTGACCATCCTGGCTTATCCGAGATTCCGAGAATATGAGCAGGGCAAGCTCTAGGAAGTTGCAGAATACGCATCCAGTCATGGCATATTGCACTGCAGACATGCTAAAGATTTGATGACATCGGGTTCGATATAGGCTGGAAGAAAGATGTGAGATGGAGAGGCAATGCCGCTCCCTGTCGAATTTTCTCACCGTCATCGGAGTAGTGCCTTTGATATATGAAGATGTACATGGCGCTAGTTGCTGAGTGCTTCGCCTACACAGCAATTAAGCTGTGAAGTAAAAACGATGATACCGCATGTGACCATGAACAAAGCAGTGCCCAACGTCCACGATTCCAATCCAAACGCCCACTTATCGCTGATGATTTGAGCACTGAACTTTTCTAAACTTCTGGTGAGTGAAACTCTGGGCTCTTCTGGAATATATCTACCTGCTTACCAGCAACATTGGATACCCACTAAGATCTCTTCAGTATTCTCGAATTACGCACATCAACTCCTGCATATACAGTGCCGAAGTTGGCTTCTGGCGAGGACCGGATTCCTACAAGCAGGCCATCTGGTGAGCGAGAGCTAAAGTTAAAGAAGATAGGCAAGTTCACCAGGAATATTTACCGTTGCCAGACAATTCAAAGATCCTGCCAGCTGGCAGGTTTCTTTCGCATAAATTTACTATACTTGAGACTTCCTTCGCGCCAACCATGTCTTCCAAGACCAGTACGAAGCAAAAGACGCCAGCAGTCGCGCCATGCCAGACGATGAAAGGCCATACCGAGATTGTATCAAGTGTTGTGCACCTGCCCCAGGGACGACGCATATTGACATCTTCGTGGGACGGCTCACTGCGACTACGGGACTTGGAGAGCGGCGCACAAATAGGCGAGGACTGGCGAGATGAGGAGGAGAAGAAAGAAAGTGGTGTGCATGGAATGGCATTGTCTCCAAACGGCAAAACTATTGTCAGCGGAAGTCAAGATGGGAAAGTGAGGTTATGGGACGTCGAGACGGGAAAGATCGTCGCAAAATCGGCACGGTACATAATGAACACGTTTTCGGTGTGCTGGAGTGCGGATGGTAATCGGGTAGGGAACGGATCCCTGGGTGGGATAGTGAGAGTCTGGGATGTCAAGAGCAGAGAAACAATCCTGGAAATCAAGACCGGGCACGACCACTAGGTGGCGGCGGTGATCTACTCGCCAGATAACACAAAAATTGCGACGGGTGGAGAAACCGAGCTCGAAAACGCAGTAAAAATCTGGGATGCGAAGATCCGGGGGAGCTGATTGCTACACTCGATCACGACTCACATGAGTCACATATAGTTTGGAGCTTGGCCTGGACGTCGAAACTTATCTCCGGTTCATATGGCCCCATCAGGATATTCGACACAGCCACTTGGCAATAGATTGTCACTCTGGGGGGTCACACAGACTCTGGCGTTTGCCGTCATCTGGAGTTTGAATTAGGCTACCTGCCGCTGTAACACAATATATCGACTTCCCAAGTAAGGAGCGTCAACCTCGGTCCTCTGACCATGACATTACATCGCTGGTTGGAGTGGACGTATATAGGCCGTCGTTCTCGTTCTAAGATAGCAAGTTCGTCCATCATCACGCGATTTCGCCGGAATGAAGCATCTCAACTTTTTCCGCATGCATGTTATTTTCTTGTAAGTTCGCCGCTGTCTGTTGGCATCACGGAATTTGATGAGATGTGTGTTTAGCACTTTGACGCCCCTGATTTTCTCCGGATTTTTTTATGTTAGCAATGGCAGGTATCCAGTTGCATACATTGATGCACTATACAATTCAGTCAGCGCGATGACCATGTGTGGTCTCACGACTGTGAACTTGAGCCAGCTTACCGCTTGGCAGCAAGTGTTATTATTCATCCAGATGTGTATTGGAAACCCAGTGCGTTCCTTGGCTTCAGGTACATGTAATACTTCTCTAACTTGGCTCAAGGTCATCGTGTCGTGGGTGATGGTTTACACCAGGAGGTTGTTATTTACAGCGTGCGCGTCAATGATATTCACTCCTAATTTTGCAGGCACTACTTTGCTAAGACACTCGATCATATTATTGGAGTAGAGGCTGCCCGACAGGCCACGATCAGGGCGGAGCAGCAGATTACCGCTGCGTCTGCGTATGAAGGGAATTCTGTCGGCAGCAAAGGCGGATGGTCCCGCCGCTTCTTCCGAAGGAAGACCGGCCTTAGTACAGTGCTGGAGGATTCTGCTAGTGGTCATCCTCGAACGACACTGAAGGACAGCGCAAAGAAACTGAGGCCCGATATGATCAGGCGCATGGATGGACAGCCCAAACCAGTCAACCCGAGCGGACGGATCATAGAAAGCGATGCGATTCCTATGAAGCGTTTTTCGGTGAAATCTGCAATGAGCTTAGATGTGCACGCAGAAGAACAGGGGCAAGGGCCCTCTTCTCGTCAACTTGCGTTCGCCGATGAAATGACCCAGTCCCCAACGCAGCTTGAGTTGGAGAATGATGTCGAGATCAAGAACCTACATGTAGAAACTGTCAACGCGGGGCCTTCAGATCTGAAAAGAAACACCTCGTAGGCATCTACAACATACTTTTTGGTACCAGCGAGCCTGATATCTGGTTTGCATCAGTGGGCGTGCACGTCGTCTTTCCGCTTCAGGAATTCTGGGGGAACACTCAAATTGCGGGCCTGAAGCGGGTCAGGATGCTGTAACGTCAGCTGCATTGACTGGAATGCCTCAGGATACAACTATCGAATTTGTACCCACTGTTTCTCCTTCACATCACCCCCTCTTTCCTGTCGGTAGCCGGACCGGTCACTCGGATTCCCCTGAAAATTTATCAGATATTTCAGAATTCTGTGCTCCCCGCCGCCGCCGTTCTTCCGCAGTCCCCCAACATTCGCACGAGCCATTAGCACAGCACCCAACCATTCAAACACATCGATCTAGCGATACTAGGCGCGCATCGAATTCGTATCATCTCGATCCACCGCAGGAGCAGATGCTACGAGGGTTCGGGGGGTTTCCTATGCCGCACGATCTGTTGGGGATGCTGTTTGGTTGGCTGTTTCCTGATACCAGGAATAGACTGAAGAGAACTGTAACGATTCCTGTTACTACTACTCTGACAGGCGGTGGGCTGGGACGGACTATGAGTGACGCTGCGAGTATCCCTTGGAGGCCAACACGCAGCGGAAGCATTAGCACCAAGGAAGGTACGAAGCCTGTAACGTATATTTCGTTCGACGCCGTCGTCGGGCGGAATTCTGCGTTTCATTTTTCGACCAACGAACAGCTTGAGGAGTTGGGCGGAGTTGAATATCGGGCGCTGAACGCGCTGCTATGGTTGGTTGCATCTGTGAGTGATATTGTACTCAGTCGTCCTCATCGACTTAAAATGTCTTCGCAGTATCACATAACCGTACAACTGGTTTCCTTCGTGGTGATCGCTCCTTACATGTCATTGCCAAAGTGGGCGAGCAATTTCGAACCTCCTGCCCAATTTAGAATAATTACGGTCCCTTGGTGAGCAACGTCTTACAACGCTAGCTAAGTAACAGGACATCAACTAATAGAACCTGAATGTAGGTTTTCATTGTTCCAAGTCGTATCGGCGTACACAAATACCGGAACTTCTCTTGTCGACCAGAACATGGTACCCTTCCAGACAGCCTATCCCAGTAAGTATCATATATCATGTATACTGGATGGTACTGACGTTTTCTTGGTCAAGTGATCCTTTTCATGATATTATGTATTTTGGCTGGCAACACTGCATTTGTGAGTGTCAGTGAGCTCGTTCTAGCAAAATGATAATCATTCATTGTCGTTAGCCAATACTGTGAGTTTGCAATCCAGAGTACATAATAGTTCTTACTCAAAAACAACCTGAAGGCTCCGATTTCTCATGTAAGTATGCTATCTCTGTGATAAACTTGTTGTTCATCGTAGGAAGTTGGATCATCAAAAAACTCGTACCGAGGGATTCTCGACTGGATGAAACGCTGCATTTCCTCCTGGACCATCCCCGCCGATGCTTTGTTTATCTTTTCCCTTCATACCAACTTGGTTTCTCGTTACGATTCTGGTCATCATGAAGTACCACTCCTGACGATTATCTCTACGATCGTATACTGAACTCGGCAATTATAGCCTTACAGACTGGTTCTGTTTTTTGGTTCTTGATATTGGTAACCCTGACATCGATTCCATACCCTTAGGAACGAGAGTTGTTGCTGGACTATATCAGGCCATTGCCGTTCGTACCGCGGGGTTTGGAATAGTTCCGCTTGCCAGAATAGCTCCCGCTGTCAAGTTAGGTTGAGCAATCGTCGGTTGGAAAAGGCGCTAACTTCGGGGAACAGAGTCATGTATGTTATCATGATGTATATTAGCGCATGTGAGTGCCTTTATTTGGCGATACGCGTAGAACTGACTGCCGGTCAAGATCCCATTGCATTAAGGTGCGTTCGCCACTGGCAACCGTGTAGATAGGTAATTATGATGTTTATTAATCTAGTGTCCGCTCGACAAACGTCTATGAAGAGCAATCCCTGGGTATATATGATTATGATGATTCAGAGGATGAAAATGCCTTTTCCACTGCAGGCCCAAGGATGACAGTATGGTCTCGGTATTTGGCCATGCATGCACGTCAACAACTAGCATTCGGTATGTCTGATTTTCTCATCTAATGACTTGTCTCACCCGGCTATCAAGACATGTGGTGGTTGTGTCTGGTAAGCTTGTGCGCAGTTGCCGTGGGGGAGTAGACTAAATTTGTCTGACGTAGGCGCTGGTGTTGATTTGTATCATAGAGGTAAGCAGCGCAACGGTGGAGGATCCGCGACTAATGGGTCGACTAATGGTAGCGCGGAAACTTGGACAACACGGAGATACAGGGCTGGTTCAATATCTTTACTATCAGTATGTCCTCATCTTATTGAATTGTGGCCTCTGCTCAATTCCAGCAAGTTTTTGAATTAGTCTCAGCATACGGGACTGTCGGTCTCAGTCTTGGGATACCTACCGTAAGTGATGGAGATGCTGTGTTACAATTGAAGTATTCTTATTTGTTGTGGTAGGAAAATTACTCGTTTTCCGGTGCCTTGAGGCCTCTTTCAAAGCTCATATTATGCCTCGTCATGCTTCGCGGGCGACATCGTGGTCTCCCAGTAGCCATCGACCGCGCTATCATGTTCCCTTCAGAATTCGAAAAGACAAATGACGAGCCGCCCGTCCCTGTCACGCATGATGACAGGCAATCAAGCCCTCACAGCGAGTTTCTGCATACGCGTGACCCCCTTCCGAAAGAAGGCGGTCTCGCTTCCAGCAACGAAGGTCCAATTACTTCGAGGAACGACTGAAGGAAGATGAGAAGTGGAGTGGCAGCTATGATGCACTTGTTGAGCCTGGAAGACAAAACGCGAAGACGGAAGTGCTCTCTGACATCTAGTATGACCTTATGCTCCGTGGCGCTCGCACCATGGTTATGAGTTAACTTTGCTTCTATTACCCCGATCATCTATCTGATTCTATCAGACAGATGGTATGGTGCCACAGCAATTATGAGACAGTAATAAGTGTGTTCTCCAAAAAACCTACGATATCTCTTGGGAACTCTGACTCAATGGTTAGTCGTGCCAGTGTTGCCAAGTCTGGGTGCCTGTCAGTAGCAAGCAATAAAGGTTAGCATGGCGGGCTGAACAGAAGGCGGGGTAAGGTTTTCAGCGTCTCCAGCACTGGTTAACAAATCTAGAGCAGTTGTCCACAAAGGTATGATAGCCGACGTGCACCAGTGCTATACGAGTGGCGAGTGGAATCTGCCAAAAACTATGTAGCAGATGAGATTAATGTTAAGGTTGCAAGAGCTGGTAGTGAGAAATTAGACGTATGAATCTGACAAAGGCCCTCCTCTGCTAACGTAGGAGTCAGGGAACAAACATAGAGTCCATGCAGGAGGTATCGCTCCACGCCCAACGATACCCCACCGGAGTCGACCATCCCGAGCGAGTGCCTGACTCCGTGAGGGAAAAAGGCTGAGCTAAATCCAGAGCGCAGAAGTTCGTCTTTTGAGCCTTTAGAGTCCGAGGTCGAGGAACCCTTCAACAAGATTCTGATGGCAGAGCTGCCGGATGATGCCCCAGCGGACACCAGGTCTGAGAGTTTTCATCGATTTCTACGCAAAAAGGTTACATGACGGCGCGAAGGGAACTTGCTGTATTTCCAACACAAGAGAGTATACGTGAATAATATCTCAACCGGGTTGTACTCGGCCAAAACCAGACTGACCATAGGTAATAAGGTCATCGCTCCCGATGGCTTCGAACGCTCATGAATCTATTGCTACGGCACTCAAAGCTCATTCCTGATTTTTAACAGAGAAACTTGTCGATGGAGTACATACTCGATCGATCACTCCTCTAGTACCCCAATCAGACCACAGATGAGGGAAACTGTCATCCCTTCTTTCAAATCTCGGCAGTTCGCCAACTGTCCACAACGTCAGAATGAATGTGAGACCGTGCCGAAATACTGCAAGGGAAGACCGCAGGACAGCTGAAGCAACGAAATCATTAATGACAAGAGGATAGTATGACACAAGGAAGTCAAGTACCGAGCCACTCCCGTGGTGAACGTGGGAGTGAAGCTGATCACTTTGCCCTGATCATCTTTTGCGGAAGAAATATCCAATGTGGCCAACATGGTCGCAATGGCAGACCACGTAGAGGCATCAGCAGTATACCGCCCTGATTAAAGTCTATCTGTCCGCGAATCTTTTCTAGGATTAAAATAACATAACGAACCTGGACATATACGCCGGCCAAGGCCGAAAATGTACTGTGCGGGGTCATCGGCTGTTAACGCACCATCAACGTCGATGAACCTCTCTGGTATAAAACGAGATGCGTCGGGGTACCGCTTTTCATCCCGTGTAATGCCCCTACAATCAAGTCAGTAGCACAAAAGCTGGGAGGATCATATCGGACCGGACCATATGTTGTACGCGATGATTGCGCCTGATGTCGATATTATAAATGTTCATTGTTGGTGGGACAAAAACAGCGGACCTTTTGGAATGAAATAGCCATCATATACGTCATCACTCGAGGTAGCATGTGGTAAGCCTATGAGATCGTCTTCAGTACAGGCCAGATTACTTGACGGGGAAGAATACCAAGGGGTGTAACCGGCTGCCATCGGAAAGTTTCCCGCATAACTGCATCAATGTAAGGTAGTGATGCTCTGTCCTCGAACGTTGGTAGCCGATCTCTTCCAATCACTGAGTCGATTTCCGCTTGTGCGCGTTTCTGAATGTCTGGATATAATACCATGGCCAAAACAAAAACCATCAAAATTGCCCCAGTCTGTAACAATGGTAAGCAGCGGACATGATGGAGTTATCCACTTACCGTATCATATGAAGCTGTGTGATATTAGTGTGTGTCGAGAGCACAACATTACTTGTAAAAAAGCTTACTTACCCCCAATACCAGTAACAGGCTGCTTTTTTCAAGGCATTCTCGAATGCAGGTTTGGATGCCTCCTCTTGCGTTTCCATCCGTCGCAAATTTTCTGCAACCATTGAAGATTGAGTGACAAACGAGTTGTCGGCCTTGGCAAGGGTCGAATCAATGTCTGGGACCAAGAGAAAAATAAATACTCACCATGCGCTGCTGCACGTATTGGAATGGCATGTCGGCCATTTGATTGACGCGCTCGGTCGAAGCTCGAGCACTACGCTTGATCGAGGATCCCCAGCACCAGTCAGGTAACTTTAGTACTAAAAGTCCATGTCATGTTAACGCTTTCTTATCTAGGAAAGTTGAGCTCACAGAAGGGGAAGGTCTTAAGCATCAATGCACTCTCTGGGGTCAACACGGCCGTGCCCGGAATTAGTGCATTTACCACAATCCGCAGCAGAGGATCATCACGAGCACTGATATCATAGTCATATACAGCTGACATCACAACAGATAACGCGAATCTGTGAACAGCTAAATAATCGTTCAATTTGTAAAAATCATTTGCTGACGTTGCGAAGTGGTCATGATAATGTTGAGGCTCATCGACCAGGTTGACGATCATCTCACGAGCCCGCTTGATCTGCATTGGGCGAAATTTTACTGCGGACTCGGGACGGAAAGTTTGGTGGAAGAGTCGTCGGCAGAGACGCCATTCATCACCATAACCTATGAATGCAAAGCTGATCGACCAGCCATATCTGCATGAACCTCAGACTGATTGAATAGAAGAATACTGAAAGGACGCACGGCTTGAGTGTGGCTAGGTATGGTCGATCGGAGTAAATCCGAGAACGCTTGTCCAATAAGGCTTCTGCAATGTGCTGAGAATTGATCACGACCATTTCCTCGCCTAAATGTCGCATGAAGACCAAGTCCCCTGATACAATGATTTACACCACATATGCCCTATACTATCTATTCACGTACCATACGTCGCACCCCATTCGGTATAAGTCAGCCAAGGCTCCTGAGCGTCAATAGATAAGACGTTCCCTAATAGTGGGAGCGGCACTGGGCCAGGAGGAAGAGAAGGGTTATTCTGTCGCTTCTTGATGAATCGCCTAAGTGCCGTGACAGCGACAAAGGAAAGAGGAATCCCAGCGAGGATAGCAAGGTAACCATCAACTGCAGGCGCCATGATCCGAGCAGTGGGTTACTAGAAACCGTATATAACGCAACCATCCTTATAACCACAGGGAAGCATTAAATTGACGCCTGAGCGTTGATTATGCGACTGGATTATGTCTCGTATAGGAATATGTGTATTGCCAATTCTCGCCCAAATCACGTCGACTTTTGCGGCGGCAGTGGATGATCGGGACAGATGGGGTTAGGAGGGATATGATCATGGAAGGAGCAGAACAAGCAGCTTAACATCTTTGCATTCCAGACTTTTGCTGCGTCCTCATGGTGTCCGCTCTTTGCAAATTTTTGTGTTATCAGGTGAATAGATCACCACATACGCAGACATTTCCAGGACTGTGTCCCCCCTTTTGACATCCCACACTCCGGAGGGAGTCGTATTATGCATCATCCGTCAGGCAGGTGCATAACATCTTGTACCCGGTCGACTCTTGCTCCTTACTGGTCGAGCAACTTCGACAGTATGAGGGAGTCAGGACTGCAACGAGAAAAGATGGACTGCCTTGGTCGTTACTGGAATTCGTTGGTATTGGAGCGAGTGTGGCGGAAGAGCGATGGAAAGCCACTGACAAGTATACGTGGATTCACAGAGGTAGTATGGTGGAGGTCATGTGTAGAGCTACAAGGATGAGTTCCACTTGCTGCAGAGGATTGATTGCGCAGGTCAGAATAAGAACTGACATTGAGAAACTACTAAAGGTCGAGCGTACGGGGGCCGCTACCTAATATGGTAAGTCTGCTGAGCACCATGAGTTAAACGAAGAAGATAGTACTAACCCCAATCCAGCGCTTAAGCACTTAAGTACCCCATGCGGACAATCATACGATCTCTATCCTTGACATCCATTGGCTTGCGCCACTGTAGCGCCAGAGCGACCCGCAAACCCAATATTCATGATTACAGACCTCAAGATCGTTGTCCAGTAGCTCACACGCAAATCTAGCTTTGCCTTCTCGCTATTAAAAGTGATCTATCATGGCTTCGTTGACTCCGCCACAGGCTCCTCCTAAGTGGAATCATACCCCGGAAGAGGTGCTGAGTATCACCAGGCAGGCACTTGCGCAGAATAAGGCAGTCAGTAACGAAGTCGCGGCTCTCCCGGAGGCTGAATGCAATTTCGACACCGTACGTGACCAGTGTCTTGCGTGCATCGTCAGACTGATTATCTCTTATTCGGCTCGCAGGTTTTTGTGAGTGGTGTGATGCTTCTGATCTGTTGTCATCGTATCTTGAGACAAGCGTCCGACTTTAGTTACCGCTTGCTAATGCAGAGGCAGAAGTCCTCATCATTTGTGGGCCTCTCAGATTTTACCGGAACGTCTCCACCTCCAAAGAACTCCGAGATGCTTCAAACCAAGCGGAAGTTCTTCAGCGGGATTTCGATGTCGAGGAATCAATGCGTCCTGACGTGTTCAAAGCCAAGGCTGCCGCAGAGAAACATCTGCGCGAATCAGGTGAATGGGAGAAGCTGAGTGATGAGCAGCGTAGGCTCGTGGAGAAGATGATGTCGGATGGCAAGAGAGCTGGTCTTGCGCTCCCTGAGAAGGTGCGCGAGGTGCTGATGAAGTTGAAGAAGGAGCTCTCGCAAGCTTGCTTGGATTTCAACGTATGGATGGTTTCTTCAGTGTATAAGCGTTATGCTAATAGGGTTTGTAGAAAAACTTCAATGAAGAGGACGTGAGATCACTCGTTTTACTTTGATTCGTGATAATGACCACTCAAACATACACAGGGTCTCATCTCGTTCACACTCGAAGAGCTTGATGGAGTTCCGAGTGATGTCATCTCGGGCTACAACAAGCGCACTGAGGGCTCAAAAGAAGTCTATGACGTCACCTTCAAGACGCCAGACATCTTCCCAATCGTATGTGGCATCATGAAGAGCTTCTATTGATTTACCTGAGTAACATTTCAGTTCAAATTCGCGCATAATCCAGCCACGCGACGCAGTGCTCAAGAAGGATATGAAGACCGACTCAAACAAAATGTGCCTTTACTTGAGAGGGCGCTTGACCTCCGTCGGCGCATCGCCGCGATGCTTGGCTATGACACATGGGCAGACTACATCACCGAAGTGAAGATGGTCAAGTCTGGTAAGAACGCCCAGGACGTGAGTGATTGACAAAATTACTCCTGTCAAACAACATATATGCACCCTAGTTCCTAGATAACCTTGAGGCGAAGCTGCGCCCTGTCGGAGAGAAAGAGCGCAAAATTCTCCTTCAGCTCAAGAAAGAGGAACACGAGAAGCGCGGACTTCCGTTTGATGGCGAGTTCTACATCTGGGACTACAGGTAAATCACTACGTTCATCAGGACCTCGCTCATTAGTATCATGACAGGTACTATGACCGCGTCTATATCGAGAAGACACTCAACCTCGACGAATCTCTTGTGAAGGAATATTTCCCGGTCTCCGTCGTTGTTCCCACGATCTTGAAGATATATCAGGACCTGCTTGGAGTCAAGTTCATTGAGATCAAGGATGTCAACAAAGATGTCTGGCATCCAGGTGCGTAGCACCCGCCGTACTGGATAAATTTTCAATTGTCTAAATTCATTCTTGCTCTAGACGTGCAACAGTTCGCTGTGTGGGAGAACGACGCCAGAGATGAATCTGCATTTGTAGGATATTGCTACCTTGATTTGTTTCCCCGCGGTAAGGGAGCGATGCTTCATTTGTATTTTATTTGCCCTTGCTGAACCTCGTTCTTGCCAGTTGCAAAGTACTCTCACGCAGCTGTATGGGGCCTTCTCCCAGGCTATGAGCTACCGTCGGGCAAACGTCACTACCCGCTGAGGGCAATGGTAGCGAATCTCGCAAAGCCAACTCCCGAGCGGCCTGCTCTAATGCGACATGACGACGTAACAACATTCTTCCATGAGATGGGCCATGTTTTCCATGGATTACTGAGTCGGACGAAGTACGCGCGGTTTCACGGTACATCCGTGGCAAGAGACTTTGTTGAGGCGCCGTCGCAAATGCTCGAAAATTGGTACGTGTTCTGGACAATCCTGAAGGAATGTGCTATCGGAAGAGTGCCAACGGCATGGAGCAGGTGCTGGGAGCCCAAAGTACTCGAGAAAATATCTAGCCACTACAAGACACAGGAGTCGTTGTCGCCGGATTTAACAGATAAGCTGATAAGGAGGTGTGTTTCATCTTAAAGTTTTCTAGAATGAAAGATGATCAGTGTCACAGCCGCTACGTAAACGTTGGGTTATACTACCTTCGACAACTGTTCTTTGCCAAGTTTGATCTCAAAGTGCACGTGGATAAAGGTTGGATGCATGTGTTATTATCATTTTGAATTGCAGGACTTACGGGATATTGTACAGAGGCTGCAGATTATACCAAACTCTGGAATGCCCTGCGTGAATCGATCTCACTCGTGAAAGGGGGGAAAGCCCAGCCAGGACAAGGCACTTTTGGACATATCGTCCGTGGCTATGATGCAGGGTACTATGGGTGAGTCATGCGATCGTTGTATTCTGATGGGTCACTGACTGAAACCGACACCTTGGGCGAACGTGATAACCAGGTACACATACTCTCTCGTATTTGCCGCGGACATGTATGCGACAGTTTTCAAGAAGGATCCATTGAACCCTGCTTTGGGCAAGCTTTACAGGGATAAGATTCTCCTGGTGGGAGGTAGTCGGGATGAAACGGACTCACTTGAGGTGCGTCGCCATCTTCGCAATCCAATTTGAGGACAGTAGCTCACATAATGGAACAGGACTTCCTGGGTCGATCGCCGAACTCGGATGCATTCTTAGAGGAAATTTTTGGGACAGTTGCTAAGGCAAGCCTCTAAGGAATGAGTCAAAGCAGTGAGGTCCTCGCAACGTCTACAATAAGTCTGATGATTAGAGGCGAGCAGGCTAGTCTATATAGACTTAGTGATACGTCGGATACCTATAAACATCGGATACATCAATGTTATCACTCACCGAGTTGCTTTGGAGTCCCTGTTATTCATGTAGAACATGTGGATGTGGTCATGGCGGCAATTGAGAAGGACCTTGTGAATAATGGTGAATGTATATACGACAGTGACCGTCTCTGGCTAGAGCTGTCAAAGACTCAGAGCCACACGAACGAGGCAGAATTCACTTAAGTTTTCAAGATAATATCTATTTGTCCCTCGACATAAATAGTGTCCATAGGTTTATATGCTAGCGCTACATCTTTACACCGATGCTTGATATGCGAAATAAATAACAGGAACATGCGATGGAATGTCGGGTTCAACAGGTGCGTTAGCAAGGCGAATAATGAATCGAAAATCTATACATAATGCTATATGAGCGACACGGCGTCACAATTTGGCGCCACCCCTAACGCGGGCTCGCACGACGCGTAAAGCAGACGTCCGCTGAGCCGCGCTACGCGATACTCCACTTGTTCACCGCAGCCTGCACCAAGCGCCCCATCTCCTCACGTGCTTGCTTCTTTGCGCTGTCGGTGATGCCTACGAGTGCATTGAGTGCGCGCGGCGATGTTTGTAGCGGGTCGAACTCGAGGACGTGTCCATCGGAAGTTGAGATCGCAACCACTGCGCGGGCAGAGGACGAGGAAGGGAGGGACGAGAGCGAGCTGGAAGGCAGCAGAGAAGGTGTAGCGGGTTTGTGCACCGGTGGCTCCGGGACACGAGCTGCCGTGCGTGAGTGCGTGTGGTTATGGTTTTGAGTTTGAGAGTTGGCTCGTAAGTGCGTGGTCTCAGTGGAAGATGAAGGGACGAGTGAGACGGATGGATCACGTCGTATAACTATGCTGTTTACGCGTCTTAGAGTCTTGCCTTCGCCTCGCGTATCTACCTGCGTCCCCTTTCCTTTGCCTTTGGTTTTCACGTCCATGTTATCAATACCCTCCTCTTCCTCTTCGGTAGCAAACCACTCCAAGCCGAGCTTATACGGGTTAGCTAGTGGAGACCCGTTTAGACTAAGCATGCTCTCGTCGCGGCGGGGTGCACGGAGGGTGGGATAAGCGGGGGCCTTAGCAGGCAAAGTCGGAGCGAAAGTTGCGCGAGTGGGCGGGGCGCTTTGCCTGGGATGGTGGCTTGGCATTCCATGGCATCGATTTTCCAGGCGAAGGTGGAACTTTGAGTGGCGATGGAGCATGTAATTTAGAGGGAGATGTTCGGAGGGCAGATGGCTTCTGCGGACTGACAGAGGGTAAACGAAAGGTTGGACGGAGTTGCCCGGGGGTACGCGGAACTGCCGCAGAGAATGTGCGGGCGCGCTGTGCAGTTCCTGTGTTAGCAGGAGGAGGCTTCTTCTTGGGAGTGACATGCATCATCCTCGCTGAATGAGAAGCATGTCAATGAAAAAACTAACGCCAAATCGACTACGTACCATTCTTAACAGCGCGCTCACCTTCACTAGCCTCCTCCCACTTGCGTTTGCGAGTCTCACGGTCGATCTCGAGGTTTGGTGGAGCACCGCCCACGAGACCACGTAGACACGCTTGAATATTGCCATCGTATGTATCTGCAAACTCGCCCATGGTAACACCGCGCACGAGTTTGGGAATGCGGGCGATGAGCCCTTCTTGGTGAAGCCGAAAGTTTTTGAGTGCGTCTGCAAGCCATTCCTCGAGTTGGCGAACACGGTGTTCAACTGTGCACAAGGAACATCCAGTGAATACAAAATGCAGAACAAGTTTAATGCACCTTCAATGTCAAGATTCTGGAGCAGCTGTTCTTTTTCCTCTGGAGTATATTTGCGGGATGTGTCTGGGATATGCATCTTCACCACCCTCGACGATCGGAACAGACTCGTAGTGTTGCCGCCGAGGCGAGTTAAACTCGATGTGGACTCGATTCAGGTTCGAAAATGACCAAAATCGTTTCAACTCGAAACTCCGATCTGAATCGGGCAACGTGCACCACCATGTTTATCCCTTTCACCCATTATGTAGTCCTGCCGTAACGGGAATTATCGTGAATTAGAGAAAGTTTGGCATACCGTATTCTACAACTTTACCCGCTCATTGAGCGCTCAGTACTCAGTCCCAGTGAAAACCCACTATGGTGTGGCAGGATGAGAACGGGCGTGATATGTTTTTTTCTCTCATTGATGCAAAAAAATCCGAGACAAACATATGACGTCGGTAGGAATCACATATATTGCATGATGGGGCACGATCTCCTAGATCTGATGGCACAAGTTTTTCGTTTGATTTTCAGATATAATCTTATCACGCAGTACAGTAGAAACCATGAGTTGATATGACGTGCTACGACAATATCACGGCGGCATAAAAGCAGGTGCGCAGGAACAATACAATAGCGGGAGCAGCTTGCGAGGCAACTTGAGAACCAGTGAACGAAAGGCACTGTTGAGACGTTCGGCCTCGGCTTGATATTCGTCTTGCTGTGCAGTGGATATTCCCTTCTTGTTGATATTGACAACGATGTTGTTTTCATTCCCTTATCGGTGACATCAATCAACGTTGCGGTGTGTTCACCATGATGCATGATGCACCAGAGGCTATGCTATATATTTAATCTGCTTGTCCACCATGATAATGCGCCAGCCTTCCTGTCTCTGCCAACCATGGCAGCTTCTTCCAAACCGACAGAAAAAAGTTTGTATCCATGTGACGCACTCCCGAATCACCAGGACTTTGACTGGATGATATCTGATGCGATATCTACTGCTGATACTCAGGCTAGAACCGATTTCTACGACCCCAGTCTGACGAATCGCAAATATGTCCTTGTCGGAGTGGCATGCTCAACTATCTTCAGCTGCTCATGCATCGTTGCAGGCATCATCACGTTAGTCAATTACGGAGTCTTCGGAGTAACTAGCCTGTTCGTGATCAACACGGTGGATGTGGTTGTGTGGCCGATTCAGATGCCTCTGCAGGGGGAGCTATTGGCCCTGGTACTTAATTTAATCATCACGTTATGCACCGAGTCCCTAGGCTTCTTACACGGCATCTCATTGCGCTCTGCGCTAGCCTCTGAATCCCGGCTTCGTTTCAACACCAATCTGCGCCTTCTGACCGCAGCTCGTGGATGGTATAACCCTAATGGCACCCTGCTTAATGGTATATCGGCTGTCCTCCTCATAATATCCTATAGCTCGACCTCACTCATCCTATGTCCCTCCTATCAAACGACGCCACAACTTGAAACAGTTAATAAGGGTGTTGCCTTCGCCGGGTTACCTCTCCTCATTTTGGGCGTCGCACTCCTTCTCCAAGTGATGATCGCATTGTCGGGGATGCGGGCTGTCAAAATATTGACCTGGAGCTCCTCACCTTTCGACTTGACCGCCGCACTAGTCCATCACACGCAATTGACCCCTGCCACTTTGCGATGCATGCGTTGTGTGTCCGACCTAGACACGTATGGAGGTCCAGCGAAGCCATCAGGGATACAGTTCTCTGCGTGGCATGCTCATCCTAGCATCCGGAAAGTTGTCATTTTTCTTTGGGTGATCGTTGCAGCATGCGCTGGATGGGCCGCACTCGTCATGTATATCTGGGACAAGTTGCAGCACTCCGACTCGCAAATAATGTCCGCGTTCGGCAGTGCTCTGACCCTACAAACGTGGTCGTTCTTCCCCAACCAACAATCCAATTACATCCGGTACATGTCGTCGGGTGTTTTTCTGTTTTCATGGGTCAACATGGCAGTTATCCAGGGGCCATTGACACTCGGGCTGCATTGCTCGGAGCTCATCGCAAATGTCATTCGAGACGAAAGACAGTGGAGATGCGCTACCGGAAAGAAAGGACTTGAGACGGTAACGAACCCGGTGAAGACGATTTTCACTCATTCGATTTGTCTCATACTTTTCGTCGCGAAGCCTTTCCTGCGTGAGTCACTCACGCCCCGTTTTCTTTATTGGTGTTACTGAACACCATCATCGACGATCACAGACTGGATGTTTGGGCTTGCATTCAACTTACGTACCACTGCCTATGACGGGCAGCTGGTAATATTGATGGCATTCATGTACACTGTCCAGGTTCGCACTTACTGCCTATGTGTAACTGCTACGGCATCCTCACACTCTCGTGTAGATCTGGAACTTATGCATAACGTTGTTCATATTTGCCTGTTTCTTCACTTTTGTCGCACTGCGCCGACCGCGCGGTCCCCAGCCGGCTGCATACGGCCACCTCGAGACGCTCGCTAACCTCGTGGATGAGTGGTCGCCTGTGATGTGGTGGGGACACAAGGAGGACGGAATTCCGTATTGTCATGCTGGTAGGGTAATTATATGCTGACGACGATGTTGTGTTGACATTTTACAAAGGGACGAGCGATCACCCGCTGCCGGATGTGAAGATGGACTGTGTTTATGCTGGTCGTGGTGCTGGGTCTCTGGCATCCCTCTCGTGAGAGGTACTTGTGTTTTACTTTTTAAAGGGCATTTCTTGATTTCTCTTTTTATACAGAGGAGCTATATCCACGTTAGGCTGGCAATGCATTCGCGGTGCACACAACCCTGAGCCCTGCCGTCGAACAATACATATACAATTTTTATGCTGTCTGCTGCGTTGCAAGTAGTTCCGTCTTGTTCTTATACCATTCATATCTTGACAATTTTTTAGTAGAGACACGTTCAATTCGGCCTTCAGGCAATTGCTGAATCGTTGTGATTTGTTTTCCGATTTTATGTCTATTAATAGTGAGACTCTATGTAGGACAGTACATTCTAGTCTTGGAGCGTTGTGATGTTGGTCGATGACCCGTCATATTTATACTTCCATGACGGACATGGCCAGAACTAGTTGCAGGACACCAAGTAAAGCATATAATGGATGTTTCAGTCGGCTTAAACAAGTGTCTGCTACGTAGGAATTCAGTGACCTGTATTAATTATTTTACTGATTATCGCGTGACACACCTTTACGCTCTCCCTGACATTGCATACGCGGGTCACAAAGGAAGCTGTCTTCGATTTACCGCCTACGATAAACGGTTTGGATGGAAGGCAAAGTTGATGTGGTGGATGCACTAGCTTTCGAAAGTATTGATGAGTTGAACTTCAACGAATCGACGGTGCAGAGCAACTACGCGCTCGCGCGCGTTTCTGACCAATACCTTTTCTACGGAGAGGTTTCGTTGAATGGCGTAAATGCAATTCTGTTTTGAGATCTAGGCGATGAGGAGGTACTCCAGGATGAGTCAACATCGCAAGGTAGTCGGGTGTGTTCTGGTGCATTTAATGGAGTGTGCCCGGCTTCTTTCAGGCTGTCTGAACTAAATTAAGATTCTATGTTGTCTCGTGAGTGGAGTACGCTCGATGTCTGTTCGCGATACTTAGGAAAATCGCCCGGCAATTTGTCCATAATTTTGTGGTTGAATTTATCGACAGACGTTTCAAGGACAGGTTTCAGCGTCTTCGAGAACATGTGGTGGGAAGAGGAAGTTAATGATTTCGTCGAAGTTTGTAGTCGCTGCTGTGAGTGCGAGATTCTGTTGATTTCCGGAGCAGTCTTCTTCAATGCGATTCAGTGTTCACGAATGCCGTGATTTGCGGGTCACCCATGGCGAATTGCGATGTTGAGACTCAAAATCCTCGTGTCTGTTAGATTAGATGTGGTTTAACTATACCTATGCATTTGTGATCGATGCTGTTGGGCTGGCTGTCAATCCACCTACGACTGTGTATCGTAGCACCGATATTTGTACTCGGGGATTTAGTGGAGGCCTTGCACCGATATTAATAGTGAAGGACACTGCAAGAATGGAATGATGAATATTATTGATACCCAATGGAGTCTCCAGTTCGCAAGCCCTACATGGTATGATGCATTGCCTTCACTTGATATGCAGAATGCAAATGGCGAAACCCATGTAACAAAGTACTAATCATGAGTCAAGTAAATCAAGATATGCAGCCCGGCAAACCATCCCAGCACGATCGCGAATTTTGACCAGTGGACGAGATTCTCCATTCCTGTAGTCACATCAATTAACGCTTTCCACGAGCGAGGAATCCATACCTCCGCGCTTGTTGTTGCAATTCTAACTGCACTGACACTGGGACAGCGCCGATGGCGAAACCTTCTCCGCGGGACAATGACATGTTGCCAGTAGTTACATACCCAATGATAGACGTGTGGGGCGGAACAACCTCGGGGGGCTAAGAGAGCAAATCAGTCTGCGAATGCACGATCAAAGAGAACAAACGACAAACCTCATTTGCATCTGCATGCGTCTTGCCATTCTGTTGGATGATCTTCTTGGCTTCGACGTCATCCACGCGGTAGATAATGGCAAGGTCGTTCGGGGCGCCTCGACTGACCATCTTCAGACGGACCATGACCAGTGCCCCTTTCAGGAGATCCTCGGGCCGATAACTTGGATCGAGTACATCCATACCACGTTTCGTCCGAAGCCTGTTGATCTCTGCAAGGAGACCTACGCCATGATTGAGCGTTTGTGTTGCTTTTTCGAGGATAGTCGGCACTTCGGGACCACGGAGCACCCATGGGCGAACGGTGGGTGCTTTGTCAACCTCCATTGCATCCTGAGGCTCTCTTTGTGCCGGCACCAGGTTCTCATCTACGTTAGACGCCACCGGGAGCCCAAGTACAACTTCCCAATCCGCTCGCCATGGGCTACGGGTACCAAGCTTCTTATAATTGGCCCTCTTCGCTGGTGGCGTCCTGGTCCACTTCGCTTTTTCCTTAACGGCAAGCTCGTCCCAATACTTTTCGTAGAACCCCGTGCAAGGAAAATCTCTCGGAAAATACGCAGTGCCTGCCTCGAAGGCTTGCGTGCCTCGCTCTCGCTGCCCGCCAACGCGTGTGCCAGTGTGTATTAGTGAGGGGAGGAAAGGCATGCCCCACCCAGCGGGGAAAACAAGCGTCCAACCGTGGATGCCATGAGTGCTGTTAGGCGATTCGAGCGAGCGTTGTATGAGCAACAGTGGGATACGATCGTCCTGGCGAATGGGTTTAAGAGGCGTGCCTGGAACAAGATTCTTTGTGTGCAAGTTACTTATTGTACCTCAGTACTAGGGACAATGAGGAGCTTACCTTGGAGCGGCGCGCATCAAGATCTTTCTTCTTGTATGTAGGTTTTTTGAGTACTGAACGGTTCTCTTCGTCCCAGATTTCGCTTTGAGCAAGAATGGCTGCGGGGAACGTCATTACCGGGGCGGCGAGGTGTTGACCATCCGTTCTGACTTTGGCGTTCTTAGGTGGAAACCTGGGTGGCAAGTTACTTATGTGGACAAGTCAAGTAGCCTGAGATGCCTACTTCAGTCGTGGGTCAACGACTTTCATCCCGATGACTATTCCGCGCGGTAAGGACGCGGTAATTTGGAGATCAGTCAGTGACGGCCAGAACTATCTATGTTGTCAGATTTTACAATGAGGTCAAAGAAAGAACGAAAACACCTTTTTGAATTCTCGCCTGTCATCATCTAGAACTGAAGACAAGGCGCCCTTGATGACCTGACTTGATTTGGGCCCCATGATTTCGAAAGTATTGACGCTGCCTCGCAGATCGGCTATCTCTACTTCTGCATGCACATCTTTGTGTCGCTGTTTTTCAGCGTCAAGGACCAACGAAGCAGATCCCTGTAACGCTGCAAAGATGTCGTCGAACACTGCAGGGTGCGAACGCACCCAGACTGTTCTCGCGGGACTCTGTTGAGCCGTGTCAGCCAGTACCTTTTTCTTTCCTTTGCGCCTGCGTTTAGAGCCTTCCGCTGGGGACGCGTTCGTCGGTGCCGAAATGTTCCCAACAGGTAATGGCCGCCACATGATCGTGACTGGTGCGATCAAATCAAAGGGGTAGCTTCCTGGTTTGTATAAGTCCGTCTCGAGCACACGAGCACCGGACATGGACCTAATGAATCATTAGCCCATGCCTCTCCATCAACCTCGCAGACTGACCGCTTCATTCCAGTGCACTGGGGATCACAACAAAAATCCAGCACACTTCGAAGGATGTTTTCAGGCCCCTTGAGTTCTATCAGTGAGTGGTACGACGAATCATGCAGGATTGAGCCATGCATAGAGGCTCGATGTGAGGGACGGAATGATTTCTCGGTCGGTGTTACTGCCTGGACAAAAGATTCAGAAGGGGCCTGAAATCATAACTAGAGACCAACGAGTCTATACCCCCACATGTTTTCCATCTTCATCCGCTTGGCGTGCCAAATATGAGTCTCAAGCCAAGTCTTGTCGCCTGCCGAACACATCGTAAGATAAGGAACATGCGGGGTCATATGACTACTGACGTTGTCGCTTCAAGAGGGATTCGGTGCGGCTCACTTGCTTCGTTTTCCCCCGCTTGGAGCGTCCACGCTTAAGTATACGCCGGGTGACAGGAACCATCTGACAAGCAAAATGAGAAAAATTTCCAAGGAAGTGGTTTGAGTCTTACCTCGGCGCGTGCTTTCTCTCGTAAACGTAAGGGAACACGGCGAACGTCGTGGCTAGCGGCTCTTCGTCGTAGATGGCGGGGCAGAGTCTGCCATACGCGATGAGTCACACTTTCCCTGAGGGCGAGACATCAGTAGTTATATATATTGAGATACATTCTCCTAACCCTGCTGTCTTGATCGCTTTCTGCATGGCATCGATCTCATACGCTCGAGCCTAGTGTTTCACAATTGAACAATATAGAACCGGAATCGGCCAAAGCACGTACCTCTGTAAACCTTTCCACATCGATTGATGCGGGTAATCCCTGCATAGCTATTACAGGTAAATGACAAGTGAAGACACGACACGCGAAAGATGCTCACAGTCAAATCGAACGGTAGTACTTGACGGTCCTGCGAGCGCGTTTCCTGAAGATTGAACAGCCCCACTACCACTAGTTGACACAGACGGCTGAACTGCAATTGTCCGAGCACCTGCAACTTTGAGTCTCTTCCGTTCCCGAGACGTCATTTCCTCCGCGTCGTCCCCCTTACGTTTTAAAACCATTTGTGCTCGATGTCAGATGATGCACTGTTTCCTAAAAAACAAGTCCCAGATCTGGTTTATGCACTCATTCAGCACTGACAGAAACCGAGGATCGGAAGGTGGTGAATACAAAATCTTTGGACTGAAAGAACAAAGTAGAGTTGCCACAAACGCGACCTCTACCGGCAAACGCCGAACAACATCTTCCTCTCACCACCATGGCCTCGCGTTGTCTGGCTCTTACCCCAAAATTTGCTCAGCGCTCAGGTGCACGATTTCTGTCGACAACTAGAGTGCTACGGGAAGAGGCAACCACTTCACCCAACCTAGGATCGGTGCAGCCGCAGAAGAGACCGGTCGGAGGCTTTCGGGGAGGGTAAGCAATATTGCACGCGCCTTGCTATATGATCTGATTCTTACTTCTTGTTGCTGGTACAGAATAATCGGGTTTCTGTTTGGATTCTCGGTAGCTTCTGCATTTGCTGCGTACCATCTTTTAGACGAGTATAAACTAGCTTCCGCGGCGCTGCAGGCCAGCGTGGAGGAGCTACAAGCAAGCACGGAGAAGGTTTGAGACTTTACGCTTCCATGAAACATTCTGTTTATGCTGTCTATGATTCCTTCAGGTGTCTGCACACGTCCGTCGTATCGAAGCAGTGGAGAAGGACCTGAAGGCGCTTGCTCAGAGCTCTGCAAGTAAAGACGACCTATCAAGGGTTCGTGCAGAGCTCAAGAAAGTATATGATGGACTGCACATTGGTACGTTTTTTACGCTTTGACGGCAGCGGACGGCCTTACAGACTTTGACAAGAATTCCTTGATTTGAGATCACATGTGTGGGGCATGCGTTAGTCATTATTGTGTTTCTTCGATGTCTACCACTGACGAAACGTTTGGAACAGAACAAGATTTGCATTCGTTAGCCAAGAAGGACGCCACGTCTGTTCGTGTATAGAATATATCATACCTATAGAACTCCTTGGAAACCTCCCTTTGTCAACGGTGTGAAATTATCATTGACCGACAAATTCATGACCCTGTATGACTTTCATGCAATGAAAGTCACAGCTAGGAGCATCCTCGGTTTCCTCTGATGCTTAACGAAGTTCGCAACAGAACGAGTCCGAGGAAATGCCCTACGATGGTAGGGTGTCCTCTTTTTTGGGGTATGAGAACATAACAGGCAGTCGGTATCAAATTTGTGCCCTTCATGAGTGGAGAAGAATACCCGTGGACTTTCATCTGCTTGGAGTACCACGAAACATTCCTTTTGTTAGCAAAGATTAATGAATTCGATGCGCTGCACGAGTCTCATGACGGGAAAATACGATTGACGGATAGCGAAAGAAGTAGAGTTACAAAGGTAATAGCTTTTCATATGCTGCAGTATTATTGACCATCAGTGCTCGGGAGTGGTGCGCAACAAATCAAAAGTACGAGACGAGCCAACAACGTGAGGAATCGTGACCGTACGGTTGCTGTACGTGGTGTGGTACCCTGGGTGCTGGTGTTTGGAGCAGGTTGTGTTGTAGACGTCGAAGTAGCGGCAGGCCGAGATTGCGATGAGGACCCCTGGCCATGCGATTGGCCCTTATGTTGCTGGGTTTCTTTGGGCCTCGGAGCAACATACAAGGACTACAGCGGAATGATTGAGCCACGGTGAATGAACGCGCACGCGAGGAAAGAAATACCTTTCTGTCCCGTACTGCAGCGACTTCGACAGGACGAGGGCCGCGATGAGAGAAGATCCCTTGCCTCGAGGTTTGTTGGAGTTCAGTTGCATCGCTGGCGTGAAAGTGAGAGGGACGAAAGAGCGATGGAATGCGGGCGAGGAAGGCGCGTGGACTCCTTATAGAGGGTGCAAGAATGCGATTGGAGGAAGGGGGATGGACATCGCGCGAGGCGGAGGACTGATTGTAATATGTAAAAACAAAGAACTGATTCAAAATACGCTGACGACGTACATGAATGTCGCCTTGCATGTCATCAAAAACCTTTGGGGTGTTCGACGGGCCTGAATAGGTGGACGTCGCGTGGCATTATTCTAGAATGACGACGCTAAAGTTGTTGAAAATATTAAGAAACACGTAGGTCACGTACGTTCATCGGCGGCTTTCGAGCTAGGACCTGCGAGTGGGAGATGAGCTTGGATTTGACTGAAGAGCCATAAGATTTACATGAGGAATAGGTAGGAGAAGGTCTTCAAGGCCAGTGTTTTTGAGGATAGCCTGAACATCCCATGCGTACACATTTTTGTCACTGCCAGTGACTAGTACTTTTCCATCGGCGGAAAGGGCGGCGCATCGCACTTCGTCGTCGTGTTGGAGGGGCAGTCCAACTGGAAGGTTTGTGTCGAGATTCCAGAGACGCGCTGTTTTATCTTCCGATGTGCTCGCAAGGAGTCGGTTGTTCTGAGACAAGGTGATGGGTCTGACCCAGTTTGTGTGACCCTCAAGGATGGCAATTTGGTTCCAAGTGGCAGTGTCGAATATCCTAATTGGGCCAGATGACCCGGAGGAGATGAGTTTCTTTCCATCTGATGTCCATGCCAAGCTAAAAATTTCCCAATCGTGTTTGAGTGTGGCGAGCAGGTCGCCCGTCTTTGCATCCCAGATTTTTGCAGCAGTCTCGCCGCGATCGTTTCCTCCGGTCGCAATTTTTGTGTTGTCGGGCGAGGAAATCACCGTCCACATAACCTCGTGCCCAGTCTTGAGCTTGATTGGACCCAAGACTGTTTCGCCGCTCTTGACATCCCATACTCTTACTGTCCCGTCGATAGATCCGCTCACGACTCGCTTACCACCTGCACTCCAGCACACTGAAATCACGGCGTCAGTGTGCCCTTCCCATTTGACAATGACCTTTCCCGTCCTAACGTCCCACAGCCTCACCGTCCCATCACCACTTCCGCTTGCCACAGTGCTGCCGTTTGGAGACAATGCTATTTTGGACACTCTCACTTCATCCACCCCATCTCGCCAGTCATCGCCAATCTGTATCCCGCTCTCTAGGTCCCATAGTCGGAGTGAGCCGTCCGACGAGCATGTGATGATGCGTCGTCCACCTGGCAGGTGCACAACACCTTGTACATATTCGGTATGGCCTCGTATAGTCTGGTAGGGCGTGACGTCTGGCAGTCTTACTCGGTTGGGATGACATGGTTAGTGCCCGGAGGCTCAACTACGACAGATGGTCGATAATGTACGCGCGCCAAGAGAAGCGCACTGAGATCAACTTTCAATGAAAACTGAGGGAAAACGACTTCGTGCAGGAATTCAATATTCAGCCCCTAAGTTTCGTAGGACAACACTTCAGGGTTTATGTATGCAGCAATCCGAGCGATCTTTGTATCATACAAGTCGCCGGTAAGTTGGGTGGTCAATCCGGTCAGCTGTAATAGCATAGAATATCACTCACGAGAAACACCTGTTCCAGGACCAACTGAAAATTAGACGATCGACACTACCTGTAAAATGAGAAAGTGAGTGTTGGGTTTTAGAGGTGAGGAAGGCGGGGCATCTGCTTCCTTTAAAGGTATGTATTGCGGTGCTGAGCTATTTCCACGCGTCATCCCTTGTGTTCGCTTCACAGCTCAAATGCTGTGTAGCGAAGCGCTCTTCCAGCCAACTTCGAACTAACTCTTCAGCATGATGCAGGCTGTGCACCATGACATCACCAGTTCTATCCAGAACTTGCTGTGCTCATCCTAATTCTTTATTCTGATGTAAACCAGCCACTCTTATTCCATGCCGGCACTCCATATTCGTGGCGCCTATTACCAGGGTGAACTCCACTGGATAACAGTCCTATCTTCCTTTGTACTTCTCGATTCTCCAATACCCCACAAACTTTGACCCCATTCTAACACGAAGGATATGCGATCATGGTATCTAGGTAAATCATGTCCGTTATGATTTCAGCATGAAGCCGACGTCTGGAATCATTTACTGAGCGCTTATCAATATCCACAGATTGCGAAAACTCTGTGCTGGCTGGGTGCTTGTCAATATACGGCATTGAATCTGATGAACTTTGGAGAATCGCTGCTTAATTGACAGTTTTCGATGGTTTAGAATGGCCATGATGTTGCCAGGACGGAGGGTGGTGAAATAGTCGAGTCTCTTGTCTCACACAGAAAGGAACTTCGCTACCGCTCGAGCAGGTGTCCAGCAGCGATCAGATCAGGGCCTGAAGTTAGTACTGACAGGTGGGAGGTAGGAAGGTGCGCTCATCATTGTAGATTTGTAATGGGATTGCGAACACTGCAGTACTGGACCGTGGTGAAGAGACCATATGTTGTACTGGGATCTCAGTCCAACTCCATGGAATGTGAACGTCACATCCGCATGCTCATCATTGATGCAGCTTTCGCATCAAGTTTAGCTGCATTCTGATAGATGTCCGGACGGTCTAGCCCCCTACTTTTGTTGTACCACAACGTTTCCAGGTCTGTCGAAGTATTACTCCAAGGCGATTGTGTCGTCCCTTCAATGAATGCTGCAGCCCCGCATACAATTCAGTTTCGGAAATCTATATGTCCCCGTCAGAGCCAGCCTCTCCAATCCAATAATAGCTAAAACATACATTCCTCATTTCAACTACGAGCGCGAAAACCCACTCCCAAGCCGATGTCCAATCCCCTGGCCCGCTGCCAATGAAAAGGCCGCAGCTGACCGTTGTGCACTTGCACAGGGCAACCACTGCAGTAGAGTCCCCCGGTGGGAGAGAGATCTTGGACGCTTCATTGCGGGAAGAAACCTACTACCACGAGTATAAGGATTCGTTTGCACGTGAAGTCGAAGCCTATGGATGTTTTGGACACATTCAGAGCTCTACTATCCCCCAGCTTCGTGGTTCAGGTCGAAGCCATGGTGAAAGTTGCGCCATATCTCCCAGGGTGCTTTTCATGGAATACATCCCAGGCGAGAACCTCACAATCACTCGAGACCCACAATCAGTCCAGTTCAGCATACCAGGAGCTCGTAAAGGCCGTGAGCACCCTCGTGTCTTTCGGTATCATCCATGCTGATATGTGCCCAGACAACATTGTCATGTCTAACAATCACCCTAGACGAGGTGGTCTTACTTTATAGATTTATAGATTTGTTGAGAAATCTAATATTCGCTTCATATCATGTAGGTATTTACAAGGCTTTATCATGAGATTTAGCGCTTTTCCGTTAGGTTGTGCATTCCACCCAATCTTCGCATTCGAGAGGCGCGGCCCGACTCGCAAGTTGGTGTCGAGATTCCACAGATACGCTGTTTTATCAGTGCGCATATAGCCTCACTCTTACTTAAGTTGTTACTGGCATAGAATAATCGGGTTTCTGTTTAGATTCTCGGTAGCTTCTGCATTTGCTACGTACCATCTTGTAGACGAGTATAAACTCGCTTCTGCAGCGATGCAGGCCAGCGAGGAGGAGCTACAAGCAAGCACGGAGAAGGTTTGAGACTTTGCGCTTGCATGAAACATTCCGTTCATGTTATATATAATTTCTTCAGGTGTCTGCACACGTCCGTCGTATTGAAGCAGTGGAGAAGGACTTGACGGCGCTTGCTCAGAGTTCCGCAAGTAAAGACGACCTATCAAGGGTTCGTGCAGAGCTCAAGAAAGTATATGATGGACTACACATTGGTACGTTTTTTACGCTTTGACGGCAGCGGACGGCCTTACAGACTTTGACAAGAATTCCTTGATTGAGATCACATGTGTGGGGCATGCGTCAGTCATTATTGTGTTTATTCGATGTCTACCACTGACGAAACATTTGGAACAGAACAAGATTTGCATTCATTAGCCAAGAAGGACGCCACGTCTGTTCGTGTATAGAATATATTATACCTATAGAACTCCTTGAAAACCTCCCTTTGTCAATGGTTTGAAATTATCATTGAGGGTCAACTTCATGACCCTGTATGACTTTCACGCAATGAAAGTCACAGCTACGCTCCTAGCACCCTCGGTTTCCTCTTATATTTAACCAATTATTCTGAAGTTTCGAAACAGAGCGAGTCCGAGGAAATGCTTTACGATGATCCCTTTTTCGACATGAGAACATAAGGGGCAATCGATATCAAATATGTGTCCTACGTGAGCGGAGTGGAATACCCGTAGACTTTCATCTTCTTTGAGTACCACGAAACATTCCTCTAGTGAGCAAAGATTATTGAGTTCAATGCACTGCACGACGAGAAAATACTATTGACGGAGTAGCGAAAGAAGTAGAGATACAAAGTAAATAGTTTTCCGTATACTGCAGTATTAATGACTATCGGTGCTTGGGAGAGGTGCACAACAAATCAAAAGCACGAGACGAGCCAACAACGTGAGGAGTCGTGACCGTGCAGTTGGTACACCTGGTGTGGTAGCTTGGGTATTTCGAGCAGGTTGTGTTGTGGATGTCGAAGTAGAAGCAGCCTGAGATTGCGATGACGACCCTTGGCCATGCGATTGGCTGCTCTGCTGCTGCATTTCTTTACGCCTCGGAGCAACAAACAAGGACTACATCAAAATGACTGAGCCACGGTGAATGAACACACGCGCGAAGAAAGAAATACCTTTCTGTCTCGTACTGCAGCGACTTTGACTGTACGACCGCGACGAGAGAAGATCCCTTGCCTCGGGGTTTGTTGGAGTTCAGTCGCATCGCTGGTGTGAAAGTGAGAGCGTTGAAAGAGCGACGGAATGCGAGCGAGGAATGCGCGTGGACTCCCTATAGAGGGTGCAAGAATGCGATGGGAGGAAGGGGGATGGACATCGCGCGATGTGGAAGACTGATTGTAAGATGTAAGAACAAGAACTGATTCAAAAGCCACGGACGACTTACATGAATATCGCCTTGCATGTCATCGAAAAACCTTGGTGGTATTCGACGGGCATGAATAGGTGGACGTCGCGTGGCATTATTCTAGAGTGACGACGCTAAAATGGTTGAAAACACTAAGAAAAACATCACATACGTTCATTGGCTGCTTTCGAGCTAGGACCTGCGAGTGGGAGATTAGCTTGAATTTGACTGAAGAGCCATAAGATTTACACGAGGAATAGGTAGGAGAAGGTCTTCAAGGCTGGCATTTTTGAGCATAGCCTGAACATCCCATGCGTATACATTTTTGTCACTGCCAGTGACTAGCACTTTTCCATCAGCGGAAAGGGCCCGCGCATGACACACACCCTTCGTGCTGGAGTGGTCGTCCAACTGGAAGGTTTGTGTCGAGATTCCAGAGACGCGCTGTCATCATCATCTGACACACTTGCAAGGAGGCGGTTGTTCTGAGACAAGGCGATGTCATTGATCCAGTTTTTGTGACCCTCTAGAGTAGCAATCTGCGTCCAAGTGGCAGTGTCGAATATCCTAATTGGGCCATATGACGCAAGGATGAGTTTCTTTCCATCCAATGTCCATGCCAAGCTGCCAACTATTAATTCATCATGTTTGAGTGTGGCAATCAGCTCGCCGGTCCTCGCATCCCAGATTTTTGCAGTATTTTCTTTGTATCCTCCTGTCGCAATTTTTGTGTTGCCAGGTGAGTAAATCACCGTCCACACAGATTTGTGCCCAGTCTTCATTGGTCCCAAGACTGTTTTGCCGCTCTTGACATCCCATACTCTTGCTGTCCCGTCCCAGGATCCGCTCACGACTCGCTTACCACCTGCACTCCAGCACACTGAATTCACGGTGTCAGTGTGCCCGTCCCATTTGACAATGACCTTTCCCGTCCTAATGTCCCACAGCCTCACCGTCCCATCATCACTTCCGCTTGCCACAGTGCTGCCATTCGGAGACAATGCTAATGTGGACACTCCTGCTTCATCCATTCCATCTCGCCAATCATCACCGATCTGTATCCCGCTCTCCAGGTCCCATTGTCGGAGTGAGCTGTCAAACGAACATGTGATGATGCGTCGTCCACCTGGCACGTGCACAACGTCTCTTACACGTTCGGTATGGCCTCGTATAGTCTGGATGGGCGTGACCTCCGGTTTCTTACTGGTTTGGGATGACATGGTTAGTGCCCGGAGGCTCAACTACGACAGATGGTCGATAATGTGCGCAAGAGAATCGCACCGAGATCAACCTTGAATGAAAACGGGTTGTCTTGTAATGGCAGAGATGGCTGGTGAGTCAAATGGCCTGTTATTCTCAATGAAGCTGAGGAAAACGACTTCTTACAGGAATTCAGTGTTCAGCCCGAAATTACAGGACAGCTTCAGGGTTATGTATGCAGAATTTGCGAGTGATCTTTATATTAGACAAGTCGCTGGTAAGTGGGTGGTCAGCTGTATAGCATAGGGTATTACTCACGAGAAAAATCCACCCAGACCAACTTAAAAATTAGATGATCACCACTACAGTCGCCTGTAAACTCAGAAAGTGGGCGTTGGGTTTAGGGTTGAGGAAGGTGGGCATGTGTTCCTTTAAGGCAGGTAATGCGGTGCGTATTCCACGCGTCATCCTCGTGTTCGCTTCATAGTTCAAATGCTGTGTAGAAGAAGCGCTCTTCTAGCCAACTTCGAACTCGGTATCATCAACTCACTATCATCGAGGGCTATGCACCATGTCATCACCCGGTCCTACCAAGACTTGCTGTGCCCATTCTAATTCTTTATTCTGATGACCAGCCACCCTTATTCGATGCTGGCACTCCATATTCGTGGCGCCTGGGTGAACTCTACCGGATAACAGTCCTATCTAGCGCTCCCTTTGTACTTCTCGATTCTCTAACGTTCCACAAACTTTGACCCCTTGTAACACGAAGGATATGCGATCATGCTGTCCAGGTGAATCATGTCCGCTATGGTTTCAGCATGAAGCTGACATCTGGAATCATTTCATGAGCGCTTATCGATATCCACAGATTGCGAAAACTCTGCGCTGGCCGGGTGCCTGTCAATATACAGCATTGAATCCGATGAACGTTTGAATAATCGTTACTTAATCGACAGTTGACGATGGTTTAGAATGGCCATGACGTTGGTAGGATGGAGGGTGGTGAAATAGTCGAGTCTCTTGTCCCACTCAGACAGGAACTTTGCTACCACTTGAGCAGGTGTCCAGGCACGATCAGGCCAAGGCCTGAAGTTAGTATTGACAGGTGGGAGGCAGGAAGGTGCGCGCATCATTGTAGACTTGTAATAGGATTGCGAACACTGCAGTACTGGACCGTGGTGAAGAGACCAAATGATGTGCTGGACTCTTAGCCAAACTCCATGTAATGTAAACGTCACATCCGCATACTCATCATTGATGGAACTTTTGCATCAAGTTTAGCTGCATCCTGATAGACGTCCGGACGATCTAGCCCCCCGATTTTGTTGTATCACAACGTTTCCCGGTCTGTCGAACTATTGTTCCAAGACGATTGTGTCGTCCCTTGAATGAATGCTGCAGCCCCGCAGACAATTCAGTTTCGCAAATCTCGTCCTATTGAATAAGAAGTGGGTGATATGTATGCCCTGGGTCAAAACTTAGGAGTTCACGGACAAGACCTATCGTGAGGTTGTTTAGAACACCAAGGTGAGCAGTGACCGTCGCTTGACTTTTTGTGCAATTGTATATCGTTTATCACCATTCTCTGGCACGCTCTGATTAATATCCTATACCCACCGTCTCGAGGCTCAAGGCTCGCGGTGCCGAATGCTAGACAATATCACACGCTCGACTCGAAATGCAAGGTGATTGACTATATTACAGTATCCGAATAGTCCAAGTCAGGATCCCCTAGTCAGACCTATCGCAAGAAGATTGTCGTACTTTCGTATCGGGACACTATAACATCCTTGTGAGTAAAGGATGATTTGGATCTTACTGAAATACTCTCACCGGTACATTCTCTCATAGTCTCCTTTGCCATTCTTCATGAATTAACTCACATCGTTACCACTGTAGGGATTTCTTACATGGCACGCGGTCGAAGCGCAGGCGAGTGTTTGGCAATGGCAGATATTCCTGGTAAGTCGATCTGCCTATCTTCTTTAACTTCAGTTCTCGTTAATAGAAGCGTACAACCCGTCGCTCACCAGACAACTTGCTTACAGAAATGCAGTCCTCACCCAGACACGTCTGTTCGTGTATAGATTATATCCGAATACTTATAGAACTCTGGAAACCTCCCTTCATCAACGGTTTGAAATTATCTTCGATGGACATAGACGTCAACTTCATGGCCCTGTATGATTTTTACATGACGAAAGTCACAGCAAGGAGCATCTTCGGTTTCCTCTGATGCTTAAATCATTGCTCTGAAGTTTGAACCAGAACGAGTCCGAGGAAACTGCTTTATGATGACAAGGACTTCATCCTTTTTTGACAACAGGCAACCGATATCAAATGTGTGCCCTGCATGAGCGGACAAGAATACCCGTGGACTTTTGTCTTCTTGGACTACCATGAAACATTCCTCTTGTTAGCAAAGATTAATGAGTTCGATGCACTGCACAAGTCTCATGACGGAAAAATACGATTGACGGAGCAGCGAAAGAAGTGGAGATACAAAGTAAAAAATCTTCCGTATACTGCAGTATTAATGACCATCGGTGCTTGGGAGAGGTGCGCAACAAATCAAAAGCACGAGACGAGCCAACAACGTGAGGAGTCGTGACCGTACAGTTACTGTACGTGGTGTGGTAGCATGAATGTTACCATTTGGAACAGGTTGTGTTGTAGACGTCGAAGTAGCGGCAGGTTGAGATTGCGATGACGACCCCCGGCCATGAGACTGGCTGCTCTGCTGCTGCGTTTCTTTGGGCCTCGGAGCCACAAACAAGGACTATAGCGGAATGATTGAGCCACGGTGAATGAACGCGCGTGCGAGGAAAGAAATACCTTTCTGTCTCGTACTGCAGCAACTTCGACAGTACGAGGAGCGCGAAAAGAGAAGATTCCTCGCCTCGGGGTTTGTTGGGGTTCAGTTGTATCGCTGGTGTGAGAGTGAGGACGACGGAAGAGCGACGGAATGTGGGCGAGGAGCGCACGTGGATTCCCAATAGAGGGTGCAAGAATGCGATGGGAGGAAGGGGGATGGACGTCGTGCGATGTGGAAGACTGATTGGACAATGTAAGAACAAGAACTGATTCAAAAACGCTGACAACGTACATGGATATCGCCTTGCATGTCATCGAAAAACCTTGGGGGTATTCGACGGGCATGAATAGGTGGACGTCGCGTGGCATTATTCTAGAGTGACGACGCTAAAATGATTGAAAACACTAAGAAACACATCACATACGTTCATTGGCTGCTTTTGAACTAGGACCTGCGAGTGGGAGATTAGCTTGGATTTGACTGAAGGGCTATAAGATTTACATGAGGAATAGGTAGGAGAAGGTCTTCAAGGCCAGCGTTTTTGAGTATAGCCTGGACATCCCATGTGTACACATTTTTGTCATTGCCAGTGACTAGCACTTTTCCATCGGCAGAAAGGGCTGCGCATTCCACTTCTTCTTCGTGCTGGAGGGGTGGACCGATTGAGAGGTTGGTGTCGAGATTCCAGATGCACGCTGTTTTGTCATTTGATGTGCTCACAAGGAGGCGGTTGTTCTGAGACAAGGTGATGAGGTTGACATAGTCTGTGTGACCCTCCAAAGTGGCAATCTGCTTCCAAGTGGCAGTGTCAAATATCCTAATTGGGCCCAATGACGCGCAGATGAGTTTCTTTCCATCTGATGTCCAGGCCAAGCTGCAAACTATTAATTCACCATGTTTGAGTGTGGCAATCAGCTCGCCCGTCTTTGCATCCCAGATGTTCGCTGCATAGTCGTTGTATCCTCCGGTCGCAATTTTTGTGTTGTCGGGCGAGTATATCACCGTGTACACCTCCTTGTGCCCAGTCTCGATTGGACCCAGGACTGTTTTGCCGCTCTTGACATCCCATACTCTTGCTGTCCCGTCCCGGGATCCGCTCACGACTCGCTTACCACCTGCACTCCAGCACACTGAAGTCACGGTATCAGTGTGCCCTTCCCATTTGACAGTGACCTTTCCCGTCCTAACGTCCCACAGCCTCACCGTCCCATCATCACTTCCGCTCGCCACAGTCCTACCATTTGGAGACAATGCTAATGTGGACACTCTCACTTCATCCACCCCATCTCGCCAGTCATCGCCAATCTGTATCCCGCTCTCTAGGTCCCATAGTCGGAGTGAGCCGTCCGACGAGCATGTGATAATGCGTCGTCCACCTGGCAGGTGCACAACGCCTCTTATCAGTTCGGTATGACCTCGTATAGTCTGGTAGGGCGTGACGTCTGGCGTCTTACTCGTTTGGGATGACATGGTTGGTGCTCGGAGGCTCAACTACGACAGATGGTCGATTATGTGCGCAAGAGACGCGCACCGAGATCAACCTTCAATGAAAACGGGTTATCTTGTAATGGAAGAGATGGCTGGTGAGTCAGATAGCCTGTTATTGTCAATGAAGCTGATAAAAACGATTTCTTACAGGAATTCAATATTCAGCCCTAATTCGCAAGACAGTTTCAGGACTATCTATGTACGCAGAATTGGCGAGTGATCTTTGCATTATACAAGTCGCCGGTGAGTGGGTGGACAGCTGTATAGGGTATCACTCACGGGAGACGCCTGTTCAGACCAACTTACAAATTAGACGATCGACACTACAGTCACCTGTAAGCTGAGAAAGTGGGCGTTGGGTTTAGAGTTGAGGAAGGTGGGCATTCGCTGCTTTAAGGCAGGTATTGCGGTGCGAATTCCACGCGTCGTCCTCGTGTTCGCTTCTCAGCCCAAATGCTGTGTAGGCGAAGCGCTCTTCCAGCCAACTTCGAACTCAGTGCCGTCAACTCAGGCTATGCACCATGTCATCACCCGGTCCTACTAAGACTTGCTGTGCTCATCCTAATTCTTTATTCTGATGTAAACCAACCACCCTCATTCGATGCTGGCACTCCATATTCGTGGCGCCTGTTACCAGGGTGAACTCCACCGGATAACAGTCCTATCTAGAGGCCCCTTTGTACTTCTCGATTCTCCAACGCCCCACAAACTTTAACCCATTCTAACAAGGATTGGCAATCGTGTTGTCTAGGCGAATCATGTCCGTTATGATTTCAGCATGAAGCTGACATCTGGAATCATTTCCTGAGCGCTTATCGATATCCACAGATTGCAAAAACTCTGTGTTGGACCGGATGCTTGTCAATATACGGCATTGAATTTGATGAACTTTGGTCAATCGCTGCTTGATCGGCAGTTGACGATGATTTAGAATAGCCACGATGTTGCTAGGACGGAGGGTGGTGAGATAGTCGAGTCTCTTGTCTCACTCAGACAGTAACTTTTCTACCACTTGAGCAGGTGTCCAGGCACGATCAGGTCAGGGCCTGAAGTTAGTATTGACAGGCGGGAGGCAGGAAGGTGCGCTCATCATTGTAGATTTTTAATAGGAATGCGAACAGTCCTGGACCGTGATTAAGAGATCAAATTTTGTGCTGGGATTTCAGCTCCGCTCCATGCAATGTAAATATCACATCCGCATGCTCATTATTAATGGAACTTTTCCATCAAGTTTGGCTGCATCCTGATAGACGTCCGGATGATCTAACCCCCTGATTTTGTTGTATCACAATGTTTCCTGGTCTGTCGAAATATTGTTCCAAGGTGATTGTGTCGTCCCTTCAATGAATGCTGCAGCCTCGCAGACTATTCAGTTTCGGAAATCTCGTCCTATTGAATAAGAAGTGGGTGATATTTATGCCCTGGGTCAAAACTGACCAGTTCACCTATCGCGAGGTTGTTTAGAACGCCCAGGTGAGCAGTGATCATCACTTTACTTTTTGTGCAATTGTATACTGTTTATCACCACTCTCTGTCATGCTCAGATTAATATTATATACCCACCTCGAGGCTCGCGGTGCGGAATGCTAGACGATATCACACGCTCGACTCAAGATTGGGAAATGCATGATTGACTATATTACAGTATCTGAATAGTCTGGGTCAGGATCCCCTAGTCAGACCTATCAAAAGAAGATTGTCATACTTTCGTATTGGGATGCTAGAACATCCATTTGCGAGTAAAGGATGATTTGGACCTTACCGAAATGCCCTCACCAATACATCCTCTCATAGTCTCCTTTGCCATTCTTCATGAATTAACTCACATCGTTCCCACTGTAGGGATTTCTTACATGGCATGCGGTCGAAGCGCAGGTGAGTGTTTGGCAATGGCAGATATTCCTGGTGGGTCGACCTGCCTATCTTCTTTAACTTCAGCTCTCGTTAATAGAAGCGTAAAACCTGTCGCTCACCAGACAACTTGCTTACCGAAATACAGTCCTCACCCAGAAGTCGACTTCGGCACTGTATACACAGAAGTTGCGTATTGGAGAATGCAGATATTTTATTGGTCCAAGGTTGCTGGTAAGCAGGTGGATATGTTTCAGAAGAGCCCAGAGTATCGCTCACGAGAAGTTTAAACAAGTTCAATGCTCAAATCACCAGCGATAAGTGGGCGTTTGGATTGAAGCTGTTGTCTATAATTCCTTCAGGTGTCTGCACACGTCCGTCGTATCGAAGCAGTGGAGAAAGACTTGAAGGCGCTCGCTCAGATTTCCGCAAGTAAAGACGACCTATCAAGGGTTCGTGCAGAGTTCAGGAAAGTGTACGATGGATTGCACATTGGTACGTTGTTGTGTTTAGACGGTACCGGATGAACTTGTAGACTTTGAGAAGAATTCCTTGATTTGAGATCACACGTGTGGGGCATGCGTCAGCCATTATCACGTTTATTCGATGTCTACCACTGACGAAACGTTTGGAACAGAACAAGATTTACATTCGTTAGCCAAGAAGGACGCCACGTTTGTTCGTATATAAAATATATCATACCTATAGAACTCCTTGGAAACCTCCATTCATCAACGGTTTGAAGTTATCTTTGACGGACATAGACGTCGACTTCATGAGTACGATTCACAATGAACGTCACAGTTAGGAGAATCCTCAGTTTCCTCTGATGCTTAACTCATTGCTGTGAAGTTCGAAACAGAACGAGTCGATGGTAGGGACTTCGTCCTCTTTTTTGGGCATGAGAATATAACAGGCAGTCGGTATCAAATTTGTGCCCTACATGAGCGGAGAAGAACACCCGTGGACTTTCCTCTTCTTGGAGTACCACGAAACATTCCTTTTGTTTGCAAAGATCAATCAGTTCGATGCACTGCACAAGTCTTATGACGGGAAGATACGATTGACAGAGTAGACAAAGAAGTAGAGATACAAAGGTAATAGTTTTTCGTCTGCTGGGGTATTATTGACCATCAGTGCTCGGGAGAGGTGCGCAACAAATCAAAAGCACGAGACGAGCCAACAACGTGAGGAACGTAGACGTCGAAGTAGCGACAGGCTGAGATTGTGATGACGACCCCTGGCCATGAGACTGGCCGCTCTGCTGCTGGGTTTTTTTGGGCCTCGGAGCAACAAACAAGGACTACAGCGGAATGATTGAGCCACGGTGAATGAATACGCGCGCCAGGAAAGAAATACCTTTCTGTCTTGTACTGTAGCGACTTCAACAGTACGAGGACCGCGACGAGTGAAGATCCCTTGCCTCGGAGTTTGTTGGAGTTCAGTCGCATCGCTGGTGTGAAAGTGAGAGGGACGAAAGAGCGACGGAATGCGGGCGAGGAATGCGCGTGGACTCCCTATAGAGGGTGCAAGAATGCGATTGGAGGAAGGGGGATGGACATCGCGCGAGGCGGAGGACTAATTGTGATATGTAAAAAACAAGAACTGGGTCAAAAACCGCTGATGACATACATGAATGTCGCCTTGCATGTCATCGAAAAACCTTGGGGGTATTCGACGGGCATGAATAGGTGGACGTCGCGTGGCATTATTCTAGAGTGACGACGCTAAAGTTGTTGAAAATATTAAGAAACACGTAGGTCACGTACGTTCATCGGCGGCTTTGGAGCTAGGACCTGCGAGTGGGAGGTTAGCTTGGATTTGACTGAAGAGCCGTAAGATTTACATGATGAATAGGTAGGAGAAGGTCTTCAAGGCCAGCTTTTTTGAGGATAGCCTGAACATCCCATGCGTACACATTTTTGTCACTGCCAGTGACTAGCACTTTTCCATCAGCGGACAGGGCTGCATATGACACATCCACACCCTCTTCCTCTTCCTCTTCCTCTTCAGGTTGAAGGGGTAGACCGATAGGGAGGTTGGTGTCGAGATTCCATAGACGGGCTGTGTTATCCTGTGATGTACTTGCAAGGAGGCGGTTGTTCCGATACAAGATGATGACGTCAACCCAGCTTTGGTGACCCTCCAAAGTGGCAATCTGCTTCCAAGTGGCAGTGTCGAATATCCTAATTGGGCCATGTGACGCGCAGATGAGTTTCTTTCCATCTGATGTCCAGGCCAAGCTCAAAACTATCCGATCGCCTTTGAGTGTGGCAATCAGCTCGCCTGTCTTTGCATCCCAGATTTTTGCAGCATGGTCGTTGTATCCTCCTGTCACAATTTTTGTGTTGTCGGGCGAGTAAATCACCGTGTGCACAGACTCGTGCCCAGTCTCGATTGGGCCCAGGACTGTTTCTCCGCTCTTGACATCCCATACTCTTGCTGTCCCGTCATAGGATCCGCTCACGACTCGCTTACCACCTGCACTCCAGCACACTGAAGTTACGGTCTTAGTGTGCCCTTCCCATTTGACAATGACCTTTCCCGTCCTAACGTCCCACAGCCTCACCGTCCCATCACCACTTCCGTTTGCCACAGTGCTGCCGTTTGGAGACAATGCTATTGTGAACACTCTCACTTCATCCAACACATCCTGCCAGTCATCGCCAATCTGTGTCCCGCTCTCTAGGTCCCATAGTCGGAGTGAACCGTCCGACGAGCATGTGATGATGCGTCGTCCACCTGGCAGGTGCACAACACCTTGTACATATTCGGTATTGGACTCGTATAGTCTTGTAGGGTGTGAGGTCTGGCGTCTTACTGGTTCGGGATGGCATTGTTGGTGCTCGGAGGCTCAACTACGACAGGTCACAGATGGTCGATAATATGTGCAAGAGAAGCGCACCGAGATCAACTTGAGCGAAAACGGGTTATCTTGTAATGGCAGAGATGGCTGGTGAGTCAAATGGCCTGTTATTGTCAATGAAGCTGACAAAAACGACTTCTTACAGGAATTCAATATTCAGCCTACTAGTAAATTCGCAGGACAGCTTCAGGGCTTGGTATGCAGAATTTGCGAGTGATTATTGTATTAGACGGTCGACACTACAGTCGCCTGTAAACTGAGAAAGTGGGCGTTGAGTTTAGAGTTGAGGAAGGCGGGCATCTGCTCCTTTAAAAGCATGTATTGCGGTGTGTATTCCACGCGTCATCCTCGTGTTCGCTTCATAGTTCAAATGCTGTGTAGAAGAAGCGTTGTTCGAGTTCATGGTACCCTGTTATCATTCGGACCTTTCTCGGTTCCTTCGAACGACTTCAATCCCTGAGCGAAAAAAGTCCGGACACCCTCACGTCATTCACAATGAAAAGACCCCAGGGCCCAGGCTCTGTTCAACATCTTCGCTTCACCTTAGTGTTGCCGCCGAGGCGATTCGAGTCGAATCGATGTCGAAAATTCTGATAAATCGATGCTGTTCGGAATAACGAGTTGAAACGATTAATTTGTACCTCATTCACCCCGTGATTTGGAAACGAGTTCGGAGTGATACGGACTTCGAAACAAAACAACATTGCAGCCAATCGAACTGCAAATCCCAGGCGCCTTCGTCGTAATCTCAGCTTACCCCCTCTCGACGCCCGCGACACCTCCTGCTCATGATACCGACAGATATGGGACCTAGATAGCACGATTCTGCATGCCGGAAACTTTGTATCTCCGCAAAGATTTCTTGTGAATGCTTGAATAACACCGGAGTAACTGCCAGAGATATAGTCCCGAAGCAGTTCTGTGTCAGGATTGAATTCTTGCATCTAGGCTGTCTCGCGAACAACGCGTTGTGTGCACTACTATCTCACAAGATAAGCATGTGGACTCACCAGCAATCCCTGCCAGACCAACTCTCTCATTCCACTATTTTTTGTGGGCTTCACTCGCATACATAGTCAAGATCTGCTGTAGTCATCGAACGCCGACCATGTCCCGACCGGTAAGGTGCAAGAGTCGACCGGGTACAAGGTGTTATGCACCTGCCTGACGAATGACGCACAATACGACTCACCCCGGAGTGTGGGATGTCAAGAGCGAGGACACAGTCCTGGAGATGTCCTCGTAGGTGGTGATCGATGATCTATTCACCCGATAACACGAAATTTGCAAAGGGCGGACACCACGAGGACGCAGCAAAAATATGGAATGCAAAGATGGACAAACTGCTTGCTCTTCTCCTTCCATTATCTAACCCCACCTGGCCCGATCATCCGCCGCCGCCGCAGAAGTCGACGTGATTTGAGCGAGAAGCAATACATATATTCATATAGGAGACACATTGGAAGCCGTACGTCGACGGCAACACTAAGAGACGGAACGATAACGTGGAAGAACGTATGATTCAAGCGGTAAGAGTAAGTTGAGATCCAAGTACAGGTACGTCAACTATATATATGATTCTGTGTCGTGCGCGGTGTCCAATCAGCGATGTACTAGGTGAGACGCGTCATCGAAGGTGTTGCATCATAGGCTGCGTCACTAGGGGCCGGCGCTGCCAACACAGACCTTGCGCAATGCGGAGCTATCTGTTAGTTATGGCTGGGCGCTGGGCGCTGAGCATTCATTCTGACGTGGCGTAGTGTCGCTATCTCGGTTTGCTGACAGTGGCTGTTGAAATCTTTATGTCGTGACTGGTAGTCTTGCTGTCTCGTTTTTCTGGGTTCTATAGTCTGACTGTTTGGATGTTTCTTGGTTTCGGCAGACATGTTGTATTTATATTTCACGAGAGTGTCGCAGTCGATGCGCAGGCAATGTTTTCTACTTGTTTCACGGTAGTAAGGGCTCACGGCCGCTCAAGCGCTCAAGAATAACATGGGGGAAATTGACGTGTTTGTTTGTACCGGTGTCGCTTCCCATTACATATTTCGGATGATCCCAATAGACCTTGCTCCACAAGGTAATATGTTCATGCTCACACACATGACCGAGACGCATAATCAACGCACAGGTAATTTAATGCTTCCATGTGGTTATAAGGATGCCAGTTGCGTTATATACGGTTTGCTAGTAACCCACTGCTCGGATCATGGCACCTGCAGTTGATGGTCACCTTGCTATCCTCGCCGGCATTCCTCTTTCCTTTGTCGCCGTCACGGCACTCTGGCGATTCATCAAAAAGCGACAGAATAACCCCTCTCTTCCTCCTGGCCCAGTGCCACTCCCACTATTAGGGAACATCTTATCTATTGACCCTCAGGAGCCTTGGCTGACTTATACCGAATGGGGTGCTACGTATGGTACGTGAAAAGACAGTATAGGGCATATGTGGTGCAAATCATTGTATCAGGGGACTTGGTCTTCATGCGAAATCTAGGCGAGGAAATGGTCGTGATCAATTCTCAGCACATTGCAGAAGCCTTATTGGACAAGCGTTCTCGGATTTACTCCGATCGACCATACTTAGCCACACTCGAGCCGTGCGTTCCTTCCGTATTTTTCTATTCAATCGAGTCTGAGCTTCATGTAGATATGGCTTGTCGATTACCTTTTCATTCTTAGGTTATGGTGATGAATGGCGTCTCTGCCGACGACTCTTCCACCAAATTTTCCGTCCCGAGTCTGCAGTAAAATTTCGCCCAATGCAGATCAGGCGTGCTCGTGAGATGGTCGTCAACCTAGTCGATGACCCTCAACATTATCATGACCACATTGTAACGTCAGCAAATGGTTTTTACAATTTGAACGATTATTTACCTGTTCACAGATTCTCGTTATCTGTTGTGATGTCAGCTGTATATGACTACGATATCAGTGCTCGTGATGATCCTCTGGTGCGGATTGTGGTAAAGGCACTGATTCCGGGCACGGCCGTGTTGACCCCAGAGAGAGCATTAATGCTTAAGACCTTCCCCTTCTGTGAGCTCAACTTTCCTAGATGAGAAAGCGTTAACATGACATGCACTTTTAGTACTAAAGTTACCCGACTGGTGCTGGGGATCCTCGATCAAGCGTAGTGCTCGAGCTTCGACCGAGCGCGTCAATCAAATGGCCGACGTGCCATTCCAATATGTGCAGCAGCGCATGGTGGGTATTTATTTTTCTCTTGGTCCCAGACATTGACCTTTGCCAAGGCCGACAGCTCGTTCGTCGCTCAATCTTCAATGGTTGCAGAAAACTTACGACGGATGGAAACGCAAGAGGAGGAATCCAAACCTGCATTTGAGAATGCCTTGAAAAAAGCAGCTACTACTGCTATTATGGGTAAGTAAACTTTTTACAAGTAACGTTGTGCTCTCGACACACACTAATATCACACAGCTTCATATGATACGGTAAGTGGACAACTCCATTATCTCCGCTGCTTACCGTCGTTACAGACTGAGGCAGTTTTGATGGTTTTTGTTTTGGCCATGGTATTATATCCAGACATTCAAAAACGCGCACAAGCGGAAATCGACTCAGTGATTGGAAGAGATCGGCTGCCAACGTTTGAGGACAGAGCATCACTACCTTACATTGATGCAGTTATGCGGGAAACTTTCCGATGGCAGCCCGTTGCACCCCTTGGTATTGTTCCCCGTCAAGTAATCTGGCCTGTACTGAAGACGATCTCATAGGCTTACCACATGCTACCTCGAGTGATGACGTATATGATGGCTATTTCATTCCAAAAGGTCCGCTGTTTTTGTTCCACCAACAATGAACATTTATAATATCGTACATCAGGCACAATCATCGCGTATAACATATGGTCCGGTCCGATATGTTCCTCCCAGCTTTTGTGATACTGACTTGATTGTAGGGGCATTACACGGGATGAAAAGCGGTACCCCGACGCATCTCGTTTTATACCAGAAAGGTTCATCGACGTTGATGGTACATTAACAGGCGATGATCCCACACAGTTCGTTTTTGGCCATGGCCGGCGTATATGTCCAGGTTCGTTATGTTATTTTAATCCTAGAAAAGATTCGCTGACAGATAGACTTGAACCAGGGCGCTATACTGCCGATGCCTCTACGTGGTCTGCCATTGCGACCATGTTGGCCACATTAGATATTTCTTCTGCAAAAGATGATCATGGCAAAGTGATCAGCTTCACTCCCACATTCATCACGGGACTGGCTCGGTACTTGATTTCCTCGTGTCATTCTATCCTCTTGTCACTAACAATTCCGTTGCTTCAGCTGTCCTGCGGTCTTCCCTTGCAGTATTTCAACACGGTCTCACATTCATTCGGACGTCGTGGACGGTTGCCGAACTGCCGAGTTTTGAATGAAGGGATGACAGTTTCCTCTATCTGTGATCTAATTGGTCCAGGAGTAATCGATCGAGTATGTACCCCGTTGCTCTGTTAAAAATCAGGAGTGAGTTTTGAGTGCCGTAGCAAAAGATCCATGAGCGTTCGGCGACGCCAAATATTCCCGAGTCGACCCGCTTATCTTTTTTAACTTGAGCTATTGCTCACCAAAACGCCTGCCTTAGGAATCGAGTCCTCACCGGGACACAGAAATCAAACAAGAAAAACATGGAAAATAAAAAAAACCCACTCATCATGCTCATTAGCAATCGAACACAACAGAGCCCTAAACCCGAAAGGCTGTGCGGGTGAAATTGGTTGGTGAGACTAACTGGCAGACAGTGGCCGCCTATACTAGTAACTAGAGTCAAAGTGACGCGCAGGGTGGGGAGGATTCAAATTTCAAAGTATTTGGAATTCATTTCGAACAGCATCAGCTGCGGACCGATTCTGGTTTTTTTTTCTTCTTTTTTTTGGTGGAATGATATTATCAACTAGCAACTGACAAGGTCAATCCTAGAGGATACGTCGGGACCCGGGGGTATGGGGATTTCACCCGATTTAGTTAATAGAATAATCACCCAGAGGAAATACTTGATGTACGCGAATGCAGTGTGAGACTCTATGCCTTGTTCGGATTACCTATTCCGTCCCGGAGGACGGCCACTAAAACCCCTGATGTTCAGATCCAGTTATCCGGAAGGTTATCTTCGTCTTTTAGGAGGCCACTCCAGGTCTTTAGGACCGTATCTATTTTAATAGCTTTATTCCCATATCTCATTGAGTCAGTGAGTAGCCAGTCAAATTTCAGTCTCATGTTGATAGCATGAATCCATCTGTTGTGGATTTCAGTCTCAGAATGGAATTTATCCTTGTTACCAGCAAGTTTGATGACTCTTTCACACCTCAGTTTCCAAATAAGGTGAGCTGATTCCAGTGTTAGTATTCTGAACAGTCTGGTTGCACCCAGTTTCTCTTTTCCTTCTGCATTGTGAAATATTAATAGATAACATCCTAGTATTGTGCTGAAACATATTTCCAGCCAGCTTGATTCACATTTACACCATAAATCTTTGGCTGCCTTCCAGATTACTCTTTGGGCTGAGGACTTGTCGCAATCAAGGAGGATGTGTTCCATGGTTTCTGGTGAGTTGCAGAGGCAGCATCTTCCCCTTATCTCACAGTGTGGGATTTTATCCCAGAACTCACCTATCTTGTATGCGCCATGTAGGCATTTCCATAGGAAACCCCAGATGTTTCTAGGGATGTCTCTTTTTTTTATTTGTGTCCAATTTTTGTCCTTTTCAGAGTGATACTCTATGTAGGACGTTACAATCTATACTAGAGACCCCCAGTGTCTCGGGTGCATCTCAGGCTTGTGAATGACCTGATGTGAGGTGTGCCCCCATCAGTCTGCCATTCCCGCCGGCCATTTTAGATGCTCTGCCTTTTAGTTGAGATGACTGTGTATGAACTGTTGTTGTATGGTGCTGCTTCTATGTTCATATACTTAACACATACTTGGCTGCCCTAGTGTACCCGCCAGCCTTGCTCTCGGAAGAAGGAGTGAGGCTGTCTCTGATGCTGCTGCCGCTGCTGTCTACAACAACTGTGTGTGACTGTGCGTCTACCCTCTGGACCCCGAATGCCTCGGACCTCTGACTCCTGTCTTCTATCTCACGCTTGGCTACCTCACATGCTATCCTCACTCTAACCTGACCCTCGAATGGCCCTTGCCTGACGGTCCCCACTACACTAGGCAACTGGTACAGGAATCGGGAGGGATGCAAACAAGGTAGGTAAATGTTCAACTGGTTCAATAGTTGATCGAGGACCGTGTCATTTGGCTGATTCTGCTTCTTTGGTGTGTGATTCCATGTAGTTGAGTGTAGCATGTGGTGGTACGAAGATGGTGATACAGGGAGGTATGGTTTGATGGGAGATTCGGTTTGCAGGGCTTGGGTGGTTCAAAACTGGTTCTTGTCTGGCAGTTTGTGAGGGAGAGGGTACTTCACCAAAGGTCTGTCTGAGTCTTCCTGTAGCGTTGATGAAATGAATGAGGTGTGGAGTTGCGCTGGGGTCTGAGAGGAGGAATGACTTTGCGGCCTAGTGAGCAGGTGAGGGTATGATGTTCACGGCGGGTACCAAGGGCAGTCTATGAGGAAATGTGAGATGGTTTCACTGACTGCAGGGAAGTGTGGACAATGGGGTGATGGTGCTTTGCTGATGCGGGTGGAGATGGTGGTTCAGTGGGATGTGTTGCGAATGGAGGGCCATGTATGGTCCAGTAAGGCGTTTGGGGAAGTCTGTGGTGAGTTGACAAAGGAGCACTTCAGAAGTCTGGGGTTGATTCTGTTGATGCGGTTGTAGTGTGGTGATTTGCGCCAAAGTCTCCCCCACCAAGAGTGAGTGAATTCCCTGTGTGCTGCTATGAGTGCCAAGATACTTAGAGGAAGTGAACCATTGTCATGCATGGTATGTGATCCATATACACAACAGCAGTGACAAGGAAGGTAGAAGACACCAGACTGATTCCTATCACCAAGTTACCTTATCATTTTTCATTCATTTCTTAGCTAGTATTTTCACTTTCAAACTTCACTTCTATTTTTCCATGTATTTCTATTTTGTTCCATGAGATTCTATCTCTTTCTATTTTTCGAGGCACATTTAGCCACCAGACTTTTCCTCAAGCCACCATGCATGTTAGTAATCATGTCATGTGACTGGGAAATACTCTGATTTGTAAGAATTCAACTTGACTCATCATGTTTGGTCATCATTCATCATGCTTTGTAAAACTTGCAACTGTATTTGTGATTGGCTTTGTAATAAGGCTGATTCAGAACACCTAAGGACTTGGTTTGTAAGCACATTCTTACCAATCCATGTGATGACTCATGCTTTTCACTTTTCATTCTTTGTGATACTACACTTCATTTTGTATGTACATTAGTAAACAAGCTGACTCAACACAAGTTTGTAAGCACATTCTTACCAATCTATGTGATGAATCATGCTTAGTAAGATGGCCTCCAAAAAGGTATATAAGGAGCCCATTTTCACCCATGTAATATAAGCTTTCCACTTTAACTCTTTTCTCAAACTGTGTGAGAACCAGTAAGATCTAAGTGCAGGCCATTCAGTAGCCTTGAAGTTAAGAACAAGAAACATCTATTCAAGTTATATACTACCTTACAGGGGTTGACTATATAACAAAGTGCAGCTACCTAGCTGAGTTCATCAGCACTACTTTCCTCTCTCTTTTTCAGGAAGGGAGACACTCATCACGAATCCATGGGCACACACTTGCCAAAACACATACAAACATCATACTCAGTATTTCAAGAGCACAGACACATTTCACAATCCACAAACACACACTTGCCAAAACATGTACAAACTTCACACTCAGTATTTTGAGACCACGAGGTTTAAAACTAACCGAGGAACAAGAAGAGGAATATTGAAAGATATTCCTCCCAAGAACTTAGCACATTATCTACCATGAAAACTAGAAAAGTCGTAGACTGTGTACTTAAGGACTGGCAAGAAGTCTTATCCTGTATAGTTGTGTTGTCACTATATACAGTGGCTCAAAAAAACCGTCCGTATGTTTTGGCATTTTTCACTATCTATAATATTGTGTGAGAACAAACAAATGCCTCAAAAACATGCTTATACCACATTGTAGTATGGCTTCAGGGCTTTCATTTGAGCCCTACACCGTGGGAATCGGCGGAGATATGGTGGAGATATAAGGCTTATAAAATGATGACTCATGTGGACAGTTTTTGAGTGTATATTAAAACTATATAAATCATTATTTATGACACCATAAAAATCATGCCACTATTATATAAATTATAAAGTGGTGTCATTATGTTATTTTATGACTATATCTAACTATATAAACCAGAATATCTCATGTATCATAGTCATAATCACCATGAAAGCCATCTCCTCTGCTCAAAGAGATAATATCCTCTCTCTGTCTTATGCTGGCCTCTCTGCTCGCCAAATTTCCTCTAGAACTGGAATATGCAAGTCCACTGTGGCCAAGTTCATCAAAGAAAGCCACCCAGACAAGGAAAATTCTTGTGGAGGACGTCCATCCAAGCTTACCTCTACTGACAAAAGGGCTATTATCCAACATATCACTACAGGAAAGGCTGATAATGCTGTCCAAGCCACCCATTATATCAATTCCACCATCACTACCCCTGTCTCTTCACAAACTGTGAGGAATGTTCTCAAGGCAGCTCATCTCAAGGCAGTAACAAAGAAGAAAAAGCCTCTTCTCTCCATCAAACATAGGCAGAGAAGACTAGCCTTTGCCTTAGCTCATCAACACTGGACTGTAGAGGACTGGAAGCATGTTATATGGTCAGATGAGACCAAAATCAATAGGATTGGGTCAGATGGGAAGGTGTATGTATGGAAAAAGAAGGGAGATGGCCTAACAGACAGAGAGGTTAATGGGACTGTCAAGTTTGGAGGAGGTTCTTTAATGGTATGGGGCTGTATGGGATGGAATGGTGTGGGAATGCTTGCTGAGGTTGAGGGGAAGATGAATGCTGAGCAGTATGTGGACATTTTAAATGACCACTTGCTGCCTAGCTTGGCAGAATCAGGGATTGATGAAGAAGATATCATTTTCCAACAGGATAATGATCCCAAGCACACATCCAGAAGAGCTAGGGAATGGTTTGAAGAACATAACATCAATGTTCTTGACTGGCCAGCACAGTCTCCTGATGTCAATGTCATTGAACATCTCTGGGGAACACTCAAGAAAAAGCTTCAAGCCTATGAAAACCCCCCTAAAGGAGTATGGGAGCTTTGGGAGAGAGTAGCAGTGGAATGGGGGAAGATCACAGCTGAGGATTGCCAGAAATTAATTGAGAGTATGCCTAGAAGGATAGAGGCAGTAATTAAAGCCAAGGGAGGTCATACAAAATACTAGAATACCTGGTTATTACTGTAAAATACTTGAGTCAAAAAACTGTCCGCATGAGTCACCATTTTGTGAGCCTTGTATCTCCACCATATCTCCACCGATTCCCACGGTGTAGGGCTCAAATGAAAGCCCTGAAGCCATACTACAATGTGGTATAAGCATGTTTTTGAGGCATTTGTTTGTTCTCACACAATATTATAGATAGTGAAAAATGCCAAAACATACGGACGGTTTTTTGAGCCACTGTATGTGTTGTATATAAGACTCTTAAGTAACAAGACAACGTGATGGCCTCCATTTGACTGACAGAGGTAACATTATGGTTCTCTCTTAAGCACATTGCATATAAGTGATTATTGAACTTATTAAGGTCATCTGAGGTGCCAATGTGGAACCATACTGGCAATTGTTTCGCAATGTTAGGGTTGATACTGATGGCTTCCCAACGGACGTTATACTTCTTGGCTGTCTTGATGATACGCATCAGGTGAGCCAAGAGCTTCTTTTGGAATGGAGCCCACATTTGAAGGAACATGTTAATCTTAGCTTCTGGTCTGGCGACTGGGGAGTCTCAGGCTGCTTTTGCTAGAAGAGCATGAGAGAAGAATGCCCATTGTGGGTGTTTGCTCAAGAGGGGCAAGTAGGCCATTTAGCCATTTTATTTTGATTGCTTCATTACAGCATTTCAGGTGTAACATGTTCTTGCCCCCTTTTGTTATTGGGGCACACAATAGGTCTAAGCTAATGGCATTGTTCCCTTCACTGTCCCATATGAATTTACGGATTTTGGTTGAGAGGAGCTCTGACCTCTTTTTGCATTCCTTGTGCGGTGGTTAGGTATTGGGTCATGCTACCAATCGTACATTCTATTATTATTTTTCGACCTTCGATGGTGGGGTGCCATTTCTCCCAGCATTGGAGTGCTTTGTCTATTTTTGTATGGTTGGGGACCAGATGGCTTGTTGCTTGACACTGTTGCTGATCCATGCCCCTAGGATTCTCATAGCCTTTCCTTCCTTGGCAATATCAATGTTGTCTGGGAGTGTTTCTTGTGCTGGGCTTATCTTTCTTGATGAGATAACTCTGTTCCGGTATTCTTTTGTGCTGATTGGAATAATTTCTGTCTTAGAAGTGTTGAAGTGTGCTCCTGATGCTTTACACCAGCAGGATAAGATTTCGCCGAGTGCATCAAAGCTGTCTTTATCAGACAAGTAAACTGTTGTGTCGTTGGCAAACATAGTCACCATGATATGGTGTCCTCTTACTTAAGGGTCTTATGTACGCCGCTTATATAGTGACAACACAACTATATAGGATAAGACTTATTGCCAGTCCTTAAGTACACGGTCTACAACTTTTCTAGTTTTCGTGGTAGATAACGTGTGAGTTCTTGGGAGGATTTATTTCAATATACCTTCTTTCCTTGTTTCTTGGTTAGTTTAAAACAATTTGATTCTGTATACTGAGTCTATGGTATGAATTGTGTCTGAGAGTTAGTGTGCTCGTGTAGCGTGTAGCGTGAAATGTGTAGCGTGAATCGTGTCTCCCTTCCTGTAAAAGAGAGAGGAAAATAGTATGGGTTAAACTTAGTTAGACTAGCTGATAGATTATATAATCAACCCCTGTAAGGTAGTATATAATTGAATAAATGTTTCTTAGTCTTACTTTGAGGCTAATGAATTGCCTGTACTTAGGTTCTTACTTAATCTCACACTGTTTGAGATGAGTGAAGGTGGGAAGTGCTCCATTTATTACATGGCAAAATTGGGCTCCTTATATACCTTTTGGAGGCCCTGATTACAAAGCATGAATCATCACATGGATTGGTAAGAATGTGCTTACTAACAATGCCATTTGGTGTGTTGAGTCAGCTTGTTTACTAATTTACATTATAAATACAGTGTAGTTTACCAAGCATGACGAATCATGGCATGAGTCATCACATGGATTGGTAAGGATGTGCTTACTAACAATGCCATTTGGTATGCTGAATCAGCCTTCTTACTAAGTAGCTTATAAATACAGTTAGAAATCTTACAAAGCATGATGAATCATGACAAAAAATGATGAGTCAAGCTCAATCTTTACAAATCATGATATCTACCAGTCACATGACATGCTTACAAATCATGATATCTACCAGTCACATGACATGCTTACAAACATGCTTGGTGGCTGAAAAGAAAGTCTGTTGGCTGAATATGCCTGAGGAAAATAGAAAGAGATGGAATGTCATAGAACAAAATAGAAATACATGGAAAAATGGAAGTGAAGTTTGAAAGTGAAAATACTAGCTAATAACTAAGGGGAAAATGATGGGGTAACTTGGTGATAGGATACAGTAGGGTCTATTATACCTTCCTTATCACACCTCTTGTGTATCTGTCATGGTATGAGTTGCATACCATGCATGACAACGGAGGTGGTCTTTGCAGGCCTCTTGAAGTGCTAGAATGTCCCAGTTCTTGGCGGTGTGGTGAAAGAAATAGTAGTCAGCTAGATATACCAACTAACTTACTAAATCCTAATGGGTGCGAGTGCAGTACGTCAACCCAAGGGGACTGCTATTGAAGCACTTCCTTCTAATAGTGCGAGGGAAGAGAAAGGAAGAAACTAAGATCTATGACCTGAGATGTTCCGACCGACTGAAGGTCCAAGTCCAAGAATGTCCGGACACGAGATGCTGATGAGGGACACCGACACGAGATACTGATGAAGGACACTGATATGAGATACTGATGAAGGACACTGATATGAGATACCGATGTGAGGTGAGGAGTCCAATGCCAATGAGTGGCAGGTAAGTCTAGGGCTGAGGTAAGGAGAGTCTAGGTATGACTAGGTATGGGTTGCCTATGCAAGACTACCGGTAGCGGTTCGGATCTCACAAGGCCTAGGTAAAGAAACCTTAGATAGAGTGCACTTAGAGCAGTCAAGGCATGTTCGATGATAAAAAGCAAGGGGATCAATTGCACAATCAAAGACTAACTAAGGTGACTCCTACAATGGTACCAGGTATGTCTGAGGAAGGGAAGTAAGGGATAATACGAAACTTGAGTCCTATTTATCTAACTACGTGAACGTCCAGGATTGCACAGGCGAGAGTAGTAGTGAAGTGCAGGGTACTCAGGTCAATATGTAATAAGGCTTGCAAGTGCTGCGGCCATGGGAATACATGTAATAACGCCTGCTGTTCATTCAGCAATGGTAAAATAAGCTTAAAACGCACCAATGGAGATAGGCAGACATGGGCAGGACATGGGAGGATTCGGTACTGATGGGACGGAATGGTCCGGCCGAGGTGCGCGATAACCAAAATGACAAGTAAGGAACAGTACAGACAACCCTGCCTCCTTGCAAGAGGCCGAGGCAACGGGTCCGTATCGGCCGAGTCGGACATAAACCGGTGTGGTATAGAAGAGTCGAGTGAGTCGAGACTTTTGCTAGGAAGTGATGTATGAATGCGATGTGAACTTCTAGGCTGCTTGACTTCTATAGCGAAATGGGGTTCTGCGAGGGTAGCCCAAGTTTGAACACCACAGCAGTCAGTCCGTTGAGGATAGATTCCTGTGCTGCTCGGGAGTTGTTGAGGTTTTGCTGCCAGATTCAGAGCCTAGCGGGTATTTGTTCTGGTTGCTCAGACATGGTCTACAGGTGGGGATGAGGGTGATGATGGGGTCAGGTTGTGGTCTGTTGGGGCAGGCGAGCTTGGTGTGGGCGAGGAAGGGAACTGGAGGGATGTTGATGTCAGTGTTGGGGCTGGGGTCCTCGAGGTAGTTGATTCGAGATCGGTTGGTGTTGATGTTGATGATGGCAAAGGGGGTGGTGTCGAGTCATTGGTCTTGTTGGTGGCGTATGGTTCGTGTTTGGTGTTGGGTTCGATGAGGTTGTCCGTCACAAGAAGGTCAAATTTGTTGATGTAGGCTTGGGTAGTTGGATTAGGGTGGCGGGTAGGGGATGTATTGACCTGTGGGGCGGTGGGGGGCATCTGGGTTTTTGGTTTAGGGACGGTCTTGGTGAGTGTTGAGATGAGCATTGTCTGGTGGAGGCGTGGAGGGACTTCGTCTGTGTGTGATGATGGAATGTTGGTCAGCCTTTCATAGGGTGCTGCCTTGGGAGGGAGAGTCACATGTGTCCAAGCTTCATAGGTGGGGAATTAGGGTAGTGTGTTCTCAGGGTGCTTGGTGTAGAGTTCATTGCATCATCTGTCGAATTCTGGGCATGCTCTACTCCAGCTGGCGTGGTCGTCGTTTCAGCAGTTGACACATCGGTATGTTCTGTATGTGTTGCATTCATTGGTGCGGTGGTTGGCTGTGCAGGTGCCACATGTGTCTCTGCCGGCCTTACAGTTTCATGCGATGTGGCCGAAGTGTTGACATTTGGCGCAGCAGATGGGTTCCTTCCTGTCCTTTTTTGCTCGTACTAGGTTCTGGTTGATGTAGAGGCCGTTTTTGATTATCTTATTAGCCGTTTCAGCATCATTTACCTGTAATATGGCGAATGCCATCATTTGTCCAGGTGGTCGTTTATGTGGGGGCTTGATCCAGTGCATGGAGATGAGGGAGTTGGTCTCTAGGTGGTTCTTTTGTTCTACTAGTCAAAGGAGGCCTGTGTGTTCGATCAGTAGGTTAACAGGGATGTACTGTACCACCAGCATGTAGGTCCTGTCCTTGAATATTACCGAGGAGTCCAGGGCTTGAAGAAATCTTTGTCAGGTGGCTTCAACTTTCAGTCGGTTCATGGTTGCTTCACTGTCGAGTTCTATTATAAGTCTTGCCGTTGTGAAGTTGGAGGTATTTGATTCCTGCATTGTGGGAAGGGGCGAATGCTGTTCTGAGGGCTACTCAGATTCTTGTGAGTACGTCCTCGTGTCCAATGTCCGGGGGGAAGATCGGGTTTCCAGGTATTGGGTCCAGTAGTATCCGTCTCGCCCTAACAGTGGCTCTTGCAATGGCCTCGTCTATGAGTGGTGTTTGGTGTTGTGTGTTGACTGTTGTGTTGGTGTTGGTGGTGGCCTTGGCGTAGGTTGTGTTGGGATTGGAGGCAGGGGTGAAGCCTGTGAGGTTCATGACAAAACCAGATGAGTTCGCCCTTGAAAGTGCACTCTGTGCCTTCATTGTGTACATACACACTTCATCACACTTCGTGCTTCTCAATGCGCTCCATCGTGCTTCAATGCACTTAAGTGCACTTCGGAGGTGCTCGGGTGTACACGTAATAGCGGAGAGGTTAGGGATTTCTTAAGTGAGCCTCAAGGTACCTTAGCGAGCTCGTTCCTATCATATAATGGACCCTTGTCGTGTATTTTTCCCTCAGTTGTTCTCTCATCCTTCCTTTGGATAGCGGCTGAGTGCGGTTTACACCGCTTTTACTTAGTTTTGTCAGGTGATGAGCCCTGGTTATGCTAACTAGCCAGCAACCTCTCAGAAACGACTCACGAGGTTGCACACCTCTCGGACATGACATCCTCCACCAGCGACACCCTCACAACCCCAGTCCTTACAGGCCCAGAGAATTTCCAGCTATGGAAACTTCGCCGAGAGAAAGTACTGCACGTCGTCACAGGTGCAGATCCTGATCCAACCATTGCCACAACTGCTCCTGCCACTGCTCCTAATGTCTCCACTACCTCAGCCTCTTCTGCCCCACTTCCATCAATCACTAGCAGTAGTGCGACAGACTCATGGGCCGCACGCGATGAAAAAGCGCACAGTATCATCCAAGATCATATCTCAGACGCGCTCCTCATGAAAACAGAAGCATGCACGACAGCAAAGGCGCTTTTTGACGAACTTGCAACCATTCACAATACATCAAGTGTCGCCAATGCCTTCTACACCTTCGAACAACTCATTGCTTTGAAGTGGGATGGTACTGTGCAGATTAGTGACCACATCGCAAAGTTTTGAAACCTAGAGTCGCGCCTAACAGGCATGCGCTTCACAATTGATTCCAGAATTGTTGCATTCGCGCTTATGCACTCCCTTCCTGACACCCCTGACTGGTGCACTTTCGCCTCCTCTGTTCTCAACACCATCGCAGAAAAGGACCTCACCTTCAATGCAATTGAGACCAGAGTCATTGCAGAGGTCGCGCGCCAACCTGTCGATGCCTCAACCGCGCATACTGCTGCAAGCGCGAAACCTGAGACATGGTGCACGCTCCATCAGACAGCTACGCATGATACACGTGACTGCAATGCGATCAAGGAGCAGAGCCACGCACTCAAGGAAGGAAAGAAGCCAAACTGGGGAGATAAAAAAAAGAAGGATAAGGCAAAGAAAGCAGACTCGCCTGCGGACTTGGACTCTGAAGTAGACACCAAGAGCGCTGCAGTTAGAGAACGTGTACATATCTCTAAGGCTTTGGCAAAGCGTGTTCAGGCTTATTCTGCGTCTGTCACTAAGGATCGTTTGGACATCATCATCGATTCAGGCGCCTCATCATACATGGTCCCACACCGCACTTGGTTCAAACCAGGAACATATTGCGCAATCCATCCAGCGCGCAAGATCAGTTTCGGCAATGACTCCACAGTGGACGCAATTGGAAAAGGAATGGTTACTTTTCGCACCACCATAAAGGGGCAGATATATGATGTCGAACTATCTGATGCACTGCACGTACCGGTGTAGAGACTCGCGTTTCTGCAGGCACATATGGGCACATTTCGCACCTTTTCACAACTCATGACAATTGGCCTGCAATGCACGACTCGCACCATCAGCTATATTCAACTTCTATCATGTCCCTAGTCATTTTACACATAACGCGCAGCTTTCCCGCGAAATGCGCCATAGGCGCGGTACTTTCCTGCACAACGCGCAGCATTCCCACATGCGCACCTTGCACGCTTTATTGCGCTTAAGCGCCCTGCATCGCCCTGCAAGTGCCCTGCATCGCCCTGAATCGCCTATCATCTAGGAACGTCCCTCTATGTCCATCCACCTCATTGGTACGTCATATCCCTTGCCTCGTGGTTTGTAACAAGCATTGCAGCGCTATTACATGTCATTACGTATTTTTAGCACTTACTGCTCCTATCCCTTCCGCTTCCGATGCGATTTCCATAGTATAAAGTTTGCTGACTTACTACTCCATCATTATTACTCCCCTTTGCTGTACTTCCCTCGCTATTGGGTTTTACCTTAGAGTAGTAGTCACCACTTGGGCGCACTTTGTGTTTCCAATGGTTATCGTTATCCGCCTATACTAGACCTTTATCCGCGCTCGTTATAGCACTCGCTTTTGCACATCCACTTCCTTATCCGTTTCCTTATCCGGTATTCTCCGCACAACGCGCGCCTTAGCGCTCACGTTCCCACGCTCGCGCTTACCTTAGTGCACTCTCTCACGCTTCGCGCTCACTTCGCTTTTCTTCTTGTTCTTTCGCGCATCCATCGCACTTCAAGGGTCTTTCTTTCATCTGGTTCTGTGTTCAGTAGCAGTCCCCTTTAGGGTCGAACGTTCTTGCATTCTGCGAGTATAGCAGCTAGGCAGAGCCAAGACTCACTTATACTGGTTGAGCATTTTTTAGATATTTCATATCAGCCCAGCCAGGTTGAGATCGCCTCACTGGCCTTCACGATATCGCTCATATCAGTTTCCAAACTTGCGCGCCACGGACTGTCCACACGTTTTGATGCCTCAACAGACAATTGTGGGGTTCACAAAGGCACAAACCTTGTCCTAACTGCGAAGCATAAGGGCGGCCTATACCACGTTGAAGGCGCTCCTCTCACCTTCATGGATCAAGCGCTCATGACAGTGGATATCAACCTTCTTCACCGAAGAATGGGACACATAGGCATGGATCGCATACAGCGCATGATAGCAAATGGCCAACTCCCTGGGATTGACTCTGTTACTGGACATCCAACCTTCTGTGAACCATGCGTGCTAGGGAAGATGAAGAAAACTTCCATTCCAACCCGCAACCAGTGCGCGCGCAACACGCACCATTCAAATCATCCACACAGACGTAGGTGGGCCAATCACCCCTAAATCGCGCGAAGGATTCCGCTATTGGATGGTCATTGTCGATGATTATTCCAGATTTCCTTGGATCTATTTCCTGAAGCACAAGAGCGACATACTCAACCAGTACAAGCAATGGAAGAAAGACGTTCAAGCATTCTTCCGCTCTGAAATTGGTGAAGAGCGCTTCTCCGCGCTTCACACTGAATTTATGCGCAGCAATGGTGGAGGGGAATACACTGGTAACAACATGAGAAACACGCTCCACACTGATGGAACCATCCTTGAAACTGACGCAGCTGACACCCCAGAGCAAAATGGCATCGCAGAGCGCATGAACCAAACGCTCTCAATGCTTGCTACAGCCATGCTGGAAGAATCCAAATTGCCAAAGTCTTTCTGGGTGGACGCAATGTCAACCGCTGCCTATGTCACAGGTCGCAGCCCAACCGCAGGCCTGAAAGGGAAGACACCATATGAAAAGCTCTTCAACCGGAATGCAGATCCCTCTTTCTTCCACCCATTTGGATGCCCTGCATGCATGCTCATACCAAAAAGCAAGCACGCAGGAAAGTTTCACTCTAAAGGATGCAAGGCGATCATGATTGGCTACATGCATGGTCAAAAGGCATACAAACTCATGGACCTGGCGCAACGCACGGTATTCTCCAGCAGACACGTCACGTTCAATGAAACTGACCAGGTTCCTGACGCTGATCTAACCCCTTGGAATGTGCACCCTACTGGGCAACAGTGGGAGGGTCTGTTCCCACTTCAGCACCATCACCCCGATGCATCTGTATCTGATGAGGAAGAAGACACGGATCTCTCAGACAGCACGGAAACCCCACTAGATCCTGACGCACTGCCAACCTTGCCAAATGCGCACCCGGATAAACTGGAAGAACTGACTGAGCAACTGGAGAACCTATCAATTCATGACAATCCACATATGCCTGTGTCACAAGCGACATCTGAAATGCGCTTGCACTCGCCAATGCGCATGCACTCACCAGTGCGCACACGTGCACCTGCCCAAATGATTGGAGGGGTCCGGTGCAGTGCGCTTGACCGTCGCCCAGCTGACAAGAACCGGGATTACCAGCGCACACTTGATGAAGAGCAGCAACGGCGTGAGGAGCAGGCCACAGCAGACCCAGAACCATTTCCTGAGCGTGCTAAATCTCATCAACCATCTGTTGAAGACGAAGACGACAACTACATGCACTTTGCAGGTATAAGCGCAACAGGTCCTGCTGAACATGACCTCCCACAGTCACTGCCAGAAGCCTTTGCCCATGCAGATGGACACCTGTGGCACTCTGCTCTCGAAGAGGAATTATTAAGCCTGAACTCCAACCAGGTTTATGAGACAGTTCCAATTCCCGAAGGCATCAAGCCTATCACCTCCAAGCCCGTTTTTCGCATCAAGCTTGATCAAAACAGTAATGTCGATCACTACAAACTCCACATAGTTGCATGCAGTTTCACACAGTGTGAAGGCGTTGATTACCAGGAAGTTTTCGCCCCCGTCGCAAACCTGGAATCTATCTGCATAATCCTGTCATTAGCTGCGAAACACGACCTTGAACTTGATCAGATGGACGTCTCCACAGCATACTTGAATGGTGAATTAGAGGAGGAACTCTATCTGCTTCCACCTGAAGGCGTCCCAATCCAACCAGGGTACTGCTGGAGACTAAAGCGCTCACTGTACGGTCTGAAGCAATCGGGGCGCACTTGGAACAAGACCCTTGATCACAAACTTGGCGAGATAGGCTTCACACACTTAGATGCAGAAACGTGCCTGTACGTTTTTCATGAAAAAGGACAAGTCTGTTTCCTAGTTGTCTATGTCAATGACCTACTACTTGCCGCATCTACACGCACCTTCATGGATTCAGTGAAGCGCAAGCTCTCAGTGCAATTCAAGATGCACGATCTGGGAGAAGCAAAGTTCATCCTTGGCATCGAAATTCAATGCAATTGCAAGGCGCGCAAAATCGCACTCAAGCAGTGCCAATACATAGACACTGTCTTGCAGCGCACTGGCATGGCAGACTGCAAACCTATCTGGACACCCATGGCGCATGGTCTCAAACTCACCGTAGACCAAGAGGGAGACAACTCCACACACCATGAGATCACCATCGAAGGGCGCAAAGTATCATACCTATCTGTCATTGGCTCACTCATGTATGCCATGCTTGGCACACGCCCAGACATCGTGTATGCAGTGGGAGTACTTAGCCGTTTTAGCGCTGTGCCTAAATCCTCACATTGGGAAGCCGCAAAGCGCTGTAGAGACTCGCGTTTCTGCAGGCACATATGGGCACATTTCGCACCTTTTCACAACTCATGACAATTGGCCTTCAATGCACGACTCGCACCATCATCTGTATTCGACTTCTATCATGTCTCTGGTCGTTTTACACATAATGCGCAGCTTTCTTGCGAAATGCGCCATAGGCGCGGTACTTTCCCACACAACGCGCAGCATTCCCACACGCGCACCTTGCGCGCTTTCTCGCGCTTAAGCGCCCTGCATCGCCCTGCATCACCTATCATCCAGGAACGTCCCTCTATGTCCATCCACCTCATTGGTACGTCATATCCCTTGCCTCGTGGTTTGTAACAAGCATTGCAGCGCTATTACATGTCATTACATATTTTTAGCACTTACTGCTCCCATCCCTTCCGCTTCCGATGCGATTTCCATAGTATAAAGTTGCTGACTTACTACTCCATCATTATTACTCCCCTTTGCTGTACTTCCCTCGCTATTGGGTTTTACCTTAGAGTAGTAGTCACCACTTGGGCGCACTTTGTGTTTCCAATGGTTATCATTATCCGCCTATACTAGACCTTTATCCGCGCTCGTTATAACACTCGCTCTGCATTTGCACTCGCTTTGCACATCCGCTTCCACATCCGTTTCCTTACCCAGTATTTTCCGCACAACGCGCACCTTAGCGCTCACGTTCCCACGCTCGCGCTTACCTTAGCGCGCTCACTTCGCTTTTCTTCTTGTGCTTTCACGCATCCATCGCACTTCAAGGGTCTTTCTTTCATCTGGTTCTGTGTTCAGTAGCAGTCCCCTTTAGGGTCGAACGTTCTTGCATTCTGCGAGTATAGCAGCTAGGCAGAGCCAAGACTCACTTATACTGGTTGAGCATTTTTAGATATTTCATATCAGCCCAGCCAGGTTGAGATCGCCTCAGTGCGTACTTCGCTATCTCAAAGCCACGCGCGATATGGAGTTATCCTATGATGGAACTCATGTATCAATGGACATGGACTTCCATGGCTATTCAGATGCAGACTGGTCTGGCGAGTTAGATACCTCGTGCTCCACATCAGCTTACACCTTCATCACCAATCGCGGTGCCATATCTTGGGCAAGCAAACGACAAAGCATGGTAGCGCTATCCACCACTGAGTCTGAGTACATTGGACTTAGCAATGCAGGACAACATCTCACCTGGCTTCACACATTCTTCGCTGAAATCGGTCAAAAGCAAGGCGCGCCCACCACACTTCACTGCGACAATCAGGCAGCCATCATCCTTACAAAAGATGTGCAGTTCCGCGCGCACACGAAGCATATCCAGCGCAAGTATCATTTCATTCGTGACAATCTAGTGGCAAAAGGAGAAGCAATCATACGTTACATCTCAACGGACGACATGGTGGCGGACATTCTCACAAAACCATTAATCCACGAAAAGCATTGGAAGTTTACCAAGGCCATGGGTCTGTGACTTCACTCGAGTGGGAGTGACAAAACCAGATGAGTTTGCCCTTGAAAGTGCACTCTGTGCCTTCATTGTGTACATACGCACTTCATCACGCTTCGCGCTTCTCAATGCGCTCCATTGTGCTTCAACGTGCTTGAGTGCGCTTCGGAGGTGCTTGGGTGTACACGTAATAGCGGAGAGGTTAGGGATTTCTTAAGTGAGCCTCAAGGTACCTTAGCGAGCTCGTTCCTATCATATAATGGACCCTTGTTGTGTATTTTTCCCTCTGTCGTTCTCTCATCCTTCCTTTGGATAGTGGCTGAGTGCGGTTTACACCGCTTTTACTTAGTTTTGTCAGTTCATGGGGCTGTTGCGGGGTTTGGATGGGTATGATTGAGGTCCTGGTTCATTCGCTGTGACAATGTCGCTGAAGGTTTCCGTTCTCTGGGGCATGGCTGTCAAGGGTCTTGGTATGGAGGAGATCTGCTTTGATAGGGCATCTATGCTGTCCTGGGTGGCTTCCAGCACGGGCGATATGAGGTCCATGGAGTTCTGACAGTCTTCTAGGGTGCTAAAGAGGATGTCAGTAGCACCAGTGATTCTCTGTGCTGCTGCGTTGATGTCTCTGCCGAGGTTGATTTTGTCAGTTAACTAGTTGTCGGAGTGTCATTGTTTCGTCCAGTGATTTGGCTAGTGATGTTGAGGTTGAGGTTATCTTTTCGATTTGTGGGGTAAGTGCAGTGGCAATGTGGTCCAGGATCTGTGGGGTCAGTTGGGATAGGGTACTTTCATTTGGGTTTGATTGGGCTGAGGTGGGGAGTTGTTCTGTTTTGATTATTGTATTTTCTAATTTCTCTGAAGCTGTCAGTATCCGAGCTATTTGCGGAGCAATCGCCGCTACCACATGTTCTACTAGTTTGGCAGGAGACAGATTCTGTGATTTGCTGTGATACTGTCTCTGTAACTTGTTGGGCTACTATGTCTGTGATTCCATCTGTGATGTGTTGCTTGAGTAGGTAGACTACTGATCTAATGGCGGTTAGTACTGGTAGGGGCGTGGCTCCAGAAATCTGCATGATCTGTAAAAGGACCGAAATTAGGTGAGTTAGAGTATAAGGTTCAGTCACATGGCAGAGGCTCTTTTTTTTTGAGGTATAGGTGCGTGCTGGCAGCATCTTTGACAGTGCTGGGCAGTTCTTCAATTTCTGATGGGGTCAATGTTACATTTATAGATCTCGTTATTCTTTTTGAGGATGGTCCTCCTGGCATTGTAGGAGAAGGGTTCCTAGAGGCTGGTGTTTTTGCGCCGAAGCTCATGCTTCGTGGTTTTCCAGGGGTCATTTTCTAATTTTTAGTGATAATGGATGATTTTGTAGGGGTACTTAAGAGTTCTGGATTGTTGTTGGCTCTGGCTTTGACACTGTTGGGTGTCGTTAGCACCGTTGGGTGCTGTGTTGACTAGGAGTTTTTCGGGGGTCCTGGTCAGGGTGCCAATTGGTGTGGGACCAAGAGGCATTTTTCCTCTAATTATTGACTAGGCTCTTGCCACTACTTCACTAAATGGAGTGAGGGATGTGTTGAATGAAAATGGGCTTCCACAGTCAGATTGATTCTATGCTTTTTCGGTTGGCAGTGTGGGTGTGGGAGTCCTCCCTGGGAGCTGCCGGGCCTTTCTGGTTCCAGGCGGTTTTGCTGATAAGTACAGGTTGGAGTCTCTATTGCTGGCGACTAGTGGCAACTCCGCGATGCTTGGATGTTGCCAGTTGCCAATTTTTGGCCTGTCACGATGATAAGCTGCCTGGTTGCTAACCTGCTGAATGTGGGTCACGTTCGACCCCCATACAGATAGCTACAGCATTTCCGCTCATCGCGGTCTTGATCCTTCTTGATCGTGTGATTGCTGGCATGTCACAAGTCCCTGATGCGGCGTAATGTTGGTGTTTTGGCACTTGAGTGCTTCGAAGGTCATAAGATGAAGCAGTGAGCGGCAACCTGAAAGTAATCCTTCATATCAATGTCTCATCCAATCCTGTCAGAATTTGATATCGTTTTTGCTGGAGGTAAGCAAATATCCTCTTGCGGTGGTTTTCCCTCTTCACATATCATTCTGTAATAATATGTATAGGCGGTACTACAGCCTGTGTTGTCGCAGGTCGCTTAGCCGCCCATGATCCCTCATTGAGGATCTTGATTCTGGAAGCGGGTCAGCACACCCTCAATAAACCTATTTATGTGCAACCCTACCAATTTCCCTTCAACCAAGCACCGACGAGCACGACAGTCACATTCAACATCGGAAATCCATCTCCTCGTCTCAACGGCCGTGCACCGATCGTTCCATGTGGTCGTTGCGTTGGTGGAGGCTCATGTGTGAACTGTGCGTAGCATACTTGCAACGATGAATAGGAGTCTGATAATCACAGTTATGGTATACACTCGTGCACCTGCTTCGGACTATGATGATTGGGGAGCCAATGGTTGGGAATCTGAGAATTTGGTTCCCCTCATGAAGAAGGTCTCGAATGTGTTTTCAAGATATCTGTTTGAATTGCTTATACGTTCAATTTATAGCTGGAGACATATGAGGTGCAGCCCGATTGTCCAACTCACGGCTATGACGGACCTATCAAGGTGTCCTCTGGTGGGTGTAAAATAGGTATCTCCAACGAGTTCATCCAGGTTGGCACGACCTATCACAAGAGGCAGTATGCCGACGACACCGATGATTTAGAAACATGCAATACATACAGTGTGAGTTATGATGTTCCTTCCCTAGCTGCCGTCACTAACCGAATTTGTCTCAGCCATGGCAGAAGTGAGTTCCTGCACACGTAGGCTATTGCGAATTTTTGGCTCATGTATAAAAGGTACATTGACGGGACAACCGGAAGGCGTTCGGACGCGGCTCACCACTATGTCTACAACCAAGCTCACAATCAAAATCTACAAGTCTGGGATGGGAAGCGCGTAAAGCGTATCATCTTCGAGTAAGTGGCCACCCGGGATCGCAACTGCAGCAAACAGTTGACGGCTTTTCCAAATGAAAGGGACAAGCGTGCTGTAGGTGTTGAGTTCACCAGCAACCCAGTGTCTTTCCCAGACGTAGATCAGTCGTTGAGTATTGTTAGAGCATCAAAGCTTGTCGTTGTCTCTGCTGGGACGTTTGGTTCTCCGATCATTCTGGAGAGGTCTGGGATCGGTTCTAAGGCGGTTCTCAAGCGGTCCGGTATCGAGCAATTGGTGAATTTGCCTGGCGTTGGGGAAAATTATCGAGGTACACTTTTTCATCTATTTATTCTATGAGCTTGGCTTAGGACGGTCAGATCACGATACCGTCTTTGTTCCATACTTGGCTGCAGACGAGGCTGTTACCATGGACGCTCTCTGGCGTGGAGAGGGCATCCTACAGGGTAAGCAAGTTCTCGCCATGATTCCAGCAATTTACAACTACCCAAATGTAGAAAGTCTTGCACAGTGGAACAGCAGTGGCAAGTCATTGATTGCACAAAAGTTGGTGCAAATCATCACTGTCGGTATCGTGCTGATTAGTATCTCAGTGGCCTCGGTTCAAAAATCAAGTGGCGTCCTGATGACGAGGAATTGAAAGCCATGGACCCAGCTTTTCAACCACGCTGGAAGGAGTTCTTCAAAGATCGCCCAGACAAGGCTGTTGCAATATTTGCTGTTCTTGCGGGGTGCGTGCATATTGCTTGCATTTGATGATATGACAATTCTTATGACAGCCAGATACATTCCCCCGCTCTCGGATATCCTTCCTCCTCGCAACTACATGACCGCCGGCTATTACACAGTACTACTCTCCGTCTACCCCATGGTTTTTTTCTGAATCTCTTCAATAGCTGTACCCCGTGTCTGTCGGAAGTGTTCATATCAATGTAACAGAGAGCGGCGAAGAAGGAATGGACTTTACTACAGGCTTCCTAGATGAGTGAGTGGACACATTTCATTTTGAGGCACTTTGTCACATGTGTGACTCCACACAGTCCATCCGATATTATTCCTCTTGACTTCGGATACAAAAGACGCGTGAAATCCTTCGACGCATGGCTTCCTACCGAGGTGAAGTCACTGCTGGTCATCCTGATTTCCCAGAGGGAAGCGCTGCAGCCTGCAGAGAAGCTTCCGGGCCAGTGGATTTGAATGCGCCTGACATCGTCTATACTGCCGAAGATGACGAGGCGATCAGTCAATTCCACCGTGACATCGGTAAGTCCTGACTTTCCATCTTCGTTGTCACGATAAGATACTGAATCGAACATCAGTGCAAACGTCATGGCACTCAGTGTGTGCCACTGAACCTTCCATAATTTTATCTCTGATCCTTATATTTATAGCTTGGAACTTGTGCCATGAAACCGGAGGCAGATCAAGGAGTCGTCGACGCTCGGCTAAATGTTTACGGGGTGTCGAATCTGAAGGTCGCAGATATGTCCATTTCGCCTTTGAATGTTGGCACGGTGGGTACTGACCAGGGATTGTTGATGTGCAATCTAACGATATACACAGAACACGTATTCGACGGCACTTCTCATCGGAGAGCAGGCTGCGATGATCATTGCTGAAGACTTGGGTATCAATTTCATGGATCAGGTTTAGGTGATTTTTCGTCTGTAACATCAATGTTTCCTGTTGCTGTATCTCATGCTACTTGTCTATCTCCTATATGTTTTCACGATGCCTCGCTCGACTTCATGCGAGTATTGAGCCAAGGTCGTTCTATCACACGTTCTATGCAAATCATTTTATCTCGTAAAACACCACACAATCATCCATGTCGTCAGGAGCGAGTCATGGTGCTTTCTCATTTTTTAAGTGGTTACAGAAACTCAGAAAATCATCTAGCTAAGCAGCTGACTGCTTCTGATATCCTGCTTGTCAGAGATAGCGACAGTTATGTTAACCGCACGCGTATTCCCAGACATGCTTGTTCCTTTCATGAGGTGTCCCAGGATGTGTTGCAGAACTATTTGGTTCTTTCCTTCTGGAACTTCATTGGAACTCTCAGATCTATCTCAGGGTGTTGCCGACAGACTCATGCACTGTACGACGCTGCTGAGCTACTCGCATGCACTCCCCTTGACAACTACATATGTGCTGAGAGACGATGGATGTTAAGACTCAATGATCGGCTCTTATTCTGGGTACCACCCGCCTCTCGAAAACCATTCTATAATTTTCGGACTCCATTTGTGATTGGGAGAGAATGTGTTGAGCTTGATTCGAGTCACATGGCACATGGGACACATTGGCAGCACTGCCGCGAGGAGCAAGTCTCCAACCTCTTCCATGATCCATCACAGTTAATCAATTCGATGGTTGTAGTTCTTGATTACGACGATCTTGTTCCAGAAATTTGATTTGTGAAGATGCTGGAGACACTTCATCGAGTACGATAGAGTGTACAGTTGTACAATTCATTGTCTGTTGTATGTGTACGTAGCATTGCATTCGAATTTGAGGCGGTTTGAGCGAAAGTCGTGTTAGAAAGGTGACTGGGCGACAGATTTTTGAGGGCATGGAATGATCATAGTGCATCATCCGAGATGCCGTCGAACGAAACGAATGGAAGGAAGAGTGTGTCACATGCGCCTCCCAAAGTGGATTGAAGAAATAAAGAAGATTGCAGCAGCAGCGGCCCAGGGCGTCTTTGGATATCACAGGGTCGTTTGGCTTTAGTTGCACACAGCACATACGGGTCTGAGAACTGACTCGGTCAATACGTGGTTCATTGAATACAGTACAACATGTATAAGATGACAACAAGAGTGCCATGAGAATGATGCCTGCAAGGATATGTGAGATATGAGACATGCAAGAACACGTAAAACTTGAAGAACAAATGGAAATGAGGAAATGTACGACTCTACGAGCGCCTGCCGGGAATCACAAAGCTAAAATCAATAATGAGAGGCGACTTTTCATCAAGGATAATTCTGCACCTATGATTCCCACAATTCTGACTTTATTAAGTGATGTTGTGGTGCTCTTAAAGCCACTCAATAAAGTCCATTTAGAGCCAGTTCGGTAACCCAAGGTAAGGTGAGTTTGCCACCTTGAAACGATTATATAATGTCGGCGTTGTAGATGCCGATGACTGAGTCTCAATTGAATATCAGTAGTACTAGACTCGTTATCAATGATCTATCAGACCATTGCTCACTGTATTGATGGATGCCATCAACCCATTAATCCAACAGCTGACTCTGGCTCAGGCTGCTCAGCCGCCAGGCGGTCGGGCATCCAAGCGAGATCACGCACGAGTTCTCCAACATATTGCACTGGTTGTCAGCGTCCTTCTTACTGCTACAGAGTCCTTGCTAGAAGACTCTATACCCGAGCCATATCACACATCGGCCCTCTCAGGTCAAGGGTGGGTCATGGAGCTCATTTTGGGCCACCCAGAGCGTATGCGCTGTGAACTTGGGATGCACACAGATGTATTTCACTCGCTTATAGCGGAACTTCACACCTTGGGTCATGCAAATTCGCGCTATGTTTCCCTCGAAGAACAACTCGCCATCTTCCTATACACGTGTGTTACAGGACTGACCGTCCGCCATGTTGGTGAGCGCTTTCAACGGTCTAATGATACCATCTCAAAGTAAGTCAATTGTTATTGTTATATATGATACTAACGAGCTCACACTTAATTGTAGATATTTCCGCAAGATGTTGACCATTTTCGCATCTCCCCCATTCTACACCAATCATGTACGCTCTCCTGACGACACCTACCACGCCCCACACAAGATCCGTAATGACCCTAAGCTCTGGCCCTATTTTAAGGACACTGTTGGCGCGATTGACGGTAGTCACATCCATGCTCACCCCCCATCATTTGATCGTCCTGCATATCGGAATCGTAAAGGATTCCTTTCGCAAAATTGTCTCTTCGCCTGCGACTTCGACCTCACATTCTCTTACGCTCTCACTGGCTGGGAGGGATCCGTTACAGATGCACGCCTTTATGATGAGGCTCGTTCAGGTGGCTTGTATATCCCTCCCAGCAAGTATTTTCTGGCAGATGCGGGGTTCCCTTTGTGTCACGAGCTCTTAGTGCCCTACCGCAGTGTCCGGTATCATCTAGCTGAGTGGGGGCGTGCTAATACCAGGTATGTTTTATTTCTTTTTACTTGAAGCTTCCTAATATCTATTCTATGTTTGCAGACCAGTCAATAAAGAAGAGTTATTCAATTTGCGACACGCATCTGCTCGAAATGTGATCGAGCGCATCTTTGGCGTGTTAAAACGCCATTTTTCGCATTCTCTTACTGTCACCTGAGTATCCTATGACCATCCAGGCACGTATACCTGCCGCGTTATGCGCGATTCACAACTTTATATGCGCCCACAAACCTGATGAAGGAGAGTACGCGGATGACGATGAACACTTCGATTATGATAACCCTGAGCACCAAGGGATCCCTCAAGACGAGGAGGAGTTTGAAGAGGATGGAAGCATGAAGGAAGCGCGTGAACGTATCGCGCGCTGCATGTGGGAGGATTATCAAGGCATTTTGCAGCAGCGGGGTTCGTCAGACGATTCCTTTGATGACAGCGACAACGAGATGTAGTAGCACATACAATTCATTCATTTATTCATGCAACTAGTAAGACAATTGTACCGCTAAGAATTGGACCCAGGAGGCAGTATCATAGGTTGGATTCCCAACCGCTGGGCCGTTGAGATAATGAAAGCATGGCGCATCTCCTTGTCAGTGGTTTGTGTATATATGTCAGTAGCTGCAGGGTCCATAGCAAAAACTTGTTGCATCATAAGCCGCTCCGTGAATGGCAAGTCAGCATCATCAACCTGCAACATCTGCATGGCCCTTGAGCGCTGGTCCATCACCCGATCCTCGGGATAGACCATGCGCTCAGAAATCACATCCGTTAGGCGGTTAACGGAGCTCTGGAACCCCATCACAGCTATGGCAGTGGTGGTCTTCGACATCTTGACATCCGCTGTACCACTACCCCCAGTGGCACCGCTCCGAGTCTGTGCACGGCCTGATGTTGTCTTTGCTCTTTTGAGAGAGCCTGGCTTAGAGGGAGGCAGCGGCATCTGAGGGTCTTCGTCTCGCATAGAAACCGAGGTAGAAGGAAGTGAGGTAGTCGACTCTTGAACCATGTCAGGGTGAGAGCGTTTGGAGCTAGGCCGAGATACTAAGGATGTGGAAAGGGTGTTATTGCTGTCAATAGAGGCGGGACATCGAGAAGTAGGAATAGAAGTAGGGGCAACTACTGCAGGGGTGGCGCTGGGACCAGCAGGAGCGGCACTGACACTAGAAGTAGCAATGGTGGCGCCCATGGTATGATTTTCAGCTGCTGGTATGCTAGCGCTGGAGCTTGAGCTTAAGGGAGGGGGAGCTGTATGCGGTTGGTACCCGGTACGCCCTCGCGCGCCACTGTTTTTTGGTATGATATCATCCATTTGCTCAAAGTATCTCCATCCCGATACACGAAAAGGGCGCATGTGCGAATTTCCCTAGATATAAAACAGTAAGCTACCAGTACAAAATGTAGATGACACTGTGAACCGGACATACCTTCTTTGTAATATATTCGTTCCATACCGTGGTTGCACCCTCGCTCGTGATATTGGCTCCTCTGACATTATCCCAGTGGACACCAGACGTCTGGCGATACTTCTGAATAGCGTTATAGATCTGTTTTAACTATACAATATCTAATCAGTCTATATCTAAGCGATATATTGGTATATGACTTACTGCTCCCCATTTCGTCTTGCACATCGTTCCAGTCTTCTGTGGACCCTGCTGCAGGTGCGCAGCAATAGCCTCTGCAGCACCATTGTATGTTACATCTTTGAAGTTACCGGTGTCAGCGACCTTCTCCCGATTGTCGTACAGGTATTGGACAAGCTGATCAGTCTCTGTGTCAGTCCAGACCGCCCTGTCTGCATGAGATGATTGCTGAGCCATAGAAAGAATGTGGACTTGAGCAGATAACACTATAGACACGACACTAGCCCAGATGTCATTCCGATCTTGTAGATCTTTAGTCGTATACCGAGGTATGCATGCAGACATGTCAAAGGGAAGTTCAAGCTCCGTCATCGGGCTTCAAACCGGGACCACCATGCCGACATTATATAATCGTTTCAAGGTGGCAAACTCACCTTACCTTGGGTTACCGAACTGGCTCTTACGCTTGTATAGAGCACCGGCGGTGCGCACAGTAACTTGAATTTTAAGGTGATGGAGAATGATGTATGGTTTTACAACTCCGCCGAGGCTACCACTGGCAAAACTCCGGCACAGCCACGGGGCTAAGGTCTGCGAAGACATGCACCCAGAGCCCCAGACCGGCCATAACTTGCACATTCACCTGGTAGGATATAGTCATTGACAATTAATTTAGGTCGTTCACAGTCATTTGCAATCATATACAACCTCGTACGGAATTTGCTGATGTGACATTCCAGACTCTTACTAGCTATGGTCCCGTCGTAGGATCTGCTCAGCACTCGATTATACCATCCACACTCCAGCAAATTAACAACACATGGTTAGTGTGCCCTGTCCATTTTGCAACGGCCTTTCCCGTCTCGACGTCCCCCAACTTCACTTTCCCATTTCCACTTCCGCTGACAACTGTCTTCCCGTTTGGAAACAATGCCATTTTGCATACTTCTGCTCTCTTCTTCCCGTCGTCTCGCCAGTCCTCGCCTATCTGTGCACCGCTCTCCCTGTCCTATAATCGCATTGAGCCGTCCAGCGAACATGCGATCCAACGTCCCTGCTTAGCACTTGGCATACTGTCGGTATGACCTCGCATGGTCTGACGGAGCGCTACTGCTGGCCTCCCTCGCTCCTTATTGATCTGTGAAACTATAGTTGGCGCATAGCGGTCTCAAGTACAATAAATTGTGCAATATGCGTGCGAGCCAGGATTTTTGAATTAAAACAAGTTGTCTGGCAACGCCAAATATTCCTGGTGAGTCGACCTGCCTATATTCTTTCACTTCAGTTGTTTCTAATGGATGCGCACAGGACATTGCTAAGAAAACAGCCTGCCTTAGGAATTGAGTCCTCGCCGGCACGCAGAAGCTAACCTTGAACAGTCACACAGGAGTTGCTGGCTGTACGTAATCTAAGAATTCTCAAGATATCTTTGTGGGTATCCAAATTCGCTGGTAAGCAAGTGGTTAGCCTTATCCTGCAAAAGAGCTAGAGTATCACTCACGAGAAGCGCCGATTAGATGAACTCAGTGCTTAAATCACTAGCAATCTGTTGGCAACTGAATTGGAGTCAAGGAAATTGCGTCCGTTCAAGCCGTCTGTTAAAGTGCGTCCCATGCGTTATCATCGTGTTTGCTTCACAGCTTTATCGCTGTGTAGATGAAGCGCCTAGGTCTACAACTAGCGCCAGGTGCATGCATCTTCCTATATCTGATGGATTACTTCGCTGGTGGTGAAAAAGTTCGACGGAATTTCATTTATTTTCCATCTTATATGTTTCTTGCAGCCTGTTTCGAATTCGATGCCATCCGATCTTCAGCATGTTGGCAGGTTGCGTATATGATGTCACTCTTACTTCTTGTTGCCGGTGCAAAATAATCGGGTTCCTATTTTGATTCTCGCTAGCTTCTGCATTTGCTGCGTACCATCTTTTAGATGAGTATAAACTCTCTTCCGCGGCGCTGCAGTCCAGCGTGGAGGAACTACAAGCAAGCACGGAGACGGTGTGAGACTTTACTCCTCTGTGAAATATTACATTTATGTCATTTATGATTCCTCCAGGTGTCTGCACACGTCCGTCGTATCGAAGCAGTGGAGAAGGACCTGAAGGCGCTTGCTCAGAGCTCCGCAAGTAAAGATGACCTGTCGAGGGTTCGTGCAGAGCTCAAGAAAATATACGATAGACTGCACATCGGTACGTCGTTGCGCTTTGACAGCAGCGAATGAGCTTACAGACTTTGACGACAAGAATTCCTTGATTTGAGATCACATGTGTGGGGCATGTGTCAGTCATTGTTGCGTTTATTCGATGTCTACTACTGACGAAAGTTTGGAACAGAACAAGATTTGCATTCGTTAGCCAAGAAAAACGGTACCCTGCTATCATTCGGACCTTTCTCGGTTCCTTCGAACGACTTCAAACCTTGAGCGAAAAAAGTCCGGACACCCTCACGTCATTCGCAATGAAAAGACCCCAGGGCCCAGGCCCTGTTCAACATCTTCGCTTCAGCTTAGTGTTGCCGCCGAGGCGATTCGAGGCGGAAAATTCTGATAAATCGATACAGTTCGGACTAACGAGTTGAAACGATTAATTTGTACCTCGTTCACCTCGCGATTTGGAAACGAGTTCGGAGTGATACAGTCTTCGGAGCACAACAACATTGCAGCCAATCGAACTGCAAATCCCAGGCGCTTTCGTCGTAATCTCAGCCTACCCCCTCTCGACGTCCGCGGCACCTCCTGCTCATGATACCGACAGATATTGGGACCTAGATAGCACCATTGCGCATGCTGGAAACTTTGTATTTCCGCAAAGATGTCTTGAATAACATCGGAGTAACTGCCAGAGATATAGTCCCGAAGCAGTTCTGTGTGTCAGGATCGAATTCCTGCATGTAGGTTGTCTCGCGAACATCGCGGCGTTGTGTGCACTACTATCTCAAAAGATAGGCCCGTAGACTCACCAGCAATCCCTGCCAGACAAACTCTCTCATTCAACTATTTTTCGTGGGCTTCACTCGCATACATAGTCAAGATCTGCTGTAGTCATCGAACGCTGACCAGTAACGAGCAAGAGTCGACCGGGTACAAGGTGTTATGCACCTGCCTGACGGATGACGCATAATACGACTCCCTCCGGAGTGTAGGATGTCAAGAGCGGGGACACAGTCCTGGAGATGTCCGCGTAGGTGGTGATCTATTCACCCGATAACACATAATTTGCAAACGGCGGACACCATGAGGACGCAGTAAAAATCTGGAATGCAAACATGGACAAGCTGATTGCTCTTCCCTCCTAACCCCACTTGGCCCGATCATCCGCCGCCGCCGCAGAAGTCGACGAGATTTGAGCGAGAAGCAATACATATATCCATATAGGAGACACATGACCGAGACGCATAATCAACGCACAGCCTCAGGCAATTTAATGCTTCCATGTGGTTATAAGGATGCCAGTTGCGTTATATACGGTTTGCTAGTAACCCACTGCTCGGATCATGGCACCTGCAGTTGATGGTCACCTTGCTATCCTCGCCGGCATTCCTCTTTCCTTTGTCGCCGTCACGGCACTCTGGCGATTCATCAAGAAGCGACAGAATAACCTCTCTCTTCCTCCTGGCCCAGTGCCGCTCCCACTATTAGGGAACGTCTTATCTATTGACCCTCAGGAGCCTTGGCTGACTTATACCGAATGGGGTGCTACGTATGGTACGTGAACAGATAGTATAGGGCATATGTGGTGCAAATCATTGTATCAGGGGACTTGGTCTTCATGCGAAATCTAGGCGAGGAAATGGTCGTGATCAATTCTCAGCACATTGCAGAAGCCTTATTGGACAAGCGTTCTCGGATTTACTCCGATAGACCATACTTAGCCACACTCAAGCCGTGCGTTCCTTCCGTATTCTTCTATTCATTCGAGTCTGAGGTTCATGCAGATATGGCTTGTCGATCAACTTTGCATTCTTAGGTTATGGTGATGAATGGCGTCTCTGCCGACGACTCTTCCATCAAACTTTCCGTCCCGAGTCTGCAGTAAAATTTCGCCCAATGCAGATCAGGCGTGCTCGTGAGATGGTCGTCAACCTAGTCGATGACCCTCAACATTATCATGACCACATCGTAACGTCAGCAAATGGTTTTTACAATTTGAACGATTATTTACCTGTTCACAGATTCTCGTTATCTGTTGTAATGTCAGCTGTATATGACTACGATATCAGTGCTCGTGATGATCCTCTGGTGCGGATTGTGGTAAAGGCACTGATTCCGGGCACGGCCGTGTTGACCCCAGAGAGAGCATTGATGCTTAAAACCTTCCCCTTCTGTGAGCTCAACTTTCCTAAGATGAGAAAGCGCTAACATGACATGCACTTTTAGTACTAAAGTTACCCGACTGGTGCTGGGGATCCTCGATCAAGCGTGGTGCTCGAGCTTCGACCGAGCGCGTCAATCAAATGGCCGACGTGCCATTCCAATATGTGCAGCAGCGCATGGTGGGTATTTATTTTTCTCTTGGTCCCAGACATTGATTCGACCTTCGCCAAGGCCGACAGCTCGTTCGTCGCTCAATCTTCAATGGTTGCAGAAAACTTGCGACGGATGGAAACGCAAGAGGAGGCATCCAAACCTGCATTCGAGAATGCCTTGAAAAAAGCAGCTACTACTGCTATTGGGGGTAAGTAAGCTTTTTTACAACGTTATACTCTCAGCACACACTAATATCTCACAGCTTCATATGATACAGTAAGTGGACAACTTCATCATTTCCGCTGCTTACCGTCGTTACAGACTGAGGCAGTTTTGATGGTTTTTGTTTTGGCCATGGTATTATATCCAGACATTCAGAAACGCGCACAAGCGGAAATTGACTCAGTGATTGGAAGAGATCGGCTGCCAACATTCGAGGACAGAGCATCACTACCTTACATTGATGCAGTTATGCGGGAAACTTTCCGATGGCAGCCCGTTGCACCCCTTGGTATTCTTCCCCGCCAAGTAATCTGGCATGTACTGAAGTTGATCTCATAGGCGTACCACATGCTACCTCGAGTGATGACGTATATGAGGGCTATTTCATTCCAAAAGGTCCGCTGTGTTTGTTCCACCAACAATGAACATTAATAATATTGTACATCAGGCACAATCATCACGCACAACATATGGTCCGGTCCGATATGCTCCTCCCAGCTTTTGTGCTACTGACTTGATTGTAGGAGCATTACACGGGATGAAAAGCGGTACCCCCGACGCATCTCGTTTTATACCAGAAAGGTTCATCGACGTTGATGGTGCATTAACAGGCGATGATCCCGCACAGTACGTTTTCGGCCTTGGCCGACGTATATGTCCAGGTTCGTTATGTTATTTTAATCCTAGAAAAGATTCGCTGACAGATAGACTTTAATCAGGGCGGTATACTGCTGATGCCTCTACGTGGTCTGCCATTGCGACCATGTTGGCCACATTGGACATTTCTTCTGCAAAAGATGATCAGGGAAAAGTGATCAGCTTCACTCCCGTATTCATCACGGGAGTGGCTCGGTACTTGATTTCCTCGTGTCATTCTATCCTCTTGTCACTAACAATTTCGGTGCTTCAGCTGTCCTGCGGTCTTCCCTTGCAGTATTTCGACACGGTCTCACATTCATTCAGACGTTGTGGACGGTTGGCGAACTGCCGAGTTTTGAAAGAAGGGATGGCAGTTTCCCCTATCTGTGTCTGATTGGGGCATCAAAGGAGTAATCGATCGAGTATGTACCCCATTGACAAGAGTTGCCCTGTTAAAAATCAGGAGTGAGTTCTGAGTGTCGTAGCAATAGACTCATGAGCGTTCGAAGCCGTCGGGAGCGATGACCTTATAACCTATGGTCAGTCTGGTTTTGGGACCGGCTGAGATAATGGGTAGAACTGTGAACGAGATACTTGGGCTGCAGCATTAATTGATGAAATAAGTGAAGCGATTAGAACAGGAATGAACATCGTGGTTATTCACGATAGGTAGGAGTGCTCTCGCTGGGAGGATACTGGGATGTAGGATCAGATTATAATGAGAAGACACATCCCTCTTCGCAGCTTTTCTTTGTCAGCACAATTTGCATGGAGAAACAGAACGGCCAGTCGCAGCGTAGACAGCGGGTCGACGCGTCTTGGTGGATCTCACGCAAAGGTCGCATGGTCACAAGCCCACGTACTGGCACAGACACATCATACCATTGCTAGTGCATTAGGATAGCAGAAAATCACCACGAGATCAACATAGCGTGTTAGAACTAGCTGAACAGCATGCACGCCTTTCAGGAAATGTGGTTGGGAGGGTGCGCATGCGCATGCGCAGATGTACGAGGTAATGATCTAGTCCAAGGCATGATGAACATACTTGCAAATCAGGTACCCGAAGAATAGATGCGCATGGGCTGACTGGTGCACGAGATGCGCAGCACAAGGATTTGCAACCAGGACATGTTCTAGGAATTTCTTGAAATTAAGACCGAGGTTTGGCATAGCGTTGAAACCAAAGCGAGATTGGGGAGGTTGTAGAATTCAAATATACACACGCCGTGAACAAAGAGATAATAATGATTGTAAAATCACCAGATGAGATAGGTGTCCATATACTGCAATATCAATGCCCGTCTGCATGCGGGGGAGATGCACAGCAGAGAAAAAGAACGAAACGAGTTCGCAATGGAAGGGGCCGTGGCTGTGCGGTCGCTGTAACCGGTGCAGTAGTATGAATATCAGAAGCAGTAGGCGTCGACGCTTGGGTCTGGACTGGACATTGCGATTGACCTTGCTGCTGCTGTGCCGATTGTGTATTACCATCGACGTGTTGAGGAGACGCGCAGCAGAGAAAAAGTACGAGATGAGCCAACAGTCGGACGGGTAGTGGATACGCAGGCCTTGCACCTGGCATAGCAACATTAGGCTGAGTGGCTTGCGGCCGTGCAGCAACAAACAATACCTGCGTGGAGATCATCAGACACCATAAATTGACACACCGGAGAAAGACGTACCTCCCTGTCCCGCATTGGAGCCACTTCGACAACATCAGGACAAATTGCGCTTTGCGGAAATTCGATTTCTTCGTTGGAATGGGATTGAGAGCGGAAGAGTGAGGACAGGATATCCACAAGCGCATCTGGACGTGAATCCAAAGGGGTTGTGGGATGAGGGTCGGTTCCCTCATCGGTGTCGAGTCGGGATCGAGGCAAAAGCGAGGACAGGCGAGCGAGGAGTGCATGTAGATCTAACCGCGAAGGCATAGAGGGTTCGTTTGACGCATCATTTTCAGGTGGAGAGCGGTGCATGAGTGACGACACGCGAGCAAAGAGCACGCGTGGATGCAAACTTGAAAGCGTTGGGGGTTGCGGAAGTTCATTCGCCTCAGCTTTGTCAGGTTGAAAGCGGCGGAGGAGCGAGGTAAGGCGAGCGAGGAGTGCACTTGCAGGGGAATGAGATTGGGCACCACTGGTTGGGGAGGACTGATCACACAGAGATCTGAACATGAACTCATTGATAGAAATGTTCACGACGTACATCATCATCGGCTTCCATGCCGTCAAAAAACCGCGGTGGGAGTTCATCGACACCCCCATACCCGTCATGATATTGCGTAGCATCAGCCTGGAATGTTGCTGTTATAATGAACGAGAAGGATTGGAAAGGCGTCACGTACCTCCAAAAATGACTTGTCACTGAGCGAGGGGCTGGGGGTGCGCTCTACTCCTAGCTCACCTTGAGATGCCTTCTGTTTGAACAGTATACATAGTCAGTGAGAGAGTGGGTGATGTGTTAACACCCACAATATTAGTACCAGTGGTCAGTAGGTCTTCAAGGCTAGCTTGTTTTAGGATGGCGTGAATGTCCCACATGTATACATTTTTGTCGCTGCAACCAGTGACTAGTACTATTTCATCGGTGGAAAAGGTTGCGCATTCTACCTGATCTTCGTGCTGGAGGGGTGGACAGACTGGGAGGTTGGTGTCGAGATTCCATAGACGCACTGTTTTATCCCATGATGTACTTGCAAGGAGGCGATTGTTCCGAGAGAAGGAGATGGCGCGGATGACTTGTGTGTGACCCTCAAGGATGGCAATTTCCAGCCAAGTGGCTGTGTCGAATATCCTAATCAGGCTATCTGATGCGGAGATGAGCTTCTTTCCATCTGATGTCCACGCCAAGCGGTAAACTGAGTATTTGTGTTTGAGTGTGGCGAGCAGCTCGCCCGTCTTCGCATCCCAGGTTTTCACTGCGTTCTCGGTCTCGCCACCGGTCGCAATTTTTGTGTTGTCGGGCGAGTATCTCACCACATACACCCACTGGTGCCCAGTCTTGATTTCCAGGATTGTTTCTCCGCTCTTGACATCCCACACTCTTGGCTTCCCATCCCAGTGTCCGCCGCTCAGCACTCGCTTACCATCCGCACTCCAGCACACTGACCCCACACCCTTAGGGTGCCCTACCCATTTCGCGACGACCTTTCCCGTCTCGACGTCCCACAACTTCACTTTCCCATCTCCACTTCCGCTGACAACAGTCTTGCCGTTTGGAGACAATGCCATTCCGTACACCCTTGCTTTCTTCTCATCGTCATCTCGCCAGTCCTCGCCTATCTGAGCGCCGCTCTCCAAGTCCCATAGTCGCAGTGAGCTGTCCCACGAACATGTGATGATCCGTCGTCCCTCGGGCAGGTGTACAACATCTCTTACCCAGTCCGTATGGCCTCGCATCGTCTGACGGGGCGTGACTGCTGGCGTCATTTGCTTCATCCTGGTCTTGGAAGACATGGTCGGCGTGAGGGAAGTCTCAAGCATAGCAGATCTATATGAGAATCCTGCCAGGATCTTTGAATTAAAACGAATTATCTGGCAACGGCAAATATTCCTGATGAGTCGACGTGCCTATTTTCTTAACTTCAACTTGTGCTCACCAGACAGCCTGCTTACAGGAATCCAGTCCTCACCCAGAAGCTACTCTCGAACTGCAAGGATCTTCGAAATAGAACGAGTTGTCTGGCAACAGAAAATATTCCTTGTGAGTCGACCTGCCTATCTTCTTTAACTTCAGCTCTCGCCAATAGAAGCGTAAAAACCATCGCTCACCAGACAATCTGCATATAGGAATCCAGTCCACACCCAGAAGTCAATTTCGGCCTGTATATACAGGAGTTGCTGTATTTCGAGAATGCGAAGAGATCTTAGTGGTCTAAAGTTGCTGGTAAGCAGGTGGCTATGTTTCAGAAGAGCCCAGAATATCACTCACCAGAAGTTTAGACAAGTTCAGTGCTCAAATCACCAGCGATCGGTGGAGGTTTGGATTGGAGCCGTGGAAGTTGGGCACCCGTTTGTTTATGCCGTCTTTTAACAAGGTGTGTTCCATGTGTTATCCTCGTGTTCGCTTCACAGCTTAATTGCTGTGTAGATGAAGCACTTACGTCAGTGACTAGCGCCAGGTGCATATTTCTATATCTGATGGACTACTTCAATGGTGGCGAGAAAGTTCGACGGGGAACCGTATTTATTTTCCGTCTTACATGTTTCCTCCAGCCTGTTTAGAACCCATGTTCACCCTATATCGTCAAATCTTCTTGTTTTCAGGCAGTGCCTTGTGCCGTCATCGAATGCTGTACTCCGAAACCTGTCAGAACTTGCCTTGCCTATATTCTCGGAATCTTGGACAAGCCAAGATGGTCGAATTGTTACTGCATCACAACCTCTATCGTCGGGGCTGATGTTTCACCATTTTTTGTGTGATCGTATCGTACGTGCTCGGGGCGTGGTGACCCTTCGTATATCATACTGAGTTCATGTTTTGTGCTCAGATTCCAGATTAGAACTTGATCTGCTTGTCAAATCACCACGCAACCATTTCGACTGTACCGACAAGCGTCAAGGACTCCAACTAGTATACAAGATGACCCCCGTCAAGAGAGTACAGAAATCAGTCCAGTGCATCTGACGCGAAGATAGGCGAGTTGTCTGGACCTGTCCAGGTAGCATAGTCAGGACGGTGCATGCTGCAGAACCACATCATCTGCCCTTTGCTCAGCTGAATGGTGTTCTCGCACTCTTTTCAAGATGAGCAGCGCTCGTCACTGACGAATGCCGTATTGTCGATCACTGTCTCCGATGCAACTCTCATTCCGCTTCTTCATCTAGCCCGGGGAACGTCCTCATAATGCTTCTCTCTTTATTTTCCCAAACTCACTATCTGGTCTTGTTACTGGAATCTGGGACACGTTCGTTCCCACATACCTGCCACTAAACGCATAGTCGCTTGTACTTCTGGGCGAGTCTTATACCTGAACCCGACATTGCTTCTTGGCCAAATTCATTCTATGGTGTTAGCGCCGGACACTTTCATCGATTCGGCGCAAACGTTGAACCTGAATATGGTGGACGGTGGTGAGGACGGCGAAGTTATCCCCCTGCAACCTCTCCTGGTGAAGGCACGTGGCGTCGATGTCATTTTCGCCATTGATGCAGTAAGCAGTTTCCCAAAGAACGTGGCGGTCTTTAATTGATCTTCAACTCAGACCGATGATATCGTCGACTTCGCAGATGGCAGCTCTTTGATTGTGAGCATCCACAGTTATCGAATGACTTTCACATCTGAACCCTTGCTAGGCCATGCAAAATCGTACTTCGCTTTATCCTTCTGCTTACTCATTCCCTCCCCTTCCCACTTCTCTGGGAGAATACTGTAATACGCCGCACAAAACCTGACCATGTGCCCGACATTCTTTGGATGCAACACCACCAGTTTGAATGCAAGCACCCCACTTCTCATATACCTTGCTAATGGTGGTCCATCCCACAATGGCGAAGCTCCCGTTACCAACACCTCAACGGATTAAACTTTTTATTCGTCGTCAGAGATCCAGGCAATGCTTAGCCAGACCTTTGTCATCGCGACCCAGGGGTATCCAACATACGGAGCAATGGAGGATCCAAATTGGCCGTCGTGTCTCGCATGCGCCGTCGTTGACCGTGCAAGGGAGCGAGCAGGGGTGGCATGAAGTGGTATTTGCTCTTCCTGCATGAACAGGTACTGCTGGGATGTGCGTTCTTCGCAGACCCTTCCCAGCCAACACTTTCGATCCTGCATGCGATATACGTCTTACAAACTCTGCTGGGTGATGGGGTAGTGGTGGGTTCATATTTTTATCTGCCAACTTAATGTCTTCTTGGCTTATAGAAGTTTTTCTGGTAGATCTATCGCTGCTACGTTGTGTGGCAATCAATCTTGGTCATTATCCTACCCAGCATGTTGTGGTGCAGCGTTGCAGGTCGGTTCACAGTCATGTTCACAAAGTCGTGTTCTCTGACGTCGCATCGAAGTGACCGGTAGTGGTGTGATCTACAGCTATTCGCAAGTCACAAATGGCTCCGGAGACTTCTTCGCCAACGTGTTTGGCCAGCCTACACAATGGGTTACGGCATTCTTCGCTTCGACCATGGCAACGAATCTGTTGAGTTCAGGTGAGCACACGAAATGAGGACTCCCAAAACTTCCCCTGCGCAGTTACTGCATGGAAAGATTATGTTGGCGGATATCGCTGTGAATCATGGTATCGGCCCATCACGAGATCTATAGTAACGTTGAAACCTGGTGTGTGAGAAGGGAATGGTTTTATTTTAATATACTGGGTATCATGATGGTCATGGTCACAGGACCAGGTCACTAGTATATGCTAGGAAGTTCGTTTCATTGGCTGAGCCTTTTTGTACTACATAGTAGACAGTATTTATATAATCTTCTTAATGTGACTTCAACCTCAGTCACTGAGACAAGCATACTACTGACTCGGATGGCTAATATTCTTACTCGTTACGATTTAGAACAGTTCAAATGGAAGCCCTTCAAAGGTGAAGGCGTCCGAGATGGATGTGCTCGCCCTCTTGGAGGCGCTGAGCATGTCCAAGATATTGCGAACCACTGTCATATACCATATTCCTGGGTACAGATCCGAAGATCCGGATCTCAGATCCGATCCAGATCTGATGGACATATCCGTCGTCCGGTCCACAGATCCGATCTAATCCTTGTTTCATGTCCTGTTCATATAACTCTAACTATCATTCATCTCCTTTCAGCATTCCTGTACACCGGTATACCGGTTATCCTTTACTTCCGTTATGCTTACTGATCCGCTACACTTACTGATCTGCTTTAGATTAGACTTCATTCCCAGTTATGATTTGTTATCCATCCGACTTACCGATATGCTGTACACATACTTTGATTATACTTCGTACATAGCCTCGCGTCCTTGCTTATTGATCATTCCGTTAGTTATCCGTAGTATATAAACCCTTGTACATGCGCTGTAGTAGTTCAGTTCAAATATCATCTTAGATTGCACTAATTCTGTCTGGACCCTAAGTCCATCTGTTATCCATCCGGACTTGAGTACGATACTCTTGTCTACTCTGAGACTTAGGATTGATTCCTATAGTCTATATATCTGTCTGTCTTCGGACAGTCCTCACCCGTTAGTTTCTAGTTCGGATCCGATCTGGATTAGCTGTTACTATATACGTTCAATATCTGGAAGCCTTAACGGATCCATTACGAGACTTATCCATCTCAATATACACAATACTCTAGCACTCTGAAATAAGGGGCAAGACTCAGGAAAGGGGCACAGCGCACGAGCTGAGGCCGAAGCCCTTCAGATCCGATACTACTTGAGTACGGTCTTAACAACCACCATCTCAAGGGTGACCAGATGTTGTTCTTCGGAGTCACCATCGACTTGCATGACCCCGTGAGCATCACCAAGCTCGGTCCTTCCGCTCAAGAATGCTGGTGCTGGCTCCACTTCCAATTTCCTACCATTGCATCATCCATTCTAAATGAATCCAATTACAAGCTGCCCATGTTGGTTTATAAAACCGCGAGTCCGCAAGAGATCAGCCAGTGGGCGCAGCGCACTCTCGTTGTCCATCCACCCTCACATATCAACCTCGACCAATTGCGGGTCAACGAGGGTCAGAAGAAGGTCCCATCATCTGATGGAGACCATACATGGATGCATCTTGTCCCTGGCGAAATCACCAATGGGGCGGTCTCTAAATTCTGTCTGCTGTTCCATACCCATCACTCGCCATTCGATGGCGCAGGGTCAAAGATCATCGTGAATCACTACCTCACGCAATTGGCGAAGGTGCTCTCTGACTCCTATGGCGCATCAGAGGTTATCGAATGGTGAAATGAACTGGAAAACCTCCCTCTGGCAGCCTACAACATCCTGGACTCCAATGAACTCCTTCCTATTTCACCGGACTTGCTGGAGGAACCTTCCTTTGACCACGATTACTACAAGTCCTTTGGAAGGGTCCTCTCCGCCTTCGGCGCAGCGACAAAGGTGCTATTCCTTTCTTTTCGATTTTTTTTTCATGGCTAATTACTGAACATGAAGGATACATACAGATTTAGCGCTCGCCCAAAAGATACAGGGTGGCTGAAGACGCGTCGCGCCGAGGTCCTCTTCACAATGGAGGAATCAGCAGGAATTCAAACTGCCTTGAGGATCTCTGGGTTTACACTTACACACCTTGGTATGTAGCTGCCTCCCCTCTGTTGGTCTGTCGGATTGAGAATCTGCCAGCCCACACTGCATTAGCGATGGTTGTCATAGCTGATAATCCACCAAATTTGGCGTCTTCTTCCCACTACTTGAACAATGTATCTCTAGCTAATTTCCGAGGCCGGTTGGATCCGAACCACGCGCTACATCCAGGCTATGTCCTTGGTGTTTTCATGACCAGGATTCCGGTGTCAGTGTTCTTGTCCCCTGACGGAACTGTCTTACCATTAGACAGGGACATGCTTCTATGGGTGGCAGACATAGCCAAGGGACAGTATCAAGCCCACATAGAATTGCCTGCTGGGTTGAGTTGCATGCTGCAGGTTGGTGAAGCATACACCTCGGCCATCATGCCAGCTGTATCTGCAAACATGTACGTGTGTGGTACTACGAATCATTTACATTTATTCATGTCATAGCCGGTTCAGCCCATACTGTCATATTGATATATCCAAACTGGCTTATTAGCCAAAAACCCTGATACATCATTCAGTTTAGCTATCCACTGTAACACTATCTAGGTTGATGTATCCTTGGGTGGATCCCAGCAGTGGCTTCTGTATACATCATTCCCAGCATATTTTCGCATTTTTGGCCACCTACCCCCCCACAATATTCTCACACTTCATAGCTCCGCATTTTGGGCCACCTACTGTGGGAATTTCCCCACAACACCAAAAACATCGCCCATTTTGGGAATCTCCACAATATCAATTATTCCCACACCCTCCCCACCTTACTGCAGCTTCACCACTACACCACAATAGGTCCCCCCTTGTATCTAAGTAGTAGTTTGGTATATACATGTATAATATACTATAATAGACCGCTTTTTTTGTTAATTTGTATGTCTCCTCCTCCTCCAGGGCTCTTTTAAAATGAAGTAGGACACAGAACACTTTCGCATTTTTGCCCCTTTGATGTGTAAGTGTCCCAGGCCATTCAGAACATGTTTAAGAATATATATGAAGAGAATCACATCTTTATTTGACCCCCTTTAGCGTCCTACATCAATAGATATAACATATATACAGAAAACCACAAAATATGTTGCCATTTGTTTATTTCTAGGTGGATGTACTTGAAAAAATCATTCCCAGCACCTATTCAATAGTAGGAACAATGTGTGAGGAGCTCATCACCACAGGACAAGAGATTGTTGTGTAGTGTACCCCCCCTCCCCTGGTGGTTTATCCCCTGTGAAATTTTTCCTGTAGGACCGGACCTCAAGAAGTGTAGGGTGTTTATTCATATTCATATTTAGAGTATACCTATCACCTAGCTACTCCAGAACATCCACAGGGTCCTTCCACAGGAACATAAATATAATATATCACAATTTTGATAATTTTGATGTTTTTCATTCCCTTACTCTTGCAAAAATGATCCAAGCTGGTCATATATCATCATTGGGGCACATATACATGCTTTGTATGCCCAGGATCAGCTCATAATAGGCCGGAGATTTCAGATCATGTGTATGCTTACTATTTCTACTGATTAGGGGCCCATACCTTTAAAACATCGGAATTTAATGACCAGACATCTGTAGTACATCTCACATACATTCAGCATCATAGGACTCAAGTTATAGAAAGATCTACCCAGGATTGAGGACTCAGGGAAGTAAATAGATAAGAAATTGAGTGTGGGAAACTTCAAATGCTCAAAACATCGAAAGTGGTCAGTTAAGAAGTTGTAGGACTTTATGCTGCATCAACTGACTTCACTACCACATCCCTTCCACATCCCTTCCACTCTCAGGGCAAAGTGTAGTATAGGTTCCTTGTGTAGTCTAACATGTATTCTATCAAAATTTAATGAAATATTTGACCTATATCATATATAAATGTGAATTCTGTGTGATATGTGTCAATTGTCACTTTTCACACATATGTTCTTTTGCATTTATTTCACTCAATACTTGATGGATCTTTCTGAAATTTGAGATCTGTGATACTGAATATATATGACATGCACTCCAGGTGTCTGATCATTAAATTTCGATACCCTAAAGGTATGGGCCCCTAATCAGTAGAAATAGTAAGTATACACATTATCTGAAACCTCCGGCCTATTATGAGCTGATCCTGGGCATACAAAGCATATATCTGTGCCCCAATGATAATATATGATGAGCTTGGATTATTTGTGCAAGAGTAAGGGAATGAAAAATATCAAAAATGTCAAAATTGCAATATATTATATTTATGTTCCTATGGAAGGACCCTGTGGGTAGCTAGGTGATAGATATACTCTAAATATGCATAGGAATGGACCCCATGCAATACTTGAGGTCCGGTCCTACAGGAAAATTTTTCACAGGAGGTAAACCATCAGGAGAGGGGGGGATGTACTACACAGCAGGGTCTTATCCTATGGTCCTGAGCTCCTGATACATTTTTAATACTGTTGGATAGATGCTGGGAATCATGTTTCAAAGGCTCTGTACCTAGAAATTAATACATGAGAACATATTTTGTATTTTTCTGTATATATGCCATATCTATTGATGTAGGGCGCTTCAGGGGGTCAAATAAGGCTTGGAATCTCTTCATATATATTCTTAAACATGGTCTGAAGATCCTAGAACACTTCTTTATTAAAGGGGCAAAAATGCGAAAGTGTTCTATACCCTAACCAATTTTAAATGGCCCCTGGAGGAGGAGGAGACATACAAATAAACAGAAAAAGCGGTCTATTATAGTATATTATACATGTATATACCAAACTACTACTTAGATACAAGGGGGGACCTATTGTGGTGTAGTGGTGAAGCTGCAGTAAGGTGGGGAGGGTGTGGGAATAATTGATATTGTGGAGATTCCCAAAATGGGCGATGTTTTTGGTGTTGTGGGGAAATTCCCACAGTAGGTGGCCCAAAATGCGGAGCTATGAAGTGTGAGAATATTGTGGGGGGGTAGGTGGCCAAAAATGCGAAAATATGCTGGGAATGATGTATACAGAAGCCACTGTTTGGATCCACCCAAGGATACATCAACCTAGATAGTGTTACAGTGGATAGCTAAACTGAATGATGTATCAGGGGTTTTGGCTAATAAGCCAGTTTGGATATATCCTTCCCCCACTAACAGGTGGCAGGTTGCCATCCAATCAGTGTTACTCATTTTCCAGTGATGGCAAAGGTGAAAACTACTTAAATCACACTTTCACGGATGACACTGGGAAACCTGTCCTTTCGGTGAACAAGTTCTTCACATCTCTGAATAGATTCGACCCTGGCCCATGGGTTTTCTAGATCTCACTGGTTCTGCAATGTAATTGACTGGAACACTTAGATTCTTTCGTCTCTCCTCTTGGGGAGGCATGGTTGACCTTGGTGCTGATTACAACTCTAATATTGTGAAGACGGAGGATGTGATGAATTACTTAAATCAATGGAGGAGGTTCTTACTTCTGATTTTTGACTAGCGCTTGCAACTGAATGTTAACCATAATCTACCATCATTGTCATGTTTATATCATTGGGAACTAGATGAGCAACATGAGCTGTTTCTGCACATTGTAGTGGCGCTCGGCCACACCAGTCCCCAACTCAGTATGAAGACACCAAGACTCAGAAAAGATATGATTCGCAGATAATTGTAGCACAACAATATCGAGGCCCAAGACAGGCTAAGACTGAAGTTCTTGACTAGGAGATGTGGTAACTTTCGACAGAGTCATGAACCAGAACAGTCTACCAGACAACAAATGACTATAAGTTCGGATACAAGCATCAGTAAAACACCCAAATCCTTTTCTAGCCTCATGTTCCTTGATGTGCCTTCGAATTTCGTCGTGACAAATCTAGACTACTGACTTGCTTGGCCCATGAGTTTCATATTATGTTTTCGTTAAAATCCAAAGTTAGAAGATAGTGCCTTGAGCCTACCGCAACTTGATTAACCGCCTTCCAAACATATCCTTCCTGCATAAAGTCTGAGTCACATGTTCCAGTTATTTGGCTTCCTGAGTCACTGTCTAGTGTGCGTGATTTAAGACAGTATAACGAAGAATCAGACACGTCTGCAGATGGCATTAAGGAGGTCCCTGAATGCACAGTTGAGTTGTCACGTCCGTCATGAATCGTCACAAAATATTGTCAAGGTTGAGCAGATCAGGCATATCGTCAGTCTTCGCTCACCTGTGTGCTGCTCTCCAAGTCCCATAGCTGGAGTGAGCTGACTTCGAGCTTAGGGATAATACGTCGTCTGCCAGGCAGGTGTACAACATCTTGTATGCGCGGTCTCAACCACGGCAGCCTGAGATCCTGGACTGTGTTTGTGACGGAAGTCTGCTTAGATCTTCGAATTAGAACGGGCAATCCGGTATTGCTGGTGAGTCGACAAGCTTCCTTCATTCTTGCTACTCAACACCTGCAGCAGGAGACAATTCAGTCGTCGTTCACCCGTCGTTTTTGACACATTTGGGCACGTATGCCACTCTCTTGTTCTGGACAGTGAAGCAGGATTTCCTAAAGACCGGATAAGCATTGACTGATATTGTACATCTATGAATACCTCAGGTGATGCCTCCTGCATGACTTCATATGCAACATTATTTTATACCGCTCTCTTTAAACGGACTAGCAATAAACGACATCAACAATTAGATTATAATACACAAGAACTCAATGTGAAGATGAGATGGGATTTTATGTGCCGCGTTTCCATTCGAAACCATGGAAGGTTGAGTGGCAGATATACAACTGAGTCCGTACTGAGACAAGTCGTCGAGGCGCATCAACATTTTCTGTTCCCGAGACAAAGAACGTACGTGATAGCAATCAGTCTACCCAGACTGCTTAGGTCTGGATAAGCCGAAACAATCGTTCTACGGCCCAAGGCCTCAGGTGAGAAACGTGAATATCATTGGCCGCTAGTACGAGCCACATCACTAGGCACAATATGGCGAACCACACTGGAGATGCAATCGAGATGACAACAACTTCAGCACTGCGGAAAATTAGGACGGACAATGCTGCAGCAAAAAACACCATTCTGTCAAAGAATGAGCCACCGACCCGTGTAATGTAACAGGTAACGTACGCCCAAATCAGAAGTGCAAACGGCAGACTCAGCATGAGAGCAAGGCTCTCAAGGCCAAGCATAGAACTCGATATTCCTTCCATGAAAGAGGCCTGTGGACATATAATACAAGTCATAAAATAGAATAGATTCTTACCACATCTTTAGCGGAGCGTCGCCGGCTGCCATTAACTTGTCCAGCCAATACCAATGAGACCACTAATGAGCCCAAGACGCAGAGGCTAGACAGATATGCTAGAACAGTCGCTGGCATTTGAGTCTGGACAGATTGGACCGCAAGGAAGCTGATGTCAACAGCAAGCATCACAGTGGACTGAGATTGGTCATTGATTGCGTGATGATATGAAACACATTACAACTCACATATATTGTGTATCCATTCCATTCAGTGGTGAGCGTGTCGATAAAATTCTTCCACCGCGGCTGAACGACGGTTTTATCTACCCATATCTTGTGAATAGCCTTGCTCTGAGCATCAAAGGATCCAAACAGCGTAAACGTCATGAAGCGACAGATCCATTTTGGGAGGGCGTTGGGTTCTCCATATAACGATTGGTCTACATCAAGTCGGGCGCCTGGTTGCCCACAAAAATTCACAAACTTGGCGTTGCCTAGAAAAACGGTCAGGAAATTGGGCGCGCAGTCTACTGACCTGAGCTCACAGAAAAGTCTCATGAATCGGGCTGAAATTGGTAAACATATCAGAACTAATCAACTGATCTTCCGTGATTAGACTTACCGACTATCCACACGGAGTGTTCACGCTCTTTGTTAGCACTACCTGAAGAAACAATCAACAACGACCTCCTGCATCAGGGAATCATTCACTCATGAGCGAATCCACAAGGCCGAGCATACTATCAACCTCATTTGAAGCAAAGGGTGCTAGGCATGTTTCAGAAGTGATATTTTCTGTCACAACTCAATCTTTTAGGCTTGAAACACTCATGGTTCTTTATCACTCACCTGCCTGAGCGAGCATTACAATTTCTTTGAGATTTACGATGGCATTTTCCGGAAGAAAGCGTTTGTTTGGAAATAGCTCGACATGTCTCCTGTCCATATTATAATATGTAAGTCGCAGGAGATAAGGACTGTAACAAAGTGTGAGTGCATGTAATTTTGTCGTGAGGGAAAAGGCATACTGCCAGGAGTTGTGCGAACCAGTACTGCGATTCTAGTGCATACCCTAGGGACGGCGCAATTACAGAAGCTCAAATAGAAAGAACTGCACAGAAAGAACTCACTGATGTGGCTTTTGCGCTCCACACCTCGAATGTTATTCAGAAGGGGATCAGATTTGTGGTCTTCGAACCAGAAAACGACGCGTTTGTCATGATCGGCAAAGTAGTAGCCCCACTTCTCTTCGCCATCAGCTATGATGAACTCCAACGCTAGCTCGACGAGTGGATCCATGGGGATGTTTGCTTCACACGCTTTTCTGTGCGCTTCCTTGACGGCTTCGCCTATTTTGGCAGCAGTTACATGGTCTCGAACATCGGCATCGGTGAAAACTCTCTGGTGCGTGGTATGAGTGCTTCAAGCCATGTAGAAGTGGGCGATAGACGCACTTCTTTCGGAGAATAGAAGAATAAAGCCCCTTCCGGGTGCGTGAGCGGCTCCCATCCTGCTACAGTAGCACGCTCCCTACAAGCTCGTTTCAATCCAAGTTTCATCAGTAGCTCTTTCACTACCAGCATACTTACTCTGAACAGTCTAAGGGGCCTTTCTTGACCTCAAACACTGCATCCACATCTTTACTGTGAGCATAGATTAGAACGGCAACTTACTGGAAATATATTTTGCCTACACTATAACATGCCTCTCGTATCGCTTGACTTGTTTGCCGGGCACAATGGGAATCAAAGTGATCAATTGCACTGGCGTGGCGACACCCGAGGGATTGTAGATGTTGGGCCTAGGCATAGAACTTGGTATCAACGGCGCAGAAGATTTGCTGGGAGACTGTGCGCTATAAGCTACGCTATTTGCACTTTGATTCAGCTCGCCGTGAGTTTGTGACTGAAGGCTCGTTCCAGGTTGGCACCCCTGGCTTTGTAGAGGTGTTTCGGGCAACGGCACTGCTAGGGTCACCGAAGGCGTTGGCCTGTCTACTGGCTGAGAGCTCAATGCTAAACCGGGCCGTTCTCGAAAAAACTCCCCCTTTCCATTAAAGGCAGATTGACAATGTTTGATCAGTCGCGACAGGGCAGAGAAGAGACTCCTGTACGAGTGAAATACGACCGTCTTGAAAATGTGCCTCAACCAGGATATGAACATGCGAATGTATCGTCCATGCATGATCGTTACGGAGAATGGGTAGAGCCAAGTACAGAAACTCTAGAGAACTCTGTCGGACAGTGGGCGAGAAGGTAGAAAAAATAAGTAGTTTTGCTGGGGTGGGAGAATGAGTGACACGATATTATGCATGGTGATTCGGGAATCGGTAGGACCAGCGCGACAACTGAGAGGCTGAGTAATCTCAGGAACCTTGGGAACTACTTTTAGTCTACTTTTCGATCAGAGGCTGCGCAAAGTCAGACGCTTCTGGCGTTACGTACGTTTCGTAGCCGCCACGCTCACTTCCAGCCGTTCACGTCAGAGCCTCCTGCAGAACTCCCCTACTATATTGTTCCATAACATTTCACGTGTATTAACCAGAGGAGGATAACTGTTATGCATCGTTATATTCACTCAGTCATTTTCATCAAACGCAAGGTTTTCATATCATAGTTTAGTCAGTGAAACAGTTGCTCTTCGACCTAAATTATGAGGAGTCCCCATACCGTTCCACGAGACACTGTTCTCGTAGAACAGCCCAGATGGAGAAGGTCAATGGTACGATGCTGATCTCATATACTTTCCTCCATCTTCGGATCCTTTGGTGCCCGAGGTGTCCTGGGGCTGCTAAGTTCGCTCCCGTTGTATGATTATACAAGAGAAAACTTGCACTTTTATCTGCGAGCCAATACAATTTTTAATCATCAGACATCACACCAGAGAAAGACATGTCATGCACTGTAGCCACTTCGAAAACATGAGGACGGCTTGGGAGCTCCGAGAGTTCGATTTCTTCATCGGCGTCGGTTTGAGGGCGGAAGAGTGAGGACAGACGACTGATAAGTACATCACGTGAACTCGAAGTAGGTGTCGCAGACGTCAAGGGGGCGGCAGGCTGAGTCTGCGATGATGATACCTCGGCCTGGTCTTGACCTTGCGTTTGGGCTTGCTGCTGCTGCGTTTGCGACGATGTCGCGTGGGTCTGTACTTGTTCCTGTGATTAGTCTTCCTGCTGCTGTATCGGTTGTGGATTGCTGCCGGCTTGTCGATGATCACATTTGCAGCAGAGAAAAAGCACGAGATGAGCCAACAATTGGACGGGTAGTGAATGCGCAGGTTTTGCACCTGGTGTGGCAGTACCAGCAGACTGAGGGTGTGAAGGGTCTGGTTGTGGCCCAGAAACAAATAATGTCTGCATAAAAACCGTCAGACACCATCAATTAACACACTAGATAAAGACATACCCCCTTGTCATCCATTGCAGCCACCTTGACAACATTAGGACGGCCTGGGTGTTGTGGGACTCTCATGTCTTCGTTGGTGGGTGGTTGACAGCGGAAGAGTGAGAATAGGCGACTGATGAGTCCGTCTGAACGTGAACTCGAAGTAGGTGTCGCGGACGTCGAGGGGGCGGCAGGTTGTGCCTGCGGAGGTGACCCCTGGGCCTGGACTTGACCATGCGATTGGCCTTGCTGCTGCTGTGTTGGCGAAGAGGTCGCGTGGGTCTGCGCTTGACCTTGCGGTTGGCCTTCCTGCTGCTGAGTTGGTTGTGCATGGACATCGATGTGTTGAGGAGATGCGCAGCAGGCAAAAAGCACAAGACGAGCCAAAAATGATCTTGCAGTAGCACCATGATTTGGAACCGGCCCTGTAGCAACAAAAAGCACCTGCCGAGAAATTATTGAGCATTCGGAAATGAAATGCACGCAAAGAAATACATACCTCTCTGTCCCTTCGTGCAGCAACTTCGACGATATGAGGACCACGAGTGAATATGGTCCGTCTTTGGCGTTGTTGGAGTTCGGCTGCGTTATCGGTATTGTAATGAGAGTGGCGGGAGAGCGACGAGAATCGTGCGAGAAGAGGTGCCCGAGTACTGCGAGTGTGGTGTGCAGCAGAATGAGGACATGTACCGCGCGCTGTAGAGAACTGAGAGTACAGAGGTCAGAAAAGGCACTGGTCAAAGAATGCAGACGACTGACCTGGGCGCCATTTTGCACGCCGTCGAAAAAGCCTTGTGGTACTTGAAGGACTTGAAGGACTTGAATAGGCGGACTTCGGGTAGTATTACTCTAGAGTGTCGAACCTGAGATGTTTGGAAAGATTAATGAACACGTCATGTACAAAGTTCATCAATGACTTTGGAGCTGGGATCTGCGAGTGGGATTAGCATTGTTTGACCGAAGAATGAAGAGATTTACATCACGGAAAAAGTCTTTAAGGCCAACTTCTTTGAGGATGGCGTGAACATCCCATACATACGCATTTTTGTCTTCACAACTAGTGACTAAAACTGTTCCATCAGCAGAAAAGGCTGCGCAGGTCACCTCATGTTCATGATGGAGGGGTGGTCCGACTGGGAGATTGGTGTCGAGATTCCAAAGATGCGCTGTGTTATCATCCGATGCGCTTGCAAGGAGGCGGTTGTGACGAGACAAGGAGATGGCCCAGACAGTGTTTTTGTGACCCTCGAGGATTGCAATCTCTTGCCATGTGGCTGTGTCGAATATGGTAATCGGGCCATATGACGTAGAGATGAGTTTCTTGCCATCTGATGTCCATGCCAAGCTGAAAACTATTCGATTGTGTTCGAGTGTGACAAGAAGCTTGCCCGTCTTCGCATCCCAGATTTTTATTCCGTGCTGTTTGAAGCCTCCTGTCGCAAACATTGTTTGGTCGGGAGAGTAGATCCCTGCCCACACATGTACGTGCCCGGTCTCGATTGCTAGGACAGTTTCGCCGCTCGTGACATCCCAGACTCGTGCTGTGCCATCTGACGATCCGCTCACCACTCGCTTACTACCCGCACTCCAGCACACTGATAACACATTCTCAGTGTGCCCTGCCCATTTTGCAATCACCTTTCCCATCTCAACGTCCCACAATCTCACTGTTCCATCATTGCTTCCAGTTGCAATAACGTTGCCGTTTGGAGATAATGCTATCGTTTTCACTCCTTCCTTGTCTCCTTTATCTCGCCAGTCCTCGCCTATCTGTTTGCCGCTCTCCAGGTCCCATAGTCGGAGTGAACCGTCATCCAAACATATGATGATGCGTCGTCCTCCCGGCAGGTGCACAACTCCTTGTACCCATGCGGCATGGCCTTGCATCGTCCTGTGAGGCATGACTGTTTGCTTCCTAGTGATAGAGGAAGACATTATCGGCGTCCCAACTACTGCAGATTTTGGACTACTTGTACGAGAAGCCCGCTGGGATCTTTGAATTAGAACGAGCGATCTGGCAATGACAATTTCTGGTGAGTTGATGTCCCTATCTTATTTTACTTGAGCTCTTGCTAATAAAAGTACGCAAGCCATTGCTCACCGCACAGCTTGCTTGTAGGAATTCAGTCCGCCAAGAAGCCAACTGTGGGACTATATATGCAGGAGTTGCTGTGTTTTGAGAATGCGCAGAGATCTTAGTGGGTAGCCAAAGTCACTGGTAAGTAGGTACATTGCAGAGAGGTTAGACAATCACTTACGAGGAGCGATGTTTAGACAAACCCGTATTCAAATCACTAACATTAATCAGACACGCTATACAGATGAAAAGCACAGGTTCTGCGACTAGCGCAAAGTGCATCTTCCTGTATTTGATGGACTACTTCGATGACATGAAAAAGTTTAATGGGGAGCCGCGTTCCCTTGACGAGCGTAGCTCTCTATCTTACGTGTTTCTTCCAGCCGATTTCGAACTGACGTTACCAGACTTTCAGCATATTTGCGGGCTGTGCAGCATGCCATCACTGGATGTCGTATTCTGAAATCTGCCAGTCACCGCCCTGCATCCCCTGCATCTTCAGCATACCAGTGCAGTGGCTTCGTCAGCGTAGTACGCATATTCTAAGACAGCCAGTTATTTCAGGAAGAATCACAAGACTCATTTGCAGTTGGTACTAGTATCAGCAGCTGGCATGCATCAGCTTGACTGTCTCCTCTACTAGACCATACAAGGACTCCCCTTCGGTTTGTAAGGAATGCCACTGCGCTGGCTACAGAATTCTCTTTGTACTACCGGTTATGGACTTCACCTTGTACCGGTTCGAAGTACTACTCTACCGGCTATGGAATTCCCGATATACTGCTATCATAGCCACTCACTTAGATATAAAACCTGTCCTTACTTTGCGTATCTTTAGTGAATTTACTCCTTACTCACGAACTCATTAAGCAGCATTACAGGCTGGCTCTACGATAATATATTGTGTTTACAGTAGCAACTCAGGAAATACTATATTAGCATTGCCTCTCCAAATAGTCAGTATCTCTTCACGTTCTCATCCTGGACAATGCTGTGCACAATCGACCGCGAGCGAAGGGATTCGAGTTAGTCGGGAGATTGAGCACGGTTTACGCTAGCGTCAAACTTTAACATCCATTAAATGTAGTTGCATATGCGGGTCACAGAGGAAACTGTCTTCGATTCACTGTTCATGACGAATGGTTTGTATGGAATGCGGGGAATGCAGTGGCTTTCAAATGTATTGAGAAGTTGGACTTTGAGGAAGCGACAATGCAGCGCAACGACGCGCACCTTGATGCGCGTTTATTTACATACTCCAGGATGGGTTGACATTGCAAGGTAGTCGAGTATGTGTTCTGGTACTCAATTTAGTCTGCTCAGCTTCTTTCAGGCTGTCTGAACTAAGATCCTACATAGCTTCGTCAGTGAAATGTGTGATTGATATCGGTTGCGATACTTACGATAATAACCCGGCAGTTTGTCATCGTACACCACAGATCCTGTCATGCCATGCTGCAATTTAGCCTGGTATGGACCAGGACACCTGACGGACACGGCTTCCGCGGGCCTTCAGTGCATGTATACTTCTCATCAGCGGAGATGCGAAGTCTTGACAATTTGCGGCGACCCTGAAGTTCCAGAACACCGTAGCATGATCATGATATTTCGTGCATTGGATACATAAAGTAGTCATGACACGACTAAGGCTAACCGTCATATCCTATATTGTGTCAGCTGCATTCTGGATATTAATATTAGCTAGTACCGTATTATGACGGGGCAAGAAAGTTACAACAGTACTTATGGTAGACAATGTCCCAGTGGGATCTACAAGAAATTCGTCCGCATGCAGGTCGTCCTGCAAAACATTATGCCCCCCCTAATGAACGAAAACCATTGGGACGTCTATTACTTCATTGAAGGGAGGGGCGGTGGTGGGTAAAGGAGAGTGGAAATATTAGCTGCTTCTTCATAAGACTTGAGACCTCCACCCCCCAACTGCGAGGGTGTTAGAGAGTCAAAGGTCGGGCATAATTGATCCCATGCATCTGTAAAGCAGTTCAGCCATAGAATTTCAGGTTCGTCATGTATAACCTACGCGGGATGTGGTTCAGATGTGCACGGGTACCTGAGGGACTTTCCGCCATTACCACAGCAAGACCGCTAGATGTGAAAGGTTAGCGATCTATTTCAGGAGGACATTTACCCACATACGCTTCGAGATGCCAGTCAATATGACTTTTTGGTTCAGACTTAGTACTCTTCTTGACAGCTCAATAAACATGATCACATACCAATGCAAGAACCAGGGGCCAGAATTGTCGGTCACCCATCGTATCACCACTTGCTGCCCAGGGCTGCCAGTGCTTACCACATCGCGACGAACTGGGTTCACGTAATTGAGGGTACTGTTGCCCGCGCTCTGTACGACATCAAAGGAATGCTAGTGATCATATCAGTACCAGGCAGACATGACATCGAAGTCATGGCCAACTTACCCCGTGAAGGTGTATGGGATGCTGGTACGTTATATATCAGCCACGTAAGCGTAGAAGGAATGGAGAAGACGTACGGGTCCACCAAAACCAGTTGTTGACAATGTCAACTCTACCACTTTGTCAGCCTCGAGAACGATAACACTCCCGTTTGGGAGCAGCTGAGACGGTTCTTGAGCTCCACTGAGAATTTGGAGTAGAACAGGAACGATGGGGGGTTTGAATGTGGCATTATTAACATAGAAGATTCCGTCAATGACGGAAACCTCGAGGTTGAGGTTGATGTCTGCCTTCCCATACTCTGGAATGCCAGGGGCACCAGGATTAATCAGAGCGTGCAAGTTGGTCTCTGCCAATGGGTTTTTGGGTGCGGTATTAACGGTAGCCGGTTCGGCCTTGCGGGCGCCTTTGTAGCGCAGGATAGCAGAGTTCGTTCCTCCCTCATAGGAAGCATTCGCTGTATTAGGAAGATTGCGTATCCAGTAATTGTTCACCGGTTTGTCAGCTACCAGAACCACAGAGTAGCGCTGACCCGCAAAAATCTGGAGTTGATCTACCACCAGAGGTTCGGTCAGCTCTCCATCCGCTTCGATGACGGTTAGGTTATGGCCATCGATCGAGAACTGGAAGTTGGGATCGCACGACATCGAAATCAGGCGCATGCGATAACGTTTTCCCTGCTCAACAGTGATCACAGCAAGAGCAGACATTGGTCCGCCAGCATATCGACCGAGTCCATTGATGAGCGAAGAGCTGGCGGTATTACCTATGACGTAGCGTAAGACGGTGGCCACAGTATGATACCTAGTGATATTACTTTAGATGGGCAAATTACCAACATTTCGCAAACTCACCAGTCGGACAGTGTGACCACGGTACTTGCTGGAAACATATGATGGTCAGGAGGGATTAATATAAACCAATTGCTCGCTCACCATCGTCGATGTCGTACATGTGTGCCAAAGGGTCATGAGGATCATAGATTACCAGGGGCCCCCTCAGGCCATCGCACTATTTCAAGGTCAGTCCTTCAATGTGTGTGCAAGGTTCAAGCGATACTTACATATTGGACTGAATAATGACTGTGATACCAGTAAGTACCTGCCTGATTCGGGGCGGAGAAAGTGTGTAAAAAGGAGTGATTCTGCGCAATGGGGCATTGTGTGACGGAGGATGCTCCGTCGGCATAGTTCGTTCCGTTCTGGTAAAGACCATGCCAGTGCTGCGGTAAACAAGGTTAATTATTAATAATGTCGATGATTTGACGTTGCTTACGACACTGGTACTCATGAACATTGACTCGTCCTGGAGTTCATTGACCACCTCAATGGCAAAGTCATCTCCCTATTGTGAGGTGAGCACTAGTGCGCGACAAGGTCGACAGAAATGAACCTTCTGGGCTGCAATCAAGGGTCCAGGGAATACCCCGTCGACAAGAGTTGCTCTGTTAAAGATCAGGAGTGAGCTTTGAGTTCCGTGACAATAGACTCACGAGCGTTCGAAGCCATCAGGAGCGATTACCTTATTACCTATGGTCAGTCTGGTTTTGGGGCCGAGCACAGCGGGTTGAGATATTGGGTAAGACTGTGAGCGAGATACTATAGCTGTAGCATTAATTGATAAAATAATAGAAGCGATTAGAACAGAAATAAACATCGTGATCATTCACGATAGGTGAAAGTGCTCTCGCCAGGAGAATACGTAGGACAAGATTATAATGAGAGGACACGTCTCTCTTCGCAGCTTTTATCTTGCAGCGGTATACAGCCTCGAATGTTTCCCGATTCAAAGCAGTTGTTACCTCGATTGATGATTACTGACGTCGCAAACGGTTGCTCATGCCCCGGACATCTGAATCTCGATATTGTACTGCTCTGGGATTTAGCAACTATTGGCCGACGCATTGAAAAATGACGACGTACCACAAAACCATGACTCGGTCACAACATAAAATCACTCAGGCGGGCAGAATAGACCACTGAGCCAGACATTCCATAGCTGTGCAAGTGCTAAGTTGTCACGGTAATTTGAGATAAACTCGGAGAAGTGATTCCTCGTCAAGCATTCCGTGCGAGAGAATCGGACTAGAATTCGTCTGAAAGGAATGATCATACACTGCCGCTGTGTAATGCAGAAAGAAAAGTGTAGTGTAGTAACTTGTCAGAGCGCGCAATGATCGAGGAGGATCCCAGAACAAGGTATGCTGTGCTTACTTTATAGCTTCATTCCTGTTCAGCAACAATCATCAGCAATCAAGAGCTTGCCGTGCTACGGATCAGCGAACATCGATGATTTAGAACCACCAAGTTGCAGCTGAGTACAACATAGATGCACACATCGGCTTTCTGCAGACCTGAGATACTGACAATGATCATTGCTCGTGTGGCCATCGTAGAATTGCACAAACTGAAACTGTCAAAATAACAAAGTATGGGTCAGGTTAGCTCGAAACCAAAAACGAGTGCATTTCATGACACAGACCTGAGAAAAACAGTGGTCGGGATGATAACTTCGGCGTTGCACATGACCGGTACATAGAAATGAGACACCAAGTCAATGTTGCGCCTTCCATTGCAACATCACGCAAGAGGAATTACTCCGATTAGTAACATCCGAGATTGTACTGAGCTATGTCATCTTGAGTAAAAAAGGCATTGCGGCAGCGGTATTCAGAGCGAAGACTCTTCCCCGACGATCAAAGACCTATGTGATGACTCCAAATAGAATTGGCTTGCCTTAAAATGAACTCAAGACAGGAAGTCGTCATCCGACGCATCGCTAATTAATGCTTGTTGGATTAAATTAAAGAGGCATAGTTGGTGTTGGGACCTGGTTGTCACGAGATGAGTTTTGGTTGTTGAAATCTTGGCGGTGGCCACCGACCGACTATGCACTAGGCGTCTCAGCACAGAATTTTGGAAAGAAGATTTGACAGCCTTGATGATGCTTGCGGCGCGACCACAATGAGCAAAGGTGATACTGATATCGAATTGTGCAAGTTGGGCCGAAGTGACCGTAAAAGACTCATCAGCAATGGACTGCTGGCAGGCCAAGGCAGTGACGGTGATGAAAACGCAAGAGCGTAGATTGACAGCCTACAGTCGAGTTATTATCAATTCTGGAAGTTGGGGTGCCGCTAAAGTGACCATAACTGAGGAAGTGAACGATGAAGAACTCGCGCCCTGACTTGGACTATGTAGGATTTTTACGCTTGCCATGGCGTGTCAGCACCTCAGCTCTTGAGGTTCAGATGCAGTGATGCCGCCACTGATGTGGCTGCAGAACAGAGAACCGCCTGGTCTTGTCTGAGGCCTGAGGCCTGAGATCTAAGAGGAGAGGGGGAACAAATTATCATGCACATCTATAACGGCGTCTGGAAGACTGGAAAATATTCCCTATGAAGCACAAATGAAGCAGGTGAACCATATTTCAAACTCCGCAAAGTACTTCGAATCCAACTTGAAGAATCTCCAAGTCATGCACGTCGCGTCCAACTCTCCAAATATTTGTCATGGTGCTTCAAAAACGTACCAGATCAGCCTACTCTGTGTTCAAATTCTGCATATCTCAACAGCAAAGCATGATGTACCTGCTATACGACCTTCGAGACGACCTTCGAGAGTTACCCTTGTCCGAGTCTTCGATGACATCCAAGCTACTTAAACTCATCAATCTACTGCCATGGCCGGATGACGACTGAAGATATCGTTGACAAGCTCCCCGACTGGCTACCATCAGGGATTCTACGATCGTTCATTTTTGCCACGCAAAATGGGTAATTGTGGGGTCGAGGAAAAGTTGCAAAGTGGTGAGACGTGAACTGCCTTGCACAGATGAGGTCGGCATCCTATAAGCTTCTCCTATGAGACAACAACACAGTTTGGCTGCCAATAGGGCTGTGACAGAATGAATGGTTTTATGGGGCGTGCCACCACAATTGTGTGACTACCAACGCCAGCCAAAGACGCCAGACTACCTTCTCTCTTGCATTCCAGCTCGCTCTCTCTCCTTGTCCTTTACTCGTGCAGTCGTCGCGATTACAACCTTCGATGTACACGTCTTCGACTTCACCCACTACAGACATCCCCACGCGCACTCGATGCACTTCGTAGGCATCCAAGTCGCATGTTTCAGTTATTCGGCTTCCTGACTGCGTGCCTTCTAAGACACAGTTACATAATGATTAATGAAGAGTCAAACACATCTACAGATGGCATTATGGAGGTCCGACCTGAATGCACAGTTGAGTTCTCACATCCGTCATGAATCAGCACAAAAGGTTCAGCAGATCAGGGTCGCGTCTATAGCAAAGAAGGAATAGCTTTATTCATCTATATGGTCTAGACCTCCCTAGGGGTAAATACATCTATCGCAACACCACAGATCCCCTGGGTTGCTATTTAATTTGGGGTACGAGTGCCCTTCATCGCAGGACGGCTCGTAGTCAAGAATGAGTATCGCAGTACAACAATGATATCTAATGCATACAGGTATTTTGAGTGAGGATTGACTAGCAGCCATAAATTTGAGACAGAAAATATGCAAGTAAAAAGAGCGTTGGAAAATGCGGCAGGTACCACATGGAGATAACGAATGAACTAATGAAGTGAGTCACAGCTCGCTTCGGAAAAATGATCATGCAGAAGATAAAAAATCGCAAAATAAAATACATGGCAGTGGACCGAATCACCAGAGGCAAGGTTCTGATGCGGCCATAACTGCACGGCGCACAAAACGTCAAGGAACAACACCAACAAAAATAGCGACAAATGTTACGGCGCAAATTAGTCCGAGGACGGCGGAGCGAATGACGACTTCCCATTGGGCTCGGATTACCACAGGCGACCGCACACGCGTCATTGGTGCTTTGAAAGGCGGGAACGCCCGCGGTGAAAGAGGGAATCATGAAGGAAACCAGGGGGGAACGATTAGAGCTTGGCGTCGGAGAAGGCGTGTGAGAATTGGGCGATTGAATTGAAGTTTGGGAAACGAGCGACAACGGGGGTGCGTATGTACGCTTGCATTTATACTGCTGGCGTGCGATGGCAGAACTGAGCAGATTGTTTGAAGGAGCGGGGTTTTCAGCTTGGAGAGATAGCGTTGGAATATGATCTGCGATAGGTGACAGCTGACAGGAGGTGGGGAAGCGTTGCCCGGCAGGCGGGTATTATCTGCAAGGATCGCAGTTTCCCTTGACAGACTTTGGAAGAAGGTCGAAGTCAAAACTTCTCTATCTCGTCTCGTCCCGTGTAGACGTGCTCTTTTAGATCATCTTCCACATCAGGGTCCTACCTCATGACGAATGAACGCTGCGCTGGGACCGAAGGAACTAGAATCCTCTAGGGTGTGCGGCTTGACAGTCGAACTAGTTTCTGACATTCCCGCTGGAAACGCGACATTCGAGGGGTGGAGGAAACGTAGCAGGGTTTGTACGTTGCCGAGTATGTGCTATGGAAGGGAACGTGATAGATGATGATTGCGCGGAACGGTAATGAGATCGATGCAAGCCTGTGGCTGTGGCTGGACCTTCCGGCGCAGGCACATCATCGAAGTAGGCAGGAGAAATCTCAATCTCCGGCGACTCAACTGAAGAAGACAAGTCTTCGTCTTCTGAAGATCCGGACAGTTCGGTGGAAGAATATGAGTCCGAGGCTCGTGAAAATGAGCGTTGTTCGGCAGCAAGGGAGTATGGTGCGGATTGGAAGGACCTAGACGAGCAGAATTCTGGATCATACTGTCTGTCGTGATGCTTGGATATTGCGATGCTAGGCCTCTTGCTAGGCAGCGGCGGGTGAGGCAGCGGCGCAGATATCGACGTAACCGTAGGGGCAGGGGCAGGCAGCGGCTTTGAAATAGCTGGCCTAGCGAGCTCAAATTTTCGAAGTTGCCTCAGGTCGCCAAAAACATACACCATGAGACAAACCTATCAAATGGGGAGTTACTTCACGTGCGATTACTTGGAGGGAGGGGATTCACTCACTCCGTTGAAACTAGAGAACAACAACATCAGACCAAGCCACATGCCGGGGAATGCTGATAGCCTCCACCACCGTCCGTGAGGGGCACCGACCCATTTACAAGACGTCAGTGCAAGAGGTAAAATTCCAGCGATGCATAAACATAGCATCCCAGCAGCAATGCCGCAAGCTGCTCTGCGTGAGCCAACATTGGTAGAAGCTGCACGAACAAAGCGCGAAAGGGACTCTTTAAGCATAGCGCGTGTCTCTAATGCTACCTCTATGAATACTGCAGGATCTGGGTGGGCGTTTGGTGAGTTCGAGAAGGCTGCCCCGCGGACTCTGGTGAGAAATGCAGAATTCTGAGGTGAACAATGGAATGGAGCGAGAATATCTGAAGGGACATCAAGTTCGTACTCGACGCCAGGCGTGAAGAAGGTCTGCTTTGCTTTGCATAAAAAAGAGCAAGGGAGGGGTCTGACGATGGTGTAGTGCGAAAGGCTTGTCGTGTTGCAGTATCAGGGGCAGTTGGGGCACTTATGGCTTTGGTACGCTGGGTCCAGGTGTGGTAACGGGCGGTATACTCCTTCAGCCAAAGCAAAAAATAGAGATTTTCTGGTGATTGCTCGACATAGAGAAGATATTCTTCGAAATCCTTGAGGCCGAGAGGCGGAAGGTGCTTGCGATCGAGTACATCATCAAGATGAACTTGCAGGAATGGTGTCACCCCACACGACCGTACTTTGCCTACAGAGGGGGGTGGGTTGCAAATCCGATGCTACATAGATAAGTTGTGAGGTACGGTTCTAGTCAAGTACGCGTTTAACACACGGGAAATGTTAGGAAGCCCTTCAAGGAGAGCCTTGACGTTGGCGGCCTTTCCTGCTGTTGCATGGATCATAGACGACGTTAGCGAGAAAGTAGTGGGCAGAAGTGGGCAGAGTCGGACAAATGGTGCACTTAAATGGCACATGTGATAATGATAACCGAAAATTGGACATTTGCCTGACCGATCAGGCATCCTAGTGACTTCGACAAAATATTAGCGCTTTAGCTTGGATCGAATCCACTGGATTGTGGATCACGTAAAGAGGACGGTCTTGAATGTCGCTTCCTCGGCATAACGACACGGAGAACCCTCGAGAACTAGCCATACGTGGGAACATGATGTTCTTACTGCAGTCCTTCAGCCTTGAGGCTAAATGTATGCGAACCTATACGAACTCCATTTATATATCATGTTGTTGCGAACGTCGACTCTTCTGGCCGGGTTAATCGAGATATCAAAATACCCACGAGACCATGTGGGGTCTCTTCTGGAAGTTGATGAAAACTAGCAAATAGCCGCGCAATACCAGGTCACATCAAGGATTTTAGTCGATCTATCGCCAATATCATTGAGTTTATCAAGTCAGTCTGGCTCCAAGTTGATCCATGTACGTGAAGGCGTAGTGTGGACGGCAATAAGAGAAAAAAAAATAGGTGTTGACCATCGCCGCAGGGCCCAGGCCGGGGACGGAAAATGCTACAACACGTGGATCATTAAACTATTGATCCGGCATTATGTAATTATCATTGCAGTTTCGGCGCATGGAATTTTGCTACAAATCGCTTCACATGGACCAACAGGGACCAACCAATATTCATTCCCAGCCAGACCATGGACAAACGAAGACAATGGTTCCTGCTAATGATCATATTGCACTGAATAGGTTCTGGCACTGCGCACGCCTCATCGAGCTTAGTTGGGTTCGAAACTTCGCCGAATAGTATTGTGCCATCAACTCTTCACCCGTTGAACTATTGCCGTATGTTTTCTTTTTGCACCGTACACGTGATTGCTTCAGGAGAATCGCTGCAGCGAACGACAAGCTTTCGATATCATACGATCAAACGTACTACTTGCTCGTTGAACTGGCAGTTACACTAACTGCCTCTCACCTAGAGCACCAAGTTCTAGTACTCAAAGGCATATTGAGAGGACGCTTTGTCCTTCCATCTGCATGTTGATTTGTTGTAATCGTCATATCCAGGTCCTATTGCCAGCATTCCTGCTGGACTCCGTCATTGATCGAGAAAAAGTATGAAAGTATGATTGGTTGCACTGTCGACTAGAATCTGCCTACAGTGCTCTCTGAATTCTCGGCGCCATTCAAGCGAATACAAATCATTCTACTGCGACAATACATAAAATGTCGGTGCAGGATGCTCCACGCAGTATGATACTTATATCTGGACTTGACTAACAACGTGTTTTGAATAGGGCCAGTATTTATCGATCGCTGCCGTCATTCGTTCGTTATTCGTCAGACAATAAGGCGTTTTGTTCACTGGCAACCTGGTGTGGAATACTCTGTTGATTTGACTGGTGGGTTATGTTGGGCAGGACACCCTTCCGACAGATGTCATCCGACGTTGAACTCTACGGAACTTCCCGCGCATTATCTGCATATATTGACTTATCCTGCAACGAGGCTCGCAAATTATCGCTTGCCAGCAGGAATAACTTCGATAAGTATCGCCGTCAAGGCCCGCGCATCTGATATAAGAATTGCCACTTCTCGTCTTCTGAATGGGTCGCGACTGCGTATGTCTTCCCACGATCTGTGTGTGATCGCACGCTCTGACACTGCCGTCTCAGGTGCTTACTTGAATTTTGCAATTATGCAGCGTTGCGGATGCTATCCATTACCTTTGACGGTGGGGGTGCAGTCCATCTGTGCGTGATTACTGTTTTTATTTGATCGCACAATTCAGGCATATTAACGCTTGTTCTCTTGACAAAGGACTTCAATATATAGGTGGCAATCTCTCGCTGCACACCTCTGCCCCCAGTTCTTTGGGATACAGACAAAGGTGAAAAACATGGTTTTTTTTTAAAAAAAATCCATATTTATTGTCCTGTGGGGTCGTGAACCCTATGTCGGACATAACCCTACTCGCGGGGGGCTTATCCCCGCTTAACTATCGTATGTATGGGTTTCTTTATCTAGGCCAGAGTACCCATATACCACGCTGATTTACATATACAGGGTCTCAGCAACAAGTATCATGTGCCATGGTTCCTATTAAGTATGTCAAGCAAGGTTTCTGCTGATACGATTCCGAGGTGGCACTCCGCAAGTCTCTGCCATTTTTCTTGGTGTGTATGCTGGCGATCCTACCGGATGAAATAATAGTCTTCGATCTATTTCATTCCGCATGCTCCTTACGTGTTCCAACGAATACCCAGGCTCTGAGTCATATCGTGAGCTGCCAGCACCAGAAGCCCTGATGATCATCACATTACAGATGGCAAAGAGCTACTCGCCTCATGCATTTGGAATATATACAGTTGTCGCAAAGTTGCTGTCGGATTAAATTCAACTGACGATATTCATGAATGTCCTCCTCAACGCAGGTCCCACAGCCATCACACCTTGACCCCGCGAGCATTTATGGAGCATTTTTTATTGGGTCCATTCTTGCAGCAGTGTTAGTAAAAATCATTTTCTCAATATGCAGATAAAGCTGAGCACTTCCGGTCGTCTTACGATACCTCATGGAACAGGCTCTTTGGTCTAACCAACATTCAAGCTTTTATCTACTTTCGGACGCATGTTGGCAAATGGACGACATTTTATAGGCTCGTCGTACGTCTGCGCTTGTCTTCTCTTCTCTTCAGTTCTGTTGTTGACGTTATATCAGGTCTCGTTGCTTTGGTATGTATCCCTTCGAGTTGCATTAGCAGGCACGTAAAGATGGTGCAGGACACTTGATGCCGTGCACCTGGCGTTGACCGTCCATTGCGTCTATTATTATTTGGTGATTAATTTCGCGAACTTTGGTGCGCTCACAGAAGTAGTATGGAGTTTTAGAGTGAGTTCTTACTTAGAGCATCCGTGCAATTCTACTATGATGTTGATTGGATTCGTGCAGCTTCAGATAGTATTTAACGTAAGTTATTGTTATTTTCCAAGCTCTGCGATCCGTCTCAGACATGTACCCGCAGGTTCTTATTGTCTATGTGATCCATCTGTGAGTTTGATGTGCACTGTGTATGCAGCTCTCTACTAAACCATTATTGGTTTATAGGCTGTATTCCCATCGCATATGGATAGGTATTTCTTCCCTACCAATGCATTTGGGTCTTGACACGACTGATGCGGCGAATCTAGTCGGCAGGCACCGGTCAATAATTTTCCGTATAATACCGGTGCGTTTGCCATCGAAAGTCGCATTTTAGCCATTTCATTTTGTCGATTAGGGCATAGTCATCGTCCTAGCTTCAGGTAAGCCCAGTCTGTACGGGAATGCTCCCCGCTCGATTTTTGAAAAATCCTTCAGGTGTTGCCATAAGTGAGTGTTCAACGGTACTTACTCTTGCCATTGGCTCATCATTTTAACTCAATCAGCCCTGGTTTGGGCAGTGTGAGTAAACAGAGTTCTCCTTGACACGGCGATGTGCTGAGAGTGAATAGCTATAACCACAATCCGGCGATGGGATTGTTTTTGGACCGGTGGACCGTATACATGGCTTTGGGCGCAGCTTGTTTCGTCGATATAGTCCTTACGACTTCGCTATGGTATCTCCTCGCTAGCTCCCGCACTGGGTTCTCTCAGTGAGTAGTAGTCCGTTCACTCTGGGGATCTGATATGCTACAAGATTATTTTAGGACAGATTGCTTGATCGCAAGGCTCATCAGTTACACCATCGATAGTGGTTGCTTAACGAGGTAACGATCCTTGCGGTTCATCCCATACCTCAACTTATATTTCATCCAGTATATGTGCATTGGCATCTATCATTTTGGTGAGGCTCCAATCGTTGTAATGTCCATTTCGATTCTGAGGGTCACCTACAGTGCGCAGTGATGCCAAACAACTTCATCTTCCTCAGCGTTCAATTTTTAGTGGCTAAACGTATGAAACATTGCATTCTCCGAGGATCGTGCTGACCCTAGTGGATCCGTTTCAAGTCTACGTCAATTCGTACATCGCACTTCTGAACTCGGGGTACTATACACAATCTGACACAGACACCATCAATTCTTTCGAGCCCCAGAGAAGCTCCTTCGCCACCAGTACTGGGCTGAACGATCTGTCGCACGAGAAATTCCAATCCTTTCAGAGGAGCATGCTTGTTCATCCCGAAGTTGAAGTCGTACCTCCCACTCGACCCTTGGGGCTTGTCGTGGTTAGTAATTATGTTATTACAGTGGCAGATGAGGAACTAATGACACGCTCTAGTCACGCAAGTCGATTTTAGTGACGGTAGAGAAGGAGTCTTTCATAGATGTATAGAAAAATCATCAGTCCATCGAGTCCTGATGGTGTACGCGGCTTCACTTGATACAGAGTGTGGACCTCGTGTACACCATTCCAAATACTTACTTGGCAACAAAGAATTCTACTGGATTGCGGTACACCGCACGCACCCTCAGGCTGTCTGAAGACAGCGTCTATGCAAGTCTTGCTCCACCGGTCCGGGTGATATTGAACTTACACTACCGAGGAAAACCCGATTCGAACAACGAGACGTTCTGAACAGAGAACTAGCTTTGATGCGGGCCATCGACATCGTGATCTTCTAGGCCACGTAAATCGATTCATCATGATACACACTAATCGCTGTGAATTATTTTTTCATCTTCTAGTTACTTTACGATAACTATCGAATGCACCTGACGTTTCAAATCCGCAGTTATCCGCTAGACGATGTCGGTTTGAGCCGGGTACTTCGGAATCGTCCGACGTCGTACACCGTGACGCATAGTACATGCAGGCAGCAGGAGGGGGGAATCGGGATGTCGTGCTTTATTCATATTCCATTTATCATGGTCGATGCCCTTCTTGTTGAGGTGAGCATTCATCATTAACCTGAAGATGTATCATAAGGATTGCAAGATAGGAGTCAGGGATAGCATGCGGTTTTGAGTCGAGGAACGGTTCGGGCCTCCAGGACTCCTGCGAGAATATGGTCAGGGCGAGTGGAGGTCACGAAATCTGGAGCGGGTTGGAATAATACTACCATTCTTGTTGGCCTGAATTTGGCGCAAGACAGCCTGGATTGTTTCAAACATTGATGTCAAGATTTGAACGTTGGAACGCCGAGCAATCTGTGAGCGCTAAGCGCTTGCTCAAAGCGCCGACTACGGCTATCTTGTGTGTTTCCTGCTTTCGCCGGTCGCCTGAGTTTCAGAAAAGTTACCACGGCCTAATGCATCACCATAGATTGGCCACGTCAACAGCGCAGATTAGAAACAACAGACTCAGAGTTAGAGCAAAGGGGCCAACCTCAAAGCTACCCGCGAGTCTGATGAGGCACCAATGAAGCAGGGTCTTCCTCTCTTGTGCTCATTATATTACGATCGTATCTTAGTTTTTCGCTTCTGCTCGGCCCGGGTGCCTCTGAATCTTACATACGGCTTAAGCTTCGTGCACCACAGCGTCACGCGTTGAGTGTGGTCCAGAACCAGGCTGATGTGGACACTCAATCTCCCTTTGTTCACAAGGACTTCCACTAGATTAATACTACGATAATAGTGCTTGGACATGTCCACTGTCCCCTGTACCACAATTAAGCAATGAGCTTTCCAAACCGGGTAATCTCCAAAAGGCACAACCCACAGTGGGCGTGGGCCTGAGGCAGTACTTAATATGAAGCGATGTTCAAGGCTGAACTTAACCAACTCACTCACTTAAGTACATACTGTCTGTATTCCCTTGGTTATCTGTTCAGCAGGCTACCTTTCAAGTTATATTTCTTCCGAGGATGTCCGACTCTGAGTGCCAGTCTCGCCGTTTGCCCACGTTGGTCACCTATTGTCAGCGTGGTGAGTTGTCTATCGACTGTGTGTGGCTGTATGCTGAAATGATCGCCTTATACAGTCCTCTCTACATACACAGATTGTGCGTACCGAAGACGTCAAACATTATCGTTCAAGACTGATGCAGGTTATTCGTTCAGCTATAAGCAGTTTGGGAGACGATGCTATACGGTATGATGTGATTAAGCCGGTGCTAGAATGTTGCTCTGCAGATACCCTTCTTCGTCTGGAACAATCATCACCCGTTCGTCCCATCACCTTCTATCATGCTTTGATTCCTGATCCACCTCTTGCAGTATCTTGAGAATGATACCTCTGGTAAGTTCAATAGATTCAACGATCTCTCCACTGCTCTCTGACGTTACCAAAGAAATATGGCAACGATTATGTTGGAAATCATTTCCCCTCTTAGCCGAACAGTATTTGCAAGAAGGCTCTGAGGCTCCCGAATCGTGGCGCGACCAATTTTTCGTAAGCTTTTTGTTGAAATTTTGGATACTTCTTGACAAAAGGTCGTGACAGTTATTACGAGAGGCAGAGGCCGAACGGCTTGAACTAGCAGGCTCTCGGCTCCGCAGTCAACGCATGGAAGCGGAAGAACGGAAGAAGGAACGTGAGGTTAAGATTACCGATCGTCTAGCCTCCCCCGAAACGTGCTCGAGGGTGTACGTCGCATCTTTTGAATTCCTTTCAGTGGTTAATTACTTTGTATCAAGGGGGAGCACCGAGTCAACCCAAGACACTCTTTCAGAAGACTAAGAATGAAGCCACCAAATTCCGTAGCTCCATGTACAACGCTCGTCTCCTTCCTCCTAAGCGACAGCGCACACTGCATAGTTCACCTAGTCTAAAGCCCGCAGCACCACGACCTTACGAGCCAACCTAAGAGCATGGTCACCGTCAAGACAGTCACCTACAAGCGACCGTCTACCCTACCCGCCCCGCCTCAGTCGTCTGGCCGACCTCCTACGCCATCGATTTCAGCCCCCGCGTCTCCTCCGAAACCGGTTGCCTCTTCTCCTGCTCGCCCATCGAAACCTTTACCGACAGTGAAGCCACCATCCACAGGGGAACAGCGGCCGTTTAAGCCCCCAGTAAACAAGAAGGACCCTATGGCTTCTCTGTTCATGCCAAAGCATCGCACCCTTTCCCAACGTCCAGGACAGACCCGATAACCTTCAATTGGGCTATTCACTCCACTGTATACGTTCTACTCAATGATTTTATTTAACACTTGCATTGTGTTTGTTAGATCACCTACTTATTATACTTGATTGTACGATTGTTTCAGTAGTGTATGTCTAGTGCAATTGCTATCCACTCTATTCCCGTTCATGATAATACTGTTGACATTACCATCTGTTACACGCACATCCCTTCAACCTCGTTCCCTACGCGGAAACGCTCTCTTCGAGTCCTCACTAGGCAACACAATCTATTTATTTATCTATCTATGAGACAGGGAATATATTGTACTCTACTCGGTGTTTACTGAAGAAAAAGAAACCAGGGTAACTATCAACTAATATTCCAAGTATTGTGCAAGCCGACTGTATCGTCCGCGCCGTTGATCGGACCGCCGGATGCCACCAGGTTCACTCGAGTGTGGAATCCGTTGACCCTATCGCCCTCACTTTGGCCTTCCCGCAAGTTCACTGCCACCTTGTTTTTGACGTTGTCTCCACGAAGCGACTCCAATCGGTGCAAATAGTCCTCATTGACACCACCGGTAACGTACTCTCCTGTGAATACGGAACAATCAAATGTCGAAATAGATGGGTTGAACTGTCGCACAGATGCGATGAGGTCGGGAAGAGTCTGAAACACGACAAGATCTGCCCCAATGGCCTCGGCTATCTCTTCAGTGTTGCGTCCATATGCAACGAGCTCTGTCCTTGATGGCATATCGATGCCATAGACATTCGAGTGCCTAAGGTTTCGTCAGCCACCTGGCAAAGTCTATTGGTAGGAGTTACCGTATAGGCGGGGCGCAGCTCGCGATGATGACCTTTTTTGCGCCGACATCCTTTGCCATCTGGATAATCTCTTCTGAGGTGGTGCCGCGAACGATGGAATCTAGAGCATATATTACGAGATGTTAGGATTCAGCTGTTCTAAATCTTACCATCAACAAGGAGAACATTCTTCCCAGAGAACTCCAAGGCCATGGCGTTCAATTTCCTCCTGACATTCTTCCGTCTGTGAGAAGTCTTGGCATCACTCATTCATGTCTATGGTAACCCATACATATTACCTCATCTGTTGACCTGGCATAATGAATGTCCTGCCAACATAGCGATTCTTGATTAAGGCCTCTCGGTAAGGTAAGTTGAGTTTCTGAGCAAGGTTCAAAGCTGCAACACGAGACGTATCAGGAACCTGCATAAAATATCTTAGACCAAACAATCGTAGAACAACGGAAAACCACTAACTGGGATGACGACATCCACTGTGATGCCACGCTCCTTCAAAACCCTCTCAACTTCAACAGCAAGCGCATCGCCCATAGCCATTCGACTGCGGTAAACGCTGATGCCGTCAAGCACAGAATCAGGGCGAGCGAAGTAGACAAATTCAAAAATATCTGGTGCAAAGGTCGCATGAGCTGCAACTTGTTTCTTGGAAACCCCTGAGCGAGTGATGATCACTGCTTCGCCTGGTACCGCCAATGCGACCCATCAATAGCTGTAGCTGATGGTGGGAACAAATGACTGACCAGGCTTCACATCCTCCCATTCACTAAAGCCCAAAGCATCAGCGACAATGCTCTCGCTTGCAAAGAGGTAGTCTCTTCCAGTATTGGTCCTTCTGGAAGCCATGCCAACTGGTCTTATGCCATTCGGATCTCTGAATGCAATGATACCGAAGCCAGCAAGCATTGCGACACACGCATATGCGCCTTTGCACTGCCTCATCAGACCTCCTATGGCAGTGAAAATGTCATCTTCATTGATACGGAATTTGCCTGTCTTCTGGAGATTGTCCGCGAAAAGGTTGAGTAAAAGTTCCGAATCAGATGAAGTGTTTATATGTCTGTGTGCGGTGGCATCCATATATTGCAAGAGCGAAGGACTGTCTATGAGGTTCCCATTCTAAGCATCACCTTCAGTCGACTCGAAGGGAAAGGTCTCAAAGACAGACTCACGTGGGCGAATACAATACCATACGGTGAATTAACGTAAAACGGCTGTGCTTCGGCGTGGTCCGAGCTACCAGCAGTTGGGTAACGAACTACAGTGTGGTATGATAATCGCTGGCAGAATCACATTACTGCAAGGGCTTACCATGGCCAACACCCATACCTCCAATTAATTTTGCGATGGCCTTCTCATCCTAAGACATCCCGGACCATGCCGTTGGCTTTGCATTGAAAGAATCGGCCCTTGGGTCCACAGGTTACGATGCCACATGCATCCTGTCCTCTGTGCTGCAGCAAGGAAAGACCTTCAGAAATCTCTGGTGCTGCATCCGCCGATGCATTATGGAGCAGTAACCCTAGAATACCACACACTAAACAGGAGACCTGTCAGAGGGTCTAGCACCGAGATTCAGTGCGATTAAGAAACGAACTGACTCGCGGACGCGGTGGAGGACAGGGTAGGAAGGCAGCGAGCCTAGAAATTGCAGTTTAGAGCGACGTTGTGAGAGAAGTGTAAAAAAGGTGGGGAAGGATCTGAGACGCGACGGCCCGGTGCACGTGCAACTCAAGTTGGTTAGTCCGAGTCAATTCGACAATGGCACAAGGTCTAGGCTCAAGCACTTGCCTGAGTGTCGAACACACCCACTGGGTGGTCTAGTCTACAGCTTATCTGCAAGGTCTCTCAGCATTTTCTATTTTCTGCGTAGTCAGCATCCTTGGATTATCTGGATACGTCCAAGACTCCAATTCATGAAGGAAGGAAATTATCTTCCTTCAACCTCAACTTCTGCAGCTGCAGTAGTGCCACTAGCCTTTATACGGTCACCGTCCGCTGGGCTAATGTATTCCTCGAGGGGATGCGTTGAAATTGCAATTACACGAAAATATGCCTAGCTATTATCGTGTATCACTCAAACACCCACCCCCTAGGGAGTCCCTCTGCAAAGTTCGAACTTGCCAGCCTGCCATCTTTATACGACAGGTCTCACCATGGTTATCCCCTTCTGGCGCGCCGAAGGTCTACTACTAAATCCGGGGTGAGTTGTTGTATTTGCACTGTTTTTCTCATAGTCGGAACATACTCCGAGAACGAAAACAGTCGTCCTTGTAAGTTCTGTTTTTACTTGATTACACTGGTTTGAATAGTGCCCCGAATCATTGAAGCAGTGTTAGACTCCACACAGCTGCTTCGAGCGACTTTCATCATTGGGGGCCATTAGATTAGCCATTCAAACACCATTGACGAGAGAACTCAGGATCAGCGCCAGAATGATCGCCGCCTTCCTAAATTCAAAGATCAACAGATATTAATCCCTGGGGTCACGCTGTTACTAACAAGTTATGGCAGATAACCGAAGGGTTCAAGCAGTGTGAGATTTGGCTGGTATGATGGCGATGTAACTTGATGGTTAGGATAGGTATTCAGTTCCTTGACGGCTTGGCATGTCTGGTTGACGACTAGAGCTGCGTTCTGGAGACAATCATTCAGTAGATCATGATATGGTGAATTATTGAATGCCGTGGCCCGTGTGACTCAGGCTGTACATATGTGGTACCCTCAAGGTACGTTTGCTTACAAAGGCACAGTACTGATTATCAGGGTTATGCGACAGACGAGGTCGCGACAGGTACGGATACCTTAATGTCGTTAACCTCATGTCGAAATGTCTCAGCAGAACCACACAGAATAATCGGGACATTCCTGTTGTTCCTAACTACACATGCATACTAGAATGGTGTATCACGGTGTGTGAATAAGTGGTAGTAAGTGTTACAAGACAAGAGTACAGTATCGTGATGATGCAGAATCAAGATAAGTTAAACGTGAAAAAGTTCATACCGTTCGATATAAGTATCGTATTACCACACTATTCGTGTCTGTCATACCAGGAAAGTGTTTCACTGAAAATATTACGCCATTGTTGCCTCCGTCCAGCCACCAAGCACAGGAAGTTCGGCGACGCCAAAAACAACGTTTGGGACGCCTTCCTCATCACTAGCCCTCCCTGTGGTTACGCCAAGGTTCGGATCTTTGCCGTCAATTATTTCCGACTTGACCGAATCTTCCAGTGAACGCTTAAAGCGCATTGGGGAATCTGGGTGAGGCATGGAGATCAGGACACAGACGGAGACAGAGTCATCCGGGGAGGTATGGTCTCGAATGATTGTAGCTGGATGCGAATCGGGAGATGGAGAATGTCGCTTGAAGCGCGCAAGGAATGAGGGTCGCTGTTGTTGTGGAGACTCATGAGGTAATCGGGGTTCCGCAGTAGGTTCGACCCTATGTGTTAGAAGAGCAGTGACAGGCTGTTGAGAGAAAGTATCAGTCAAGCCCTTCAAATAACTTTAATAACTCGGAACAGACCATGATAGCTTGCCACTGGGATTTCTCACGTGGCGCGCCCTGTTCAACCCAGGCTTCATAGACGCTGGGTTTCTCTCCAATGTACCGTGAAGTAAGGCCGAATACTGATGGTTGTAGGTCAAGAACGACTCCTTGTGCCAAAGCGTCTTCGACACGCTGACGAAAGCGACGGCGAACGAGGAAGGAACGGAATATGATAGAGGCGGAAATGAGAAGGAGAACGAAAAGTGTGGCGAGGAACGTGAAGCTGGTTGTAGAATTCATCGGTACACGGAGCCGTATGCAGCGTATCAAGGAGATATATGAAAATAGGAATATTGAAAAGAAGGATCACGATGGAGGGAAGGAAAACGTTTTTGGATTGAGAGTTGAAACGTTCAGGAAGCAGTGCATGGGATGATGGAGCCTGTGTTAGCCTATGATGGTTATGTGGGATCAGGCAACACATACAGATATAGCGTGGTAGATGTGGATGGCTGTTGGTTATCTCCCGCGGTAGAAGTTTGACTCGTCGTCGACTGATCACTTGGGCTAGTAAGGGTGGGCGTCGACGACAGCGATGGTGAAGAAGACATTGATATTATTCGAGCTCGTCGGATGGAACTTCGTCGGCGTCGGCAAGATTCGTTACCGTTACGGCCGCTTTACATACAAATTGCCGTGGGAGGACCCTGTGCATTAGAATCTTGGGATCAGATTTTGCTGACATAATGAGTAGCTGATGGAACTGCCTCCCTTGCGAATAAAATAGCTGCTATTGAGCCATGTAGATCTAGCGCTCATTGCCTTTCTTCCTTCCCTCCATCCGCCATGTCGACGAACGGGACAACAACAACTCCGACTCTCCCTCCTTCATTGGATCTTCCTCCTCATCTGTCTGCACAAAAGTATTTCTTCGTCTGCACACTCACTGTCTTGGCTTGGGATGCCCTCGTTCTCACTCCCAGGTCGTACAGGCTGGGACGTCTGCCAAAATGGCCAGCTCTGAAGTTCATGTATTACTTTATGCAATTTTGGGTCCTAGCAGATTTTGTTGTAACAGGTGCATTTCCCTCTCTAAGCCCGTCTTATCGCGAAACGTCGGGCGTTAACCTGAAACGCGGTTACAGGCGTGATGTTCTTTAGTACGACAGTCATACAAGACACAGACTGCGTCGCTTTCTGGCCTTACGAGCCAATTTGTACGGCAATTCTCCTTGCTGTTGCATCCGCTGTACATGTCATGCGCATATCGGCTATCTACGACCACGTCCAAAATGTTCGCGCAACCATGTGGGGATTGTACGCTGTCCAGATTGTTGTCACTGCCATTTGCTGCGGCTTCTACCGCTCTGTCCATCTAGAAGATGGCCAAGGATGCATTGCTGGTCCCTTGAACAACGCAAGCTGGGTTGGAATTTACTGGCTAGCTCCAACCTTGCTATACGGTACCAGCTTCGTCTTCGCTGCTCTACGCAGCATTAAAACGCTCGAAACCAGGCGTGTATCTTACTGGCGTCTCATGCTTCGTGATGGCTTGAACCTGTACGGTGCCATTCTCCTCGTAAACCTCGTCAACGTCTTCTTCTACTTCATTATGACACCCACGGACCCAACCGACCCTATCAAAACAATTGTTACCAGCATGGCAGCTGTTCTTACAACAACAATGTCTATGCGCATCATCCTCTCTGTTAGAGGGGACCTTGCCAACGGTGGCACGTTCTCTATCTCTTCCCACGCTGCATCGTCATCAGGAGCCAATACCAACTCGCTGTCTGGTTCAGGGACTAGACCAAGAGGCGGTAACCACACATTCACCCTCGGTGATATGCGTGATGCCACCGTCGCCGTGGCCGGTCGTAAAGAGGGAGGGGAGTGGGATGCTGACAAAGGCAGTGTCACCCCCTCGGGAGGAAACCAAGGCGGTACTTCCAATTATTGTGGAAGACGCTGATAATGGTATTCCCCGTGCGCGTAATGGGTTGGGCGTGCAAATCACGGTTGACCATCAAGTCGAGTATGATGATGGATTTCCCACAAGGAAGTAGTATTCGGAATCTGAAGGCGCAGGCGCGCTTGCTGTCAATACATGCGGAGTGATAACGATATCTATTTGGGACTCGTGACCCGTTGTCTATCACGTTGACATGTTATTTCCTGCCCTTTTATATTTTTTTTGGTTTCGCTCGTATTTATACCGCCTGTTTACTCACAGTATTCCCAACGTATCCCACGCGATGCCGCTATTGCCAAGAGTTTCATCGTCACATTGTATACCAGTTGTACTGCTTGAATAAAAATTAACAATTAGCGCTGCCACAAACCATCTGACCGCCATGGATGGAACGGGGAGCTGCGTTGATCAAGACGACTGGCCATGGACTGCCCATAATGCATGTGATATGATAGAAAGATTTTAATGATACGTAACATCCGGCCATCGGACACCGCTTCAAAATTTAGAACAATCTTGCTGTATAATAGACCGCTGGTAATTGAACCTTTTTGTAGCATCTTTCCCAGAATGCTAAAAAATGTATCAGGAAGGCTATATACGGGCGGTGTGCATAGAAGATAACACGTTGACGCATCCTGTATACTTGAGTTCATGGGATATGGCCTTCCTGGGTATCTCTCATCATCGCATTTATACAATATCCGCGTCCTTGATGCGTACCGGTACTGAAACTTACTATCTTGGGACAAACTTCAGATCGTGGATTCTAGTGCTTTTCGAGATCCCATCTCGTCAATCAATCACCGGCACCCTCCACGCAATTGTTTACTTAACAAGGCTGCAGCGCCCGCAGCGTGAAGATATCGCAAATTCGATAGAGCCACTAGCCTACTCAGGCTTAGTAAATTTGATCACCGGCACTGACTGTGGGCGCATCAAGAAATAGTTGTACGTACTTGACTCCACAAACTCCAACCGTGAAAAGCGGAAAAGATGGGAGTGAACTGATGCCTTTCCACGCCTGTATGTCAAGTAGCACACTACGATAATTTACCAAGAAGTTAAAGTTATTGGCCGGTCCCGCGGATCTCGCAAATACGAAGACAACGATCCATGCAATTGATCCATTACGTTGAAGAGAGAGAATTCATTTGCATCGCCACCTCAATCGGCCGCTGGGGCTAAAGCAAGTCATCAGTCCTATTCCGTTGATAGTAGCGCCACCACTGACAGTCTGAACAGTTCGAGTGATATGCAACACTTCATCATCGGGATGTTTAAATATGCTCTTCTGGGATGCCTGGAGTTCCTCGTCCTGCGATACTCCAACCTGCAGTCTCGGACGGTAGACGTCATGACGTATATGGTATTCGGAAGAACGTATTGTGTCTGTGTGGGGCTGCGCATAGTATTGCACGTTCAGCAGTGCGATGTACGAGTTGACGTATACTGAAATGATGCCACGAGTCAGCATGATCCTCGTCATCGAGGAATTCTTTGGCCATACGCTTAAGCAGTATAAATTCGACAGCTTGGTATATAAAGTTCTTCGGCATCACTGCGCACTATAGACGGTCAGAGAGAAGATGATGAGAACAAGAGATGTGAGCTCACTGTAATAACAACTGCCATTGAACACATACTGCACGAAATATGAGTCAAAGTATGAAGTAGGCTGGAATGAGAAATACCTCGTCAAACAACCTGTATTGATGATATAAATCATGAGCTTTGTTATGAATAGATCTGTGTTAAGTATAATGTCAGTATTTCAGACCTGACAGTGTATGGACAGCAACTTGCCTCAAGAACCCAGTACGGGACGTAGCGAGGATATAACATAGCGATGATGCAATAAAGATGTCGATAAAGGCAACGGTGCCCAAATACATGTATAACATGTATACTGACCACATGATTGTGTCCAAATCGGCCATTACATGAATTTTCTGATACCTACTCGCTATAAGCACTTAAAGCCGTTGAGGAGCCCGTTATCTCACTTACATGCACCAGATAATGGCTTGATCATGTTAAAACGATAAAGCAATAAACAACACCAATGAACTCTCACCGATGGCAAGACCTGAAAGGATCCTCAAAGATCGTGCGAAGAGCGTTACCAGGTGACGGGACTCACCTGAAGCTAGGACGACGGCGACGCCCTAGTAGCGGATCAGCAGAATAAAACAAAAGGCTTGAATATGAACATCGATGGCAAACCTACCACTATGATCGCCAGAACTTTTGACCGGCCCTTGCTGACTAGGTTCATCACATAAGTCACGACAAAACTGTTGATGGGGAGAAATACCTGTCCATATGCGATGAATATATAGACTATGGATCAAGAAAGCACTCAGTGAAGGCTGCATATAACATGGTACATTTGACTTACACATGATCCATAAAGATGCTGAGAACCTGTGGAGTGCATGTCTGAGGCGAACCACAGAGCTTTGGAAATATAACTTACGACGACGACAGGCTGGAGCTGCAGAAACATATCGATATGATACATAGTAGAGGCTCACGAAAGAAGTAGCAACTCACTTTGCAACTCCATACTATTTCTGTGAGCGCGCTAATGTTCGCGTAGTTGATCACTAAATAAAAATAGACGTAATGGATGATCAGGGCCAGATGCAGAGCGTCAAGTATCCTAAAAGTTCAGGGTATAGTGTCATCTCGACGTGCCCAACTCGAAGAGATACCTACCAAACCAATATGACCTAAAATAGCTTCAATAACAGAACTGATAAGGAGGCGGCATTAGACGTACGACCAGCTTGTAGAATGTTATTCCTGTACCACTATGCGTCTGAAAGTAGATGAAAACTTGAACGATGGTGACACCAAAGAGACTGTTCCGTGAGAGGAAACATTCAGCTTATTACTGAATAGTGATGAACAGTTTACCTACACTGCTGCAATGATGACCCCAATAAACAGTGCCCCAAACGTGTTCGCGAGCTGAAGATGTGGGATGAGGTCTTGCGTCGAGGAAGCCATTGGTATTATTGACTAAACCAATTACACCAGCAATACAGTAGTACCATGTTATATATCCCGCAGCCTGTGACAATGAAACCAGCATCTTTTTCTGTGATGAATGATGGTGCTTCGGATACGGTGAGGTACGTCTTCTACCATGAGGATCAGTGTAATGATGATGCCGCTCTTACTAAGTTCGTCCGAAGGGATTACTTGAGAAATGTAGGGTTCACAGACGTTAGGCCATCAAAAGATATTGAATTCAACATTGAATTTTCAATGAAGTTTTCATTGATCCTTGATGGATCGATGATCTTAAGTTGTTAAGTATGGAAAGCGGGTGTGATCGCTTTGGCTAAGCATCCTATATGGCCCGGTGTTTGTTTGTTCAAACCCTGGGCCAACCACTGCTTGATTCCGACCTGTCACCTACCCTTGGCAGCACTTTTCTGATGGCGGCCTTTTGATGGTGTATTAGTCCTGGTTTCGTTGGAGGACGAAATCATCTCTGAGACCTAGGGCAACTCTTTAAGAGGTATAACAGCACCCTCGCAAGCCACCCCACGGACCCATCCATTCTCATTGGAGGGTCCGGTCCTAAACCGCCCCCAGCATGACTCGGAATTATACAGGTTTCTCCCGCCGTCGCCGGTATCCTCACCCTCAGCTCCTTAAGAGGTACAACAGTACCCTCGCAAGCTACCACACGGACTCATCCGTCATTGTTGGGAGGGTAGGCCCGCCGGTCTTAGGGGCCTCGCTAGCCCCCAGCACATCATACCAAGCTTCACCCGTCGCCGCCGGTTTAGCGACTCATCGTATCCTCCAATCATTTGTGTTACTACTTGTGTTATGTTATTCAATCATTTGATACTTATTTTGAGGAGATCCCCATAGATTCAAGTTTTCTGATGCAACAAAACATATCGGAGTCTCGCAGTGTGATCATTTATATTTCTGCGCAAGATGAGGATGTTCTGAACGAGACAGAAGCAGGCTATGCAGCCGCGATACTGGTATTGATATCAAATTGCAAACATAGCTGCTACTAAACGGGGCCGCCGTATCAGCTTGGGTCCACTCACCGTGACTAAAGTGACCAAGTAAATCCGATGCAGGAGAGCTATCCCGAGTGTTGAACCTCACTGGATCCGTAAATATCTGGAGGTAAGGGTAACAGGAATGACGTGAATTGCAGGGGTGGAGAGAGTCGCGGTCAAAAAATGGATTTACTTCGCCCTGATTCGGGACCTCGCGATGACGCACATGGTAACGGTGGTCGTGTGGGTGCAGAGGGTCGCGAGAATTACCACGGGAAGTATGACGAGGGTCGTGCTAAATATCATCCTGCGGGTCACACCGGGACTAAACCGCTCAGTCTGTCAATGGATCAGCAATGATTTTGGTCGGGCCTGAGGTTGTTAGATAATGGATGAACAAACTCACGCCCTGACAATAGAACAGCGATTTCTCCGTTGAGCAAGGTGGGAGGTCGATAGAGGATGAATCTAGTCACAAGCTGTTCGGTGCTGTGCAAGGTGGATCATTAATGGCAGGGGGCACTAGCCAAACAAATACCATTTTTGTCGAGCTGGTCACGCCCGTTGGTCTGATCACTCCCAGCGGCTTTCCATATCCTTGGACATCGACTTGATCGACCCATTTCCGCCACACATCAGCGATATTTGCGATTGTTGATATTGATGAAGCACAGTATCAGAAAGAACATCAATTTTCTACGTCACGGTGATGTCCATGGGAAGCTGCTAACACAGCATAACACTGCAGTGCATAGACTCGAGATAAGATGCACATTGACGCATCCTGCATACTTGAGATAGATGTGTTCATGGGATACGGTTGACGTTGGGCTTCCTCGATATATCTCTGATCATCGCATTTATAAGATATCTGCTAGCTAGTGAAGTTAATCCCACCGGCGCTGACTATGGGCGCATTAATAAATAGTTGTACGTACTTGACTCGAGATACTCCAACTGTGAATAGCGGAAATGATGGGAGTGAACTGATGCCTCTCCACACCCGTATATTGAGTAGCACACTGCGATCCATTACGCTGAAGAGACGGAATTCATGTCTATCGCCACCTCAATCGGCCGCTGCGGCTAAAGCAAGCCATCAGTCCTATTCCGTCGACAGTAGCGCAACCACTGACCATGACAGCCTGAACAGGTCGAGTGATATGCAACACTTCATCACCAGGATAACTAAACATGCTCTTCTGGGATGCCTGGAGTTCCTTGTCCTGCGATGCCCTAACGTGCAGTCTCGGGTGGTATATGTCACGGCGCATATGGTAGTCAGAAGAATGTATTGTGTCTGCGTGGGGCTGTGCATAGTATCGCGCGTTCAGGAGTGCGATGTACGAGTTGACATATACTAAAATGATACCACGAGTCAGTATAATCCTCGTCGTCGAGGAATTCTTTGGCCATACGTTTAAGCAGTACAAAATCGACAGCTCCGAATATCATGTTCGTCGGCATCACTGCGCACTGTAGACGGTCAGAGAGAAGATGGCCAGAACAAGAGGTGCGAACTCACTGTAATGATAACTGTTATTGAACACATACTGCACGAAATGAGTTAAGGTATGAGGTAGGCAGGAATGAGGGATACCTCGTCAAACAGCCTGTATTGACAATATAAACCGTGAGCTTTGTTATGAGTAAATCTGTCCTAAGTGCTGTATGTCAGTATTTCAGACCTGACAGTGTATGGACTGCAACTTGCTTCGAGAACCCAGTACGGGACGTAGCAAGGAGATAACATAGCGATGATGCAATAAGGACATCGACGAAGGCAACAGTGCCCAAATACATGTATATCATCCACTCGACTTCGACCACATCGGAAGATACTTGGACTGCCTGATATCTACTCGCTATCAGCACTCAAAGCAGTTGAGGAGTATGCTGTCTCACTTACGTGGCCCAGACAACGACTTTATCATGTTAAAATGATGAGGCAATAACAGCTCAAATGAACTCTCACCGATGGAAAGACCTGAAAGAATCCTCAAAGATCGTGCGAAGACCATTACCAGGTGACGGGACTCACCTGAAGCTAGGACGACGGCGATGCCCTAGTAGCGGATCAACAGAATGAAACATAAGGCTTGAAGATGAACGTCGATGGCAAACCTACCACTATAATCGGCAGAATTTTTGATCGGCCCTTGCTGACTAGGTTCATCGCATAAGTCATGACAAAACCGTTGATGGGGGGGAATACCTATCCATATGCGATGAACATATAGACTACGGATCAAGAAAGCATTCAGTGGATATTGCATATAACATGGTACATTGGACTTACAGATGCTCCACAAAGATGCTGAGAACCTGTGGAATGCTTGTCTGAGGCGAACCATGGGCTTACAAGGAAATATAACTTACGGCGACTACTGACTGAAGCTGCGCTAGCATATCAATATGATAGCCTCATAGTAGAGGCTCACGGAGGAAGTAGCAACTCACTTTGGAACTCCATACGACTTCTGTGAGCGCACTAATGTTCGCGTAGTTGATCACTAAATAAAAATAGACGAAATGGATGATCAGGGCCAGATGCAGAGCGTCAAGTATCCTAAAAGTTCAGGGTATGGTGTCATCTCGACGTGCTCGACAATTGCAACTCGAAGAGGTGCCTACCAAAGCAATATCACCTAGAATAGCTTCAATAATAGAACTGACAAGGAGGCAGCGTAGACGTACGACCAGCTTGTAGAATGTTATTCCTGTACCACTATGCGTCTGAAAGTAGATGAAAACTTGAACGATGGTGACACCAAAGAGACTGTTCCGTGAGAGGAAACATTCAGCTTATTACTGAATAGTGATGAACAGTTTACTTACACTGCTGCAAGGACAACCCCAATAAACAGTGCCCCAAATGTGAGCTGAAGATTTGGGATGAGGTCTTGCGTTGAGGAAGCCATTGGTATTATTGACTAAACCAATTACACCAGCAACACAGTAGTTACACCATGTTATATATCCCGCAGCCTGGGGCAATGAAATCAGCATCTTTTTCTGTGATGGTGCTGATGGTGAGGCACACCTTCTACGATGAGGGTGAAGCATTTCATATTGGCAGGAGTGCATTGGCAATTTGGCATAGTGCCATATGATGCCGCTCTTAAGTTCCTCCGAAGGGATTACTTGGGTGGATACAGGGTTTGGTACCAGTACCACAGACTCATCAGGCCATCAAAAGATATGGAGCAAGCTTCATTGATCTCGACCGATTGCATGCCGTTGTATGTAGCAATATTTGCGATTGTTGATATTGATGAGGGCACAGCTTCGGAGGTTAGTACGTTACTGCAGTGCATGAATTCGAGATAAGACATTGATCAACGCATCCTGCATACTCGAAATAGATGTGTTCATGGGATGCGGTCGACGTTAGGCTTCCCGGGTATATCTCTGATCACCGCATTTATAAAATATCCGCGTCCCTGATGCGTTCGTTCGATAGCCCGAGTATATCAGTATCAAAACTTACTAACTTCAGACAAACTTCAGATCATGGATTTAGATGTGTTCGAGGTCCGATCTCGTCAATCAACTACCCTCCGCACAACTGTTCATTTAACAAGGCTGCAGCGCCCGCGGCATGAAGATGTCGCTGTCGCAAATTTGATAGTGTCCACCAGCGCTGACATGGGCACATCAATGAATAGTTGTACGTACTTGACTCGAGAAACTCCAACTGTGAAAAGCGGAAAGGATGGAAGTGGACCGATGCCTCTCCACATCCGTAGCTGAGTAGCACACTGCGATAATTTACCAAGAAGTTAAGGTCAATGGTCGGTCCCACTGATCTCGCGTGATATGGAGACAATGATCCACCCAATTGATCCATCACGCTGAAGAGAGAGAATTCATTTGCATCGCCACTTCAATCGGCCGTTGCGGCTAAAGCAAGCCATCAGTCCTATTCCGTCGACAGTAGCGCAACCACTGACCATGACAGCCTGAACAGGTCGAGTGATATGCATCACTTCATCATCGGGATGTTTAAACATGCTCTTCCGGGATGCCTGGAGTTCCTCGTCATGCGGCGCTCCAACGTCCAATCTCGGGCGGTAGACGTCATGGCGCATATGATAGTCGGAAGAATCCATTGTGTCCGCGTGAGGCTGCCCGTAGTGTCGCGCGTTCAGTAGTGCGAGGTACGAGTTGACATATACTAAAATGATACTACGAGTCAGCATGATCCTCGTCGAGGAATCCTTTGGCCATACGTTTAATCAGTAAAAAATCGACAGCTTCAAATAAGTAGTTGTGTGGCATCACTGCGCACTGTAGACGGTCAGAGAGAAGATGGCCAGAACAAGAGGTGAGAGCTCACTAAAATGATAACTGTCATTGAACACATACTGCACGAAATGAGTCAAGGTATGAGGTAGGATGGAATGGAGAATACCTCGTCAAACAGCCTGTATTGATGATATAAATCATGAGCTTTGTTATGAATAAATCCATTCTAAGTGCTATATGTCAGTATTTCAGACCTGACAGTATATGGATTGCAACTTGCTTCGAGAACCCAGTACGGGACGTAGCGAGGAGATAACACAACGATGATGCAATAAGGACATCGACGAAGGCAACAGTACCCAAATACACGTATGTTATCCACTCAGTTTTGACCATATCGGTGGCTGCATGGATTTCATGATATCTACACACTATCAGTACTGAGTTGGGATGTCCGGTGTCTCACTTACATGCACCAAATAACGGCTTTATCATGTTAAAATGATAAAGCAATAACAATACCAATGAACTCTCACCGATGGCAAGACCTGAAAGGATCCTCAGAGATCGTGCGAAGAGCACTACCAGGTGATGGGACTCACCTGAAATTAGGACGACGAAGATGCCCTAATAGCGGATCAACAGAATGAGACATAAGGCTTGAAGATGTACATGAATGGCAAACCCACCACTGTGATCGGCAGAACTTTCGATCGGCCCTTGCTAACTAGGTTCACCGCATGAGTCATGATAAATCTGTTGATGGGGAGAAATACCTGTCCATATGCGATGAACATATAGACTACGGATCAAGAAAGCATTCAGTGAATATTGCATATAACATGGTACATTGAACTTACAGATGGCCCACAACGATGCTGAGAACCTGTGGAGTACATGTCTAAGGCGAACCACAGGGCTGAGGACATGGAACTTACGGCGACTACCTGCTGGAGCTGCACAAGCACATCAGTATGATACATAGATAGAGGCTCACAGAGGAAATAGGAACTCACTTTGGAACTCCATACAACTTCTGTGAGCGCACTAATATTGGCGTAGTTGATCACTAAATAAAAATAGACGCAATGGACGATCAGAGCCAGATGCAGAGCGTCAAGTATCCTAAAAGTTCAAGGTATGGTGTAATCTCGACGTGCTCGACAGTTGTAACTCGAAGAGATGCCTACCAAAGCAATATGACCTGAAATGGCTTCAATAGCAGAACTAACAAGGAGGGAGTATAGACATACGACAATCTTGTAGAATGTGATTCCTGTACCACTATGTGTCCGAAAGTAGATAAAAACTTGAACAATGGTGACACCAAAAAGACTATTCCGTGAGGATAAACACTTATTACTGAATAGTAAATGAATAGTTTACTTACACTGCTGCAAGGACAACCCCAATAAACAGTGCCCCAAACGTGTTCGCGAGTTGAATATGTGGGATGAGGTCTTGCGTCGAGGATGCCATCGGTATTATCGACTGGACCAATTCCTCCAGCGACAGTGTTTCCACCATGTTATATATCTATATCCTGCGGCCCGGGACAATGATTTTTGGGATGAATGGCGGTGCTGATGGTGAAACACTTCATATCGGCAGGAGTGCATCATGTGTACTATAATGACGGCCGCTCTGAAGTTCATCCGAAGGGATTACCTGAGTAGATGCAGGGTTTGGTACCAGTGCCACAAACATTAGGCCATCAAATACTTAAACGTTTGATTGAACAGGATTTGATTGATCTGATCCTTGGTCAACCCATCAGCAAAAGACCCATAATTTTCGCTTGAGAAGTTTGATGCTTACGGTGAGCTTACGGCGTTGGTGATGGAGCGACGCGATTGGTGAAACAAAGTTATCTGTACAGTTGCGGACAAGCAAACACCACCAATTTGGTAGCCATCCAGCGTGAATTTTTGGTGCCAAACCAAGGCCAGATCTGAACTCAGGGAGTGAAAATACGTCTAAAAACAGTGGTCCGAAGTTTTTCCCACGAGGTTTTTGGCCCGCCAAATTTTTGGACAATTTGAAAGATGTTGTGTACCCCTTCGGCACCATTTTGGGGGCCTATATTACCAAGATGACATGTCATTGACAAAAAAAATCATTCTAATTTAGCTATGTAGACTTTATTGCATATGATCTCACCCATTTGTAGCTCAGCTGATAGAAGTTCAGGAGCATTTGAAGGACCTTCCAGGGGTAATTACCTCAACACTTACCATTTTTAGCGCTAGAACGGCTTGTTATTTTTGTAATATTTCAATGGAATCATGCACAGGACATCAAAAGGAAGCGATTGCCATATTTTTCGAGATTTTAGCGATTTATTTATGGTACTGCCAAAATTTTGGCCTAGAAAATCCTCAAATCAGAGTTTTTGGACAATCTGCTCGTGCAAATCCATTGCACTGGTCCTCAATAAACATATTCTGCACTAAAAATGGGTTCCCAGTCATTTGTGGCACCAGGAAAAATCAGTCTTTGGTGTCATTCAAATTTGCTGATTTTGCTTGTCTGCAACTGTAGTAAAATGTAAATTTAATGACGTGGTAGTGTCACGACTCGTGATGCTACCATGTCTAGTACAACCGCAGCTCAGCTATGGCCCACTCCGGCTTGGCGTTCATCGGTTTGCCAGTATTTTGGCTATCCTAGTGAGCCAGGCTACTTATATATAGTTTGGTCCGGTTCGTTAGCCATTTGGAGTCCCACGAACCAACTGTGAGCCAAAAATAATCAACAGCGGCTCGAGCTGGCTTGAGGCCAGCTCAAGCTGATTTATAAATATGGAATCACATCTCTGTTGAAGTCTCATTCCCAGTTAGTTTGACTGTTACTCCTCAAGGCCTCAAGGCCTCAAGGCTCAAGTTATCTCATAGTATACCCATAAGGTCCTGATACAAGTTGATGGTAGATTCAGACTAGTGATGTTCTGGCCTGGCTTGGGCTCAAAGCCCTGGCTTAGGCTTGGCCTGGGGGGCTTATGTCAGAAAATTCTAAGTCCGGTTAGCATGCCTTAAAAGGCATTGGAAGGGCTCAATTTGCCGGCGGCATCATGAGGTACTTGGAAGTGCACCCAAACTATTTGTAAGTCCCTTGGAAGGAGCAAGGGGGTTTTCCAAGATGCTCCCAAGACCAATCCAGGTCCATAGTGCCAGTTTCAAGGTACATCTCTGGAAGCTCATTCCAATGGACTTACATATGTAATTCCAAGGTCCTTGAGAATTGCTCACATTATTGCATGCAATGCGGTAAAATTTGGATAAAATTGCAAAATGAACCATTTAGATCTACATTACATCCAGTTTTCAATTGCGCTTCATTTTTCTGCGGACATTATTACTTCATGTTCTGAGGACCCATAGTAGCAGATAATCAGTAGCAAAAATCATAACTAACTTAAATTCAAAGAAAGATCAGAGCCATTAAATGGAGGATTATACTGGTAGCCTCACCTTCAAATGTGCAATAGGTTCAGGTCCCCAGCTGGCATGTGGTGCAGAACAGGGCGCAATAGAAGTGGGATGAGTGGTGTTACATTGGAATGGAGGGAACAGGGTGCGATAGAAGTAGGATGAGTGGCATTACATTGGAGTGGAGGGAACAGGGTGCGATAGAAGTGGGATGAGTGATGTTACATTGGAGTGGAGGGGATGACTGCAGTTGATGACTTGAATGAATGAATACCATAGATGAAGGCTATCAGCATGCTCATCAGTGCCGCAAATACACCATGAAGGAATCACAAACGTACCATATTAATGCTTGCTATTATCAGGACTAGTCGCTCATGGCACAGCCAGAGAAGGGTGTAAGGTGTGGAGGGGAGCCACCTCTGATGCAACAACTTTAGAAAATGTGATAGATGCAATGATGGAAGAGAAAATACTTACTTCATGCCATCTGAACCACTGTGTGCGAGTTCCTCGAGGGCCTTGACGAGCTGGGAAATGGTTCCCACAGAGCAAATGTAATCCAGAAACATTGCCTGTTGGGTGAGTTTGATGGACCCAGAAGATGATTCAGAAGAGCTAATAGGAATACAACTATGGTCCTGGACCAGGGTGTGGTAGTTGACAACATCTGATTCAGCGTTCATCGACATGGTTTGTGTTGACGATAATTGTCGTTAAATTTGTCACAATGGTCCAAGTAAAATTCTGAAGTGCAAGTTTGGTCCAAGCCAAGTCTTAAGACGCTTACATGAGTATTTGGCCTTATTATGTGCACTTATCCTTAATTGGAATGCATTTTGAGAGAATGCAAGGATTCAGAGGGGCAATTTAAGGCAAATTGAGGAATTTCTAGGTGTGAGTAACAAGATATGAAGGAGGGAAGATGACAGACTACTTTTTCCGTGAAGACTTCCGGACATTAGAACCACTCAGACCTGCCATCAATTCTAAACCACCATCAAGAGCGGTCTTGCCCTTTTTGTGTCTTGGCTTGGGCTTGGGTTTGGGCTTGGGCTTTGTGGTTGTGTCAGTGATTTCAATGGTATCAATGTGTTCCACCACTTGATCCTGTGCGTCCGAATCTAAAACTAGTTCTCACATTGCAGTAGAGATAGATCCTGAGGGTTCGCTTTGAGCTGCAGCAATTGCATCTGAATCCATCTCTGTATTGTCAATAGAGACTTGAGGTGGGGGTTCATTGGGAGGCAAGGATTTGGGTAACACTGGTGGAGCACTAGCACTGAAGACAGGTGCTTCCACCCCATCTTCCAAGGCATGTTCAAAATCTTCTTCCCATGTGTCAGTTGGGTTGCCTTGCGTGGTGATGTTGTTAACAGTTGTGGAAGTGGAAGCTGAGAAAATGGAGTTGTTGAAGAATGTAAGGACATCTTTAGACCATTTGTCTCCACTTGTCAATCGTTGGGAGTACCAATTGTGGTACTTGCAATATGGTATATAACTATCAGCTCCCACTGGAAGGAGGTCTTTGTCACCAGAGAGGAGAAATATCGCCTGAAAACCAAGTGTGAATGAGTGAATATGAAAGCACAAGACAGTGATAACTTACTGACGAATGGCTGCTGCTGCTATCATGCCTGGAGTTGTAGTTCGCAACTCCCAGATCTTTGCCTTCGTTTTTCCAGCTGGGATTGATTTGGAAGATAGTGAACTCTTGCCAAAAATTGAGACTCTCAAAATCTGTAATCATGCCTGGTCAGTTGTTATGTAGTGCACATAATGAAAGGAAATACGAACCTGAATAAGCTTGGCTGTCTTTAGACAGGTCTGTGATGATGGATTTTCAGGATTAGGAAATAGAACTGGCGCAAACTTGGTGTAAGCGCCACTTGGATTCATGAGCAGGGCCTGACATTTGGGTTCAGTGCTTCATTTGTAGCATGCGAGAAAGATGTCCGAGCTCAGGGTGAAAATCACGCCAGCACACGACTTGACATCAGAAACCATCTCGGAACGGATGGAATTGATGCCTTTTGCAAACTAAGTGGATTACAATGAGATTTGAGGAAGTTTGAACAAAACAAAAAGTGGCACATACACTACTCCCAAAGTTTTTGTAGTTCATCAACTCGTGGTCAGTCTGAGGAATGAAGAGGAACAACTCAGTGTTGACACCATCCTTGATAGCAAGTGGAGAGAGCAAGCACTCTTTGCTAGAGAGGTCAATGTTAGGATACATGTGCAAAGGGAACAGGTTTGTGTCAATCCATAGACAATGTGTCATGGAGTACTTGTGCCCATGGGACTTGATGGCATCTTGCTTCACCGCAAGGGCAAGTTTGTTTGCTGTGAGCTTCTTCCAGCCTTGAGAAGCTGAAGCCTCAAGGAGCGCATTCTTCTTCAACAGCTCTCTGCAACGGCCACGCATGTTGAGTAGAAGCTTTTGGGCGATGTGAAAGAGTAATAGCGACTAGGCTTGTTAGAAACTAGTGCTACTTATCCAAATAGGCGCGAGTGTAGTATTCAACCCAAGAGGACTGCTATTGAAGCAACTCCCTTCAAATATGCAAGGGTAGCGATAGCGTGAAGGACTAATAACCTATAGCGACCTAAGACCAAAAACCAATGAGTAGCGCTGTAGCAATCAGCGACTATCGACAAGTGAGTTCCGACAGAGAAACGTGTGTGTAAGTGAGAAGCGCTACACAAGTTGTCCTATGTGATAGCGCTATGCGACATCCGACTACCGACAGCGAGAAGAAATCAAAGGAAGCGAAAGCGAGGAGTTAAGGTAAGACAGTGCAAGTGAAATGCCTGATAGTGACTAGATTATAGCTCGACTACCGATAGTGATCCTGATGTTGCGAAAGTCAAACTTTAGAGGGAACTTTAGCAACGTGCACTTAAAACAAGTCAAGCAACATGCGATCAGAGAGATTGGCAAGAGCGGAATCGATTGCACCAAGACTAGGATATAGTGACTAAAGTGACTCCGACACCAGCAAAGGTCTGGGGAAGGGAAGGACTGTACTGTATGTGCGACGGGTCATTTTATCATACTGCGTAAAAGTTTGGGAATGCGTAGGTGAGAACAGTAGCGATACTGGCGAGGGCACGATGTAGCGACAGGTAAGAAAACATGCTGCACTGTGGAACACGAGGATACATGTAATAAGACCTGCGACTGATGAGTAGCGACATTTAAGGAAAAATAATGCACCAGCGGAGGTAGGTGGACATAGGCAGGACATGGGAGGACGGAATACCTAGGCGTCAGGGCCAGGCAGTGCGCTATGGGAGAAAAGCGGTTCCAAAGCGGATAGCTTGGGAGTTGAATAGCGCTGATGACTAGCGCCTTACTCTTTTCCTCTATGCAAGGCAAAATATGCCTATGACACTCATATGCGCCCAGCGCTGGTATGATTGTCACAGCGATTGCAAGGGCCTTCCATAAACAATTGTAAGTGGATATAAAGCGGTTAGACCTGGGAAGACTTACTTGACGGAGCTCTTGAGGGGATGCAGCATCTGGAGGAGGAGTGATCACCGCTGTGAACTTGCATGAGCTCCTTGTCGGAGTCAGACTCCTCATCAGAACCAGAGCTGTTGTTTGAGCTGCTGTCGAACAAATCATTTGTTATTGGGTCTTGATGCCGGGGCATGGTATTGCTAAGATGTGAAGGCACCTGAGACTGTACTGAAACGAAGTTGGTCACCAACAGTGAGCTGAAGAAATAAAAATCAGCACAATGACCTTTATACTAATATGTATTGGGAACCTAATCACACACCAGAAGATTGCCTTACACACAAGTACATATTGCTCATCCTAAATACATACTCATCCTGCATGCAAAAGTAATAAGATTGTCAGTGATACCAAATTAAACAGGTCAACAACTTTGGCTCAAGGTAAAGATACATACCTATTGCATTTCCGTCCACAGCAAACAGTATAGCATCATCATTGATTTGAAGCAATGATGTAACCAAGGCAGCCTTATATTATGCCAGCATTATTGGAAAAAAGCATGAGTATATTTCTTGTAGAAAAGGATGAGTATTCCTAGCAGATACTGATAACAGTGCAACACACAGATTAGGTGCCTGGTGGATGATGAAGCATAGTGTGGTAATGGCTGCCAGGACCTGAACTGCAGTCTGCTTTCCAGTGGAAGCACATACCTAAGGTTAATTGCATCCATGGGCAGGGATACTTTGAGTACACCGCATGTTGGGAGACATGACACCTGAACCAGCCTCGGATCAGTAGTTCAGACCCTTTATTACATCGATGTGTATTAGATCCCCATCAGACAATGGAAGCTCGCAGGATGAGTAGAGGACATCTCCAGATCTTGCACTCTGCAGATGCTCACGCTTCAAGATACTAGCATTTGCTAGGACAGCCTTCAGAGCACGAAGACAGAAATCATAATGTGGTTGGGGAGAGAGCTGTTTGTCGCAAAGATTGAAGAACGGTACAATCTTTGAAGTGAGTGATTCCACTGTATGGAAACCCTGTGAGAAGAGCATGACCTGGGCAATCAGCTTGTGGTCGGTGAGGTGATCTCAACCTGGCTGGGCTGATATGAAATATCTAAAATGCTCAACCAGTATAAGTGAGTCTTGGCTCTGCCTAGCTGCTATACTCGCAGAATGCAAGAATGTTCGACCCTAAAGGGGACTGCTACTGAATATAGAACCAGATGAATGAAAGACCCTTATAGTGCGATGGATGTGTGAAAGCGTGAGAAGAAAAGCAAAGTGAGCGCAGAAGTGCGAGAGAGCGCACTAAGGTAAATGCGAGCATGAGAAAATGTGCAGCATTGTGCGGGAGAATACCGGATGAGGAAACAGATAGGAAATGGATGTGCAAAGTGAGTGCAAATGCAGAGCGAGTGTTATAATGAGTGCGGATAATAGTCTAGTATAGCCAGATAATGATAACCACTGGAAACACAAAGTGTGCCCAAGTGGTGACTACTACTTTAAAGTAAAACCCAATAGTGAGGGAAGTACAGCAAAGGGGAGTAATAATGATAAAGTAGTAAGTCAGCAAACTTTATACTATGGAAATCGCATCGGAAGCGGAAGGGATAGGAGGAGTAAGCACTAAGAATATGTAATGACATGTAATAGCGCTGCAATGCTTGTTACAAACCATGAGGCAAGGGATATGATGTACCAATGAGGCAGATGGACATAGATGGACATTCCTGGATGATAGGCGATGCAGGGCACTTAAGCACGAGAAAGTGCGCAAGGTGCACGTGTGGGAATGCTGCACATTGTGTGGGAAAGTATTGCGCCTCTGGCGCGTTTCGCGGGAAAGCTGCACGTTACTTGCAGAATGGCTAGAGACATAGTAGAAGTCGCATATGGATGAGGGTGCGAGTCATGCAATAAAGGCCAGTTGTTAGAATTTGTAATATGAGCCCATATCAGCCTGCAGAAATCTGAGTCTCTACATTGGGTCTCGTTGTGGCCATCCTGAATGAGCAAACATTGGATTTGGAAGAGGATGCATAACTATTAGGATAGAACTTACAGCCTGAACAATTTCATCAAGTTGGGTGGGAACTGAGACTGACCAATGTCTCTTATTGCTTTCATCACAAACATCATCGACAATCTTGCGCAAGATGTGGGTGAAGAGCCCGTTGTCTTGATAACCAAGGGTCTTATATAAATATGTGTAAGAATGTAATGACACCACAATTACACTGGATAAGACTTCTTGCCAGTCCTCAATTAACATGGTCTACGACTTCTCTTCTTTCGTGGTAGATAATGTGTGAGTTCTTGGGAGGCTCGCTAAATCAATCAATTGGATTAACTTAGCTGGAGCTTTATTATCTCTGACTGAAACTATGGGCTTGTCTAGGATATACTGTCTAGACACTTAAACTTTGTTTCTTGAATATACGATAAACTGGTGAGAACTGGTCTCACAAACTGTTGAGAAGCTGGTCTCAAATGTGACTATGATGACCAAAGCTCGTGTTGGTCAATATACAAATACCTGGTGAGAATGCTGGTCTCACAAATGACAATGATGACCAAAGCTCGTGTTGGTCAGTAAACGATACGTGGTGAGAATGCTGGTCTCACAAAACTGAGTTTCTATCATGAGAAACTTACATAATCTCAAGAGAAATACTGTCCCTGCACTTGTCTGGACAGTACTTAGAAAGGAAATGTGCTTTCTAAGCAGTAATCTGTTCAGTCTGAAGCTTCTTAGGTGAGAGTTCAATTGGTTCAAGTGGGATATTCTATTTTTCTGGGGGGGAGAATGGGCTCTCCTTATATACATTTTGTGTGGGAATATTATGTAAGTAAAACGGTGATGTAATGACTTCAGAATGTGAGAAGAATATTCCAAAAACTGGAGCAGAATGTTCTAGCAGGTGCAAAAGAACTTTCCAGAATATTCATGGTGGGATAATGACATCATTCTGAGTCACTCTGAGTCATTATGAGTCATTGGAATGTTCTAGCAAATTCCATAGAACATTCTGGAATTGATGACATCATTATGACATCATACCCTGTAGGTACAATTTTATGAAGCATCTGATTAGTCAGAGCATCCTAATAGAAAAGTAAAGTAAAGAAACACTAGAGAAAACTACTCAGAAATAATGGAACAAATAATAGTACACAATACATGGGCTTTTTAAATAGGTTTTTGTTAGGCTTTGAACTTTTCTCTATGGGTTTCTCTAGCTAAAGTGAATAAGCCAAAGGAAAGGCATTACCTTAACCTTAAATTTGCTTCTCATATCAACTAGGTCATTATGTGATTCCCATCTCACATATGACTTTTCTTCAAAACACAGTAGATTCATGAAACACTGAGGGAAAACTGAAACTATTGGACCAAGGTTTGATACCAAGGTATGGGTTGACTAGTCTGAGGACTAAGCTAACAGACTTTGTCTTTTAGGGGGATACCTAGTAATCATGTCCATGCATGATTCCCAAATAATGTAGGACATCTGCGGGGCAGTGAAATCACAACTGTCCCCAGTTGTGTGCTCAATCATGCATAATAGTGGTGAATAAATAAAATCATGAAATGGGATATGGGTACCAAATGTGGGTCAGGAAGAAGCTGTCAAGTACCTTGAATATATATATATATTGGCTCCATGATCATGCAAGCTTATCTTCTGATAAGGTCCATGCTCACAGATCTTTTTCTTTAGTAGTCATATCTCTCTAAGTTCATGGAAGCATAAATACTATATGATGCATGTCCATAAAATATGGGTGGGTGGGATGGATTAAAATAAGTCAATCACTTTCTTTGACTGACTTGTCTTCTGTTGATACATTGGCACTTGACAGGCATATGTCATTGTCTTCCTCTTCAAGGGGATCTGCTAGTGCTGAGAAGCTTACCGGGTTTGAAGTAGGTGGGTTTTGAGTGGTTGGAGGAGTTAGCTGGCGTGTTTCTGAAGATGGGATTCAACCGCTCAAAGGTCGATCAGGCTGTCTACTATAAGTGCCAGGAGGATGAACATACCATTATCACTGTGTTCAGTCAATGACATGGCTGTCACCTCCAAGCACCTTTGCCATATCAGCTGCTTCAAGGACAAACTTAGCCAGTACTTTGAGATATCAGATCTTGGTGAGCTTACCTGGCTTCTGGGACTAAAAGTCGAGCAAGACTGTGCTGCACACACTATTACCTTGTCCCAGAGAGCCTACATCAATACCTTCCTCGAGCGATTCCACCTTACCAATGCCAAAACCGTCCAGACTCCAATGGAAGTTGGTACCATGCTCTCTGACACCCAATCTCCCACCATGCAAGATGTACCATACCAGAGAGGCATTGGCTCTCTGATGTATGCAGGCACAAGTACATGCTCGGACATCACCTTCACCATTCACCACCCTCTCCCAGTTATGCATAACCCTGGGAGAGAGCACTGGGAATCTGTAAAACGGGTCTTAAGGTATCTCAAGAGCACAAGTGGATTTGGACTGACCTTGGGAGGCACAGAGGCGGGACTAGAAGCGTACATTGATGCTGATTGGGCCTTGCAGGCACACCAACACTTGATGTTGGGGTACATCGACATGCTGAATAGCAGACCTGTAGCCTGGAGCTCCAGAAAGCAGTCCCTCATAGTCTTATCCATGGCAGAGGCCAAATACATTGCACTCACCACAGTAGCTTATGAGGTGCTTTACCTACAGCTCCTCCTGGAAGAGCTGTATGATGTCAAATATGTTCCCACACCCATCTACTGTGATTACCAAACAGCAATCACATTAGCCTCGAATGGCAAGTTCTAGTTGCACACTAAACATATTGACCTCAGATACCACTTTGTGCACACGCACGTGAAAAATGGCATATTCACCTCGATCTATTGTCCTAGTGAGGATAATGTCACCAACACCTTCACCAAGGCCTTACCCCATCCACGCATCCAGAAACTTCATTTGTTGATGAGCTTAGAAGACTGCAGCTCGAGGGGGAGTGTTGGAGTCCGAGTTGTCTGAAGGAACAAGGAGGTGAGGGACTAGGTACAAGTGCAGGTGACATCGGCTGAGCCTCGCCGATGTTTTTGGTTTCACAATTATATCCTTACCCTATTCTACCTGTCTGATAAATTAATGTGCACCCCCATAGAAACATCTCAGTCCTTCTCTTCGAGACTGAGATGTGAGTACCAGAATTATTCATTTACATCCTATAAGCTAACAAGTACTTTAGAATATATCTATTAGGTACTTACCCAAAAACTGTAGAGTCCTTCTCTTCGAGACTGAGATAATATATCTACTAGCTCCTTTCTCCGTCCAGTTCCTGCCTCTCATCGCGAGACACTGCAACCAGAGTTCATGTTCCATTTTGTCAGAATCAATGTCTCACTGGCACTCCTGCCTTCACTTCAATCAACAACCACTTAGGAGTTGACCTGGGTCATTGTGACGACCTTGAATCGCTTACATACATGTTGATCTATCTGTTATGCAGCTCCCTTCCATGGTTAACTAGTGACCATGAGAAACTCTCCAGCTCTTGTATACTTGAGCACAAGGTCAACACCACCATTGAAGTCTTATGCAATGGAATTTCTGTTGAATTTGCAAGTGTTCTCATCTACACACGCTCTCTTGCATTCTCAGAAGACCCTGACTATGGGCATCTTCATTCATTGCTTTGTGGTCTTCAAGCCACCTTGGCTGCGCCATCTACATGCTCGCTGGATTTCAGCAAGCCTGATAATTACATCACACATCACCCTCCAATCTCCAATGAACACTGGATGGCCGAGGCAGCCCCATGTCTGCCGGATGCAACACCACTTCACAGATCTACTCGTGTGTGAGTAATCTGTTTCATTTTCCCATTCACAATCTGAAGCTCATGTGATTTCCAAGTTTACACCAACATAATGCCTCTCCCATGCACCCAACTGCACTGCGGAAAAAGCCATTAGTTGCTAGATCACGCTGTTGAATATGTCTTTCTATCTCTACATGAATTATACAGTGTACAAGCCTTGTGTTTCTCATAGGTTTCAAACTGTTCAATGCGGTCAAATACATGTTGACTTGAATCAAACTTGATCATCCTGATTCCTGATTCCCAAGGGCCAACTCTCACGCTGAGTCATGCAGCTTCTTATCTTTTTCTCACCCTCCCATCTCCTTGCCCATCCTCCTTGCAACTTGCAAGTGCTGTTTTTCTGCAAATCAGTTGGCCTACTACAGAAACAAACTTGTCCTGAATACATGTACCTCACTCCTGAAGCCTGAGTCCCAACATCTACCAGTTTCGCCCATTGAATCATATCACCATCATGGCCAACCTCCTGGATGACACATGGGGAATTTTTCACAAACACCCCAATCCCCTTGCATTGTATCACAATTAAATGCTCAATCCATCATTCATCAACTCCTGGAATGAAGGTAAGCATTAACTCACTTGACCCATTGGTTGATATCTGAAACACCTGTTCAGTGACCATCAAACCACCTACCCTGACAACCATGGCGAACCCTTTGCAAACATGCATTCCAGCACATGTTATCACGATGCTGCCAAGTGGCAGACTTTCGTGGTTCAATGTATATGTTGCACTCTCTCGAGGACATGGTCGGGAGAATATATGTCTTCTACGTGATTTGACGAGAAGCTGCTAATGATTCACCCAAGTGAATATCTTTGTATTGAAGACGAACAGATTGTGAAGCTTGACCAGACAACGGACCAGTGGTGGTATTCAAAGAAGCAGGGAACCATAATATGATGATTGCAGATTCATTCAGAGTTGAATAACGAACATTTGTGCTTGTTACCTTGCAATTGTAACAGTACTGTGTCGTACACCCACATCGCAGTACTAGCGTTAATGTAAATAAACTCTCACGGGGGTCATAAAGTGGGGATCGTACAGCCACAATTATGGGGTGATAATGCCAGACCTTGTAGGTACAAGGTAATACTAATAAGTACAAGGTAATAGCCACTAGCCTACTTAGTAAAGTTGGTCCCAGCGCTGACTATGGGCGCATCAAGAAATAGTTGTACGTACTTGACTCGAGAAACTCCAACTGTGAAAAGCGGAAAGGATGGGAGAAGCACTGATGCCTCTCCACATCCGTATGCCGAGGAGCACCCTGTGATAATTTACCAAGAAGTTAAAGTCAATGGTTTGTCCCACTGATCTCGCGAGATATGGAGACAATGATCCACGCAATTGATCCATCACGTTGAGGAGAGAGAATTCATTTCCATCGCCACCTCAACCGGCCGCTGCGGCTAAAGCAAGTCGTCAGTGCTATTCCGTCGACAGTAGCGCAATTACTGACCATGACAACTTGAACAGGTCGAGTGATATGCGACACTTCATCGTCTGGATGTTTAAACATGCTCTTCTGGGATGCCTGGAGTTCCTCGTCCTGCGATGCTCCAACGTCCAACCTCGGGCGATAGACGTCATGGCGCATATGGTAGTCAGAAGAATGCGTTGTGTCCGCGTGGGGCTGCCCGTAGTGTCGCGCGTTCAGTAGTGCGAGGTACGAGTTGACATATACTAAAATGATACTACGAGTCAGTATGAACCTCGTCGAGAAATTTTTTGGCTATACATTTAATCAGTATAAACTCGAGAGCTTGGAATATGTAGTTATTCGGCATCGCTGCGCACTGTAGACGGTCAGAGAGAAAATGGCTAGAGGTGCGAGCTCACTGTAATGATAACTGCTATTGAACACATACTGCACGAAATGAGACAAGGTATGAGTAGGTTGGAATGAGGAATACCTCGTCAAGAAGCCTGTATTGACGATATAAACCGTGAGCTTTGTTATGAATAGATCCATTCTAAGTACTGTATGTTAGTACTTCAGACCTGGCGGTGAATGGACTGCAACTTACCTCGAGAACCCGGTACGGGACGTAGCAAGGATATAACATAGCGATGATGCAATAAGGATATCGGCAAAGGCAACAGTGCCAAAATACAGGTATAATACCAGCTCGGTTTTGACCCAATCGCTGATTACATGGACTTCCTGATATCTACACGCTATTAGCACTCAGTTGGGCAGTTCGGTGTCTCACTTACATGCGCCAAACAACGGCTTTATCATGTTAAAATGATAAACCAATCAGAGTACCCATGAACTCTCACCAATGGCAAAACCTGAAAGGACCCTCAGAGATCGTGCGAAGAGCATTACCAGGTGACAGGACTTACCTAAAGTTACGACGACGACGCCGCCCTAGTAGCGGATCAATAGAATAAAACATAAGGCTTGAATATGAACATCGATAGCAAACCCACCACTGTGATTGGCAGAACTTTCGATCGGCCCTTGCTAACTAGGTTCACCGCATGAGTCATGATAAATCTGTTGATGGGGAGAAATACCTGTCCATATGCGATGAACGTATAGACTATGCAATCAGGAAAGCGTCAAGTGAATGTTGCATATAACACGGTACACCGAACTTACAGATGTTCCACAAAGATGCTGAGAACCTGTGGAGTGTATGTCTGAGGCGAATCGTAGGGCTTAGGAAATATAACTTACGGCGACTACCGGCTGAAGCTGCACAAACACATCAATATTCAGATAGTAGAGGCTCATGGAGGAAGTAGCGACTTACTTTGGAACTCCATACAACTTCTGTGAGCGCAATAACATTGGCGTAGTTGATCACTAAATAGAAATAGACGTAATAGATAATCAGGGCCAGATGCAGAGCGTCGAGTATCCTAAAAGTTCAGGGTATGGTGTAATCTCGACGTGCTCGATAATTGCGACTCGAAGAGATACCTACAGAAGACATCCCACCTAAAATAGCTTCCGAGTCAACAACAGAACTGACAAGGAGGCAGCATAGACGTACGACCAGTTTGTAGAACGTTATTCCTGTACCACTATGCGTCTGAAAGTAGATGAAAACTTGAACGATGGTGACACCAAAGAGACTGTTTCGTGAGAGGGAACATTCAACTTATTACTGAATAGTGATGAACAGTTTACTTACACTGCTGCGAGGACAACCCCAATAAACAGTGCCCCAAAGGTATTCCCGAGTTGAATATTTGGGATGAGGTCTTGCGTCGAGGATGCCATCGGTATTATTGACTAGGCCAATTCCACCAAGATAGTAATTCCACCATGCTATATACCCCACAGCCCGGGACAATGAATAAGGTTAGCATTTTTGCTGTGATGAATGACTGGTTTTGGTACTGATGGTGGGAGTATATCTTCTGTGATGAGAATGAAACAGTGTTACATACTGGCAGGAGTGTATATATTGGTACTAGCACCAAACGTACTATTAGCGTCAGGCCATCAAAATAGATCGAATTGAACCTTGACTGAACACAGGACAGATAGTGTTGTAGGCAGAACTCCACCATGCTGTCATGTGGCAGGGCAGAACTGGCACTGCCACGCAGATAGCGACTCGGTGGCCGGTTTCCTTGAGATTAAAATCAGCACATTTGAGACGCTCGGCAAGGTCCGCGGCGCAAACCTTTGCTTGATGACTGAATTGGCCAGACGAGATTATATTCGCAATGCAGCACAAATGATGGACACAGCGGTTTAAGTTGCCTTGAACAGGGATGTGGACGAGAAGGACGTCTTGAAAGGGCCGGGACAAGATTCCACGTTGCGGAATTGCAGCGTGATGACGAGAGGTAGACCGGTCTGACTGCCGCAACCCCCATAGTAAGAAAGAACAGGATAACACACTTTCAAATTTTCAATGGAGTTTTCATCAATCCGGAGTCCTCGATCATCGATCAATCATGATGCATGTCATCCATTTCCGCTGTTACCGTGCGGAGCATAATGTCGCGTGAACTGCAGATTCAAAACAACGACAAATAAAGACTTGTCATGGAAGTGAAGGGAACCTAACACAGTGAGTATAAAAACGTCATTAAGAAATCCGGAATGCACTGTTCTCACAGATAGCTAGAGCTGCAAACGCCCAATTCTATGTGATGTCCATGGGAAGCTGCTAATGGTGAACCAATGTCTTCGTATCAAGGGCCAACCACTGGAATGGCCCGATGAAGCAACGCTGTGGTGGTAAAAAGCAAAGTAGAGCACTGGCAGGTGCGGCATATGCAGACTGGATGGTGGGCATTTCGATGGTTGACCGCTCACTTCCCCACTATGATAGGATAGTATTGCAGAAAGCTTCTCTTTCGGAAGAAGAAAATGACGATAGGGACAATCTAGATTCCAGCTACCTGATGGTCCTTCTCCTTTCCCGATCGAGACGAGTGGAGACGAGCCGTCAATGAATACGGCGTCGTGAATCTTTCCGAAGCTTAGCGCTCAGCGCTCAAGCCCAAGGCCGTTCCATCGATATCAATCCCGGTTTCCATGTAACAGTTGACAGCACGCATCATTGATGTTACCAGCGTATCCGTGATCGCCGCATCCTCACCTCTTATGATATTTATATCCTATTGAAATCCGTATCGTACCTGAGCATCGACAAGCTTTGAGGGATGTCAATACAATCCCTCGCATCATTCAACAGTCCATGAATGAAGACGATTAACAGTTGTAGCAGGCGAAATATGTTGTTCTTTTTCTTGTCCCTTCGCAATTATGATAATGCAATCTTCGAGTCTATCTTGGAGCCGTGGCGTCCGGAAGGGATTGCTTGTACATATATTTAACTGTCGAGATCGAAGGTAGCTTGTTTGCAGCATTGCCTGACTGACCATAAATGCAGGACTTAGATAACTGGTCAACCAGACCCTTCAATCAACGTAATATTGAAACTGAGACATGTCATTTGCACGTCTGAATGTGAATTCTGCAAACCTCTCGTTCGCTTTCACCTCAGTGGAGTATCTCGGATCATTCCTCTTGCAACAGTTAGCATTATCGAGTCTGATGCACTACGCGAGTCTCATGACGAGGAAGCAATAATGATGGAGGAACGAAAGATAGAGAAAGAGATAAGAGTACCAAAGAACTGGACGCAAAGGTAAAATCGTTGTCCACATCCTACATTATTGATGACCATCAGCGCAGTGGTGGAAACACAACAGAGAAAAAGAACGAAGCGAGCCCGTAATGGAAGAGGACGTGACTGCACAGTTGCTGGATTTGGTGGGGTAGTACTAGTAGGAGGGGCAGGTGTCGTGGATATCGAGGCAGCGGCAGGCTGAGTTTGTAATGATGACGCCTGAACCTGGACCTGACCATGCGCTTGACTTTGCTGCTGTTGCTGTGTTTGTGTCGCCTGTCGAGGAGATGCACAGCAGAGAAAAAGAACGACATGAGCCCACCATGAAATGGGTGGTGACTGGGCAGGTGTTGCACCTGCTGCAGTAGTGCCACGGACGCCGGGTGGCACCGCTCTAGAATGACGAGCTTAGAACGGTTGAAAATATAAAGAAGCTTGACACATACGTCCTTTAATGACTTTCGAACTGAGACCTGCCAGTGGTAAATTAGTATAGTTTTTACTGAAGAAGCATGAGACTTACATCAGATGAGTGTTGGAAGTCTTCAAGGCCAGCTTTTTTGAGAGCGAGATGAGTGTCCCATACGCGCACAATTTATTGTCGCCGCAACCAGTGACTAGCACTTGTCCATCTGCAGAAAAGGCTGCGCTGTACACCTTATCTTTGTGCTGGAGGGGTGGTTCGACTGGGAGGTTTGTGTCGAGATCCCATAAACGTGCCGTTTTGTCATCTGATACACTTGCAAGCAGGCGGTTGTTGCGAGACAAGGAGAAGGCCCGGACATAACTTTGATGACCATTGAGAATGGCAAGCTGGTCCCAAGTGGCTGTGTCGAATATCCTAATCGGACCATATGATCCAGAGATAAGCTTCTTCCCATCAGACGTCCAGGCCAAACTGAAAACTATTCGATCGTGTTTGAGTGTGGTGATCAGCTCGCCCGTCTTTGCATCCCAGATTTTTACTCCGAACTCATTGTATCCTCCCGTCGCAATTTTAGTTTGGTCGGGGCTGTCGGGCGAGTAAATTATCGACCACACATGCTTGTGCCCAGTCTTGATTTCCAGGATTGTTTCACCGCTCTTGACATTCCAGACTCTTGCCGTCCCGTCCCAGGATCCGCTCCCTACTCTATTACCATCCACACTCCAGCACACTGACAACACACGCTCAGTGTGTCCTGTCCATTTTGCAATGACCTTTCCCGTCTCGACGTTCCACAGCTTCACTTTCCCATCGTCACTTCCGCTGGCAAGTGTCTTACTGTTTGGAGACAATGCCATTCTGCGCAACCCTGCTTCCCCATCCCCCTCATCTCGCCAGTCCTCGCCAATCTGTGCACTGCCCTCCAGGTCCCATAGTCGAAGTGAGCCGTCCATTGAACATGTGATGATGCGGCGTCCGTCAGGCAAGTGCACAACACCGTGTACCTGTGCAGTATGGCCTTGCATTGTCCTGCAGGGTATGATTGCTGACGTCTCTTGCTTCTTACCGGTCTGGGAAGACATGGTCGGCGCTGGAGGCCTCAAGTATGCAGATCGTGCAATATGTATGCGAGAGACCTGTATGAGATACGGGTGTGGTTTGGAGATGCACAAGAGATCCTTGCGGGTATCTAAAGTCGCTGTTGAGTAGGTGGATACTTTGCAGAAGGTCTTAGAGTATCACTTACGACAAACCTAACGCTCAAATTAGCAGCAATCAGCGGGCATTTGGATTAGAGCCGAGGAAGTCGGCCATTTGCCAGTGTTGGTTCAAACTATTCTTTTAAGGTTCGTCCCATGCGTTATCCTCGTGTTCGGTTTACGCTAGGTGCTGTGTAGATGAAGCGCTCAGGTGTGCAATTGGCGCCGTGTGCTTCTTTCGCTATCAAGGGACTATCTCGATGGTGGCGACAACGTTCGACGGGGATTCGCATCTCCTCTCAACTTCAAATATTTCTTCCGGCCTATGTTCGAGCTCGATGTCCTCAAATCTTCAACATGTTTGCAGATCGTGCACCATGCAGTCACCCGATACTGTGTTCGGGAGCCTGCTAGCTGTGGTGCTCATATTCTTTGTTCTGATGGACCCCTCTCTCGTTATCTTCGATGCCAGTGGCTTGCATTGCAAGGATAAACCAATCACGGGACATAGACAGTGTCCAGTGGAAGCGGATTGTCGATGTTACCTGTATGCATTATGGCCCTCATGGATGATGAACTGGACTTCCACATCATGAGCCGTCTGAGCATCTACGAAGTACAGTCGCTTCTTCTGCTTTGCTCAGACAGATGATTGCTGAGATGTCCTTTGCGAGTTTGCGGGATTTCTCATTTATCAGCTGTCTGTGCTTCAGCAACCTGACACTCGGTAGGCTCTAGCGGCGTTTCTTGTAGTTGCATGGGGGACATGCTACTTCAGGGCGATTGTGATCAAAGCATGTATCTCAAAACCTCATGGTTGATGCTTTCCTTTGACAGTTGTGCTAGGTCTGGGCTTCAACAAACCAAGGGTGCTAATAGCGCTCGATCGCCAACCTGATGCACACTTTCTGCAATACTCCAGTTGTGTGGGTACACTACTCTAGATCAATCATCAATGTGCATAGAATCTTGGAATATCGTGGCCAACGCTCACTGTAACAGTTATACTTGTCATTTTCCGAAGGTCACCAACTCCGAGTCACCGTTCTGAGTGAGGATTGGCATGGCTGGGTTTCACAAACCACCACAACCACCCCATCTCCCCATCCACGCCCAAACAGATGATAGAAAGGGATCTACACTGTCCGCGGAAGTCTTAAACTATCAGCTGTCTAGGCTTTGACAGTCAGCATCCACGAGATCGCATTCATGTTCCAGAACAGCCCACCTGGTGGTTGCTTTTTGTTAGCTGCGACTCCTATCTCCACTTACTCCTCTACGCACTCCAGGAACTCATTAATTTGCATCTAGACTTGTTCCTGGCCCGCAGGATGTTCAGCTCCATTTACCAAACTCGTTGAATCATTTTCTCGAACGCCCGTAAGTCATGTATATATGGATGATAACTGGAAATTTTTCTGAGGAAAAGCTGAAGCCATCGCGCGGCACGGGGGTGAATTCCTTTTCATGGACAGATTAGCCCATGAAAAAGAGGTTTCGGCGCAATGACTGGGCCTACCAAGTTAATATGGACCTCCGAAGACCTATACACCGCAAAAATGTTGTCAGTAGGTTTCGAACCAACTCCAAGAAAAACAGATTTTGAGTCTGTTGTGATAACAACTTGACTATAGATTTGGTTAGATGGATCTCTGAGGAAACCATCCATGAGTCAAGGTGTGTTCCGATAGAAAAAGACATGTCATTAAGCACGTTTCGAACCTGCATAATTGAAGAGAAACAGATTTTGAGTCTGTTGCGGTAACCACTTGCCTAAGACCAGTTAAGATAAACTTCTGACGAAACCATCCATGAGCCAATGTCAAGGTGTGTTCTAATAGAAAAAGACGTACCATCAAGCAGGTTTCGAACCTGCGTAATTTAAGGGAAACAGATTTTGATTCTGTTGCGGTAACCACTTGCCTCAGACCAGTTAAGATGAACTTCTGACGAAACCATCCATGGGTCAATGTCAAGGTGTGTTCCGATAGAAAAAGACGCGTCATCAAGCAGGCTTCGAACCTGCATAATTGAAGAGAAACAGATTTTGAGTCTGTTGCGGTAACCACTTGCCTAAGACCAGTTAAGATGAACTTCTGACGAAACCATCCATGAGTGAATCTTCAAGGCATGTTCCAATAGAAAAAACCCCTTGTCGTTGGCAGGTTTCGAACCTGCACTGGCACAGTCCAAGAGGCAGATATAGATTCTGTTGTGGTAACCACTTTGGCCAGGACGAAGTTGAGCTGAACCTCCGAGCCTGAGAAAACCATCCATGAGCGAATCTTCCGATAGAAAAAAAAACCTGTCGATCGGCAAGTTTCGAACCTGCACCATCCAAGAGAAAACAGATTTCGATTCTGTTGTGGCAACTTAGCCAGGGACCCTTCATGAGTTAAGATGAACTCCGAAGAACTGTCCAATGTCCATGAGTGAATGTCAAGATGTGATAAAAGGAAAAAGATTGTTGAGCAGGTTTCAAACCTGCAACATATTTCTGTCCTGTCACGCTTATCACTTGGTTAGGACTGGTCAAGGTGGACGGCCGTGGTACGAGTCGAAGAACATTATGCACTGACAGCAGAATCACATAGGATTAGCAGTCATTTGCCAACGTAAAATGACAAAAAAATTGGCTGATATTGACCTTGTGGAACAAGGTAACAAGGTAACAAGGTAACAAGGTAAGTTGATCCCACAGACACAGACTATACGGGCGCACCAAGAAATAGTCGTACGTACTTGACTCGGGAAACTCCAACTCTCAAAAATGGAAAGGATAAGAGTAGACTGATGCCTATCTACACCCGTATCCTGAATAGCACACTACGATAATTTACCAAGAAGTCAAAGTCATTGGCCGGTCCCGCCGATCTCACAAATACGGAGACAATGATCCATGCAATTGATCCATCACGCTGAAGAGAGGGAATTAATTTTCATCGTCACCTCAATCGGCCGCTGTAGCAAAAGCAAGTCATCATCCTATTCCGTCGACAGTAGTGCATCCACTGACCGTGACAGCCTGAACAGGTCGAGTGATTTGCAACATTTCATCGGGATGTCTGGAGTTCATCGTCCTGCGACGCTCTAACGCGCAGTCCCGGGCGGTAGACGTCATGGCGTATATGGCATTCGGAAGAATGCGCTGCGTCTGCGTTGGGCTGCGCGTAGTATCGCACGTTCAATATTGCGATGTACGAGTTGACATATACTAAAATGATACCACGAGTCAGCATGATCCTCGTCGTCGAGGAATTCTTTGGCCATACGTTTAACCAATATAAATTCGACAGCTTTAAATGCGTAGTTCTTTGGCATCACTGCGCACTATAGACGGTCAGAGAGAAGATGGCCAGAACAAAAGGTGTGAGCTCACTGTAATGATAACTGTCATTGAACACATACTGCACGAAATATGAGTCAAGGCATGGGGTAGGCTGAAATGAGGGATACCTCGTCAAACAGCCTGTATTGATGATATAAATCATGAGCTTTGTTATGAATAAATCCATTCTAAGAACTATATGTCAGAATTTCAGACCTGACAGCGAATGGACTGCAACTTGCCTCGAGAACCCAGTACGGGACGTAGCGAGGATATAACATAGCGATAATGCAATAATAACATCAACACAGGCAATAGTGCCCAAATATACGTATAATGCCCACTCGATTTTGACCAAATCGGGGATTACATGGACTTCCTGATACCTACTCGCTATCAGCGCTTAGAACACTTGAGGAGTCCGCTGTCTCACTTACATGTACCAAATAGCGGCTTTATCATGTTAAAATGATGGAGCAGTAATAGTATGAATGAACTCTTACCGATGGCAGGACCTGAAAGGATCCTCCAAGATCATGTGAGGAACATTACCAGTTGACAGGACTCACCTGAAGTTAGGACGACGACAACACCCTGGTAGTAGATCAACAAAATGAAACATAAGGCTAGAAAATGAATGACGGCAAGCCTACCACTATAATCGACAGAACTTTTGATCGGCCCTTGCTAACTAGGTCCACCGCATAAGCCACGATAAATCTGTTGATAGGGGGGAAATACCTGTGCATATGCGATAAACATATATTCTACGGATCAAGAAAGTATTGAGTGAATGTTGTATATAACACGGTACATAGAACATACAGATGTTCCACAAAGATGGTGAAAACCTGTGGAGTGCATGTCTGAGGCGAACCATAGGACCTGGGAAATATGGCTTACGGTGACTACAAACTGAAGCTGCACAGGCACATCAATATGACAGCAGAGGCTCATGGAGGAAGTAGCAACTCACTTTGCAACTCCATACAATTTCTTTGAGCGCACTGATGTTCGCGTAGTTGATCACTAAATAAAAATAGATGGAATAGACAATCAGGGCCAGATGCAGAGCGTCAAGTATCCTAAAAGTTCAGTCATCTCGACGTGCTCGATAATTACAACTCGAAGAGATGCCCACCAAAGCAATATGACCTAAAATAGCTTCAATAACAGAACTGACAAGGAGACAGCATAGACGTACGACCAACTTGTAGAATGTTATTCCTGTACCACTATGCGTCTGAAAGTATATGAAAACCTGAACGATGGTGACACCAAAGAGACTATTCCATGAGAGGAAACATTCAACTTATTACTGAGTAGTGATGAACAGTTTACTTACACTGCTGCAATGATGACCCCAATAAACAGTGCCCCAAGCGTGTTCGCGAGATGAAGATGTGGGATGAGGTCTTGCGTCGAGGAAGCCATTGGCATTATTGACTAAACCAATTACACCAGCAACACAGTAGTACCACCAGGTTATATATCCCGCATCTCGGGACAATGAGTTCAGAATTTGTCTGTGATAAATGATGGATCATATGTATGATGAGGCTCTGAAGTTCCTCCGAAGGGATTGCATGAGTAGATGCAGGGTTGGTACCAGTACCACAGGCGTTAGGCCATCAAACTCCAAATTTCAAAAAAGGCATCGAGTTGAACATCGATTGAACACATGGAACAGGATAAAGCTCTTTTGAATTTTCAATGAAGTTTTCATTGATCCGGACTTTGCAGTCCTTGATTGGCACGCGGTACGCAGTACGTATTTGATATTTGTGATTGTTGATATCGACGACTCGACAGTGAAAAGAACATATTATATACGTCCATGTGAAGCTGCTAACGGTAAACCAATGTCTTCGTATCAAGGGCTGACCACTGGAATGGCCCGATGAAGCAATGGAGTGGTGGTCAAAAGCAAAGTAGAGCAGGTGCGGCATATGTAGACCGGATGGTGGGCATGTTGATTGACAATGATTGTTGATCACTCACTTCCCCACCATCCAGTCTTGCAGAAATCTTTTCTTTCGGAAAGAAGAAGAAGAAGAAGAAGAAGAAGAAGAAGAAGATGATGATGAAGAAGATGAAGAAGAAGAAGATGAACGAGCATGGATACGGCGTCGTCTTTCCGAAGCTCAAGCCTGTTCCATCGATATCAATCCCGGTTCACATCTAACAGTTAACATGATGCATCATTGGTGTTACCAGTGTACCACCGCATCCTCGCCTCTCGTCCATCAGACATATACATCTTATTGAAATTCGTATCGCACTACCTGGGCATCAACATGGATCTGTCTTTGAGGGATGCCAATCCGATCCCTCGAATATCTCATTCAACAAGCCATGAATCATGAGGATTAGCACTCGCAGTCGGTGAAAAAGGTTGTTCTGTTTCGTTCTTCGCATTAATCATCATAATGTAATCTTCCTTCGAGTATCCTGAACGTACACCGCGCGCCAACAATGGGGAGACTCGCGCTTTCAACGGATGCCAAGTCCTTCCACTGGTCCTCGACCACTCTAAGGACCCCTTCGTACACGGACAACTATATACAGCCCGGTGATGTCGAGGGTACGCAATCTATGTTTCAACTTTCAGAGCCCCAATTGCAATGAAGGAAATGATTGTATGAGACTGCTTCTCTAAACAAGCCGGCCGTCGTGTATAGCCCACTGCGAGCTTTCGTCCGGAAGAGGTTGCTTACATATATTTAATTGTCGAGATTGAGGTCACTGCCTTGCTTGCATAACTGGTCAACCAGACCTTCAATCAACATTGAAAAGAGACATGACATTTGCTCGTCTGGATGTAAACTAGTCCAACACCCGTTGTGCCTTCGGCACAGGAAGCAAAAGGAGCGCTTCGCGCCCCTTTTTGGCTTCCTGGCCTTGGCTGCATCCTAATATAATTAATGAAAATTAGAATGAGAGAACAGGGGAATGGGGGAACAACCCAAAAGTGCTCGCTCGCTCTGCTCACACCTTTGGCCCGTTACCCCATTCCCCTGTTCTCTCATTCTAATTTTCATTAATTATTTGCTGCACTCGAACGGGCGATGGTATTGAGTCGGCACTCGAAATCACGTGACAAAACCACGCGAGACTTCCAAAAAGAGGTTTAAGTGAGCTAAGCGCTGCTAAGCGTTCTTAAGCGTTCCTACGCAAAAGCCACACGAGTACCCGTCACTCCCCGAAACCCGTTCTCCCTTACTTTATAGATTCTGCATACCTCTGGTATGCTTTCACCCTCCTTGAGTGCCTTGGAACATTCCTTTTGCAACAGTTAACATTTTTGAGTCCAATGCGCTACATGAGCCTCATGACGGGGAAGCAATACTGATGGAGTAGCAAAAGGTAGGAAGGAGATAATAGTACACAAGAACTGGATGCAAATGCAAAACAGTGGTCCACACCCTACAGTATTAGCGACCATTAGCTTGTTGGGGAGACACAGCAGAGAAAAAGAATGAGGCGAGCCCTAATGGAGGAGGTTGTGACTGCACAGTGTAAGAACCTAAGTGGCTCTCGCTGCGAGTTCAAAGGGGTGTGGAGACCGCTAGTGTGATGCTGAAATGCTATGGAACTTAGATTAGCAGTTAACGAATGTTAAGCGATAATGATTGAGACGAGTGTGAGACAATAAACGAGGGATATAGCGATACAATTTAGATAACAAGTGCGAGACTGAGACTTGGAGACTGGTATGATTGCCTGCAGTAGTGAGTGTACATGGGCTACTTTTATACTGCGAGATGTTTAAGGGTCGGGTATAACTATGCCGAATCGATTATGTGATGATGGGCGCTGAAGGGAGTGGCGTCCACGCCTGACAGGGTAGAGTAGACTGAAAGGGAAGGGGATATGAAACAATTGAGTGAGTGGCGATATAAAAGGGTATGGTATTGACAAAGTGACAAGAGCTGCATAGTGGAACTTGACAGATTTGGAGATGGCAAACTGAGGGTAGGGTGACAGTGACGAATAATGAAAGCTGAGGGTCAATAGTGACGAGAGGAAAGGGAGTTGAGGTCCGTGCTGACTGAGGCTGGCAGTGCGCTGATGGTGGTTAAGGTAAGCATTGAAACAGCTATTTCTGGCATCAAACGATTGGTAATCCTTACAACAGCTTCTGTATTTGGTGGGGTAATACTAGTCGGAGGGTGAGGAAGTGTCGTGGGCATTGAGGCAGTAGGTTCAGTATGTGATGAAGACCCTTGGGCCTGGACCTGGCCAGGCGCTTGGCTTTGCTGTTGTTGCTATGTTTGTGTCACCTGTCGAGGAGATGCACAGCAGAAAAAGAGTATGGCATGGGCCCATGGAATTGGTGGTGACTGGGCAGGTGTTGCACCTGGTGCAGTACACCCCAAGACATTTGGCTGTACCTAAGGTTAACCTAGAATAGTTGTAAGCAGGATAATTTCAGGCTTGATTGAGTGCGAAAACGAACCATGCGCCTAATTATTATTGAATCTGAAGTGCGACGTTGATTGTGACACCCAAGCTCGGTGTGAAAGAGTGATAGCGACTAGGCTTGTTAGAAACTAGCGCTACTTATCCAAATAGGCGCGAGTGTAGTATTCAACCCAAGAGGACTGCTATTGAAGCAACTCCCTTCAAATATGCAAGGGTAGCGATAGCGCGAAGGACTAATAACCTATAGCGACCTAAGACCAAAAACCAATGAGTAGCGCTGTAGCGATCAGCGACTAGCAACAAGTGAGTTCCGACAGAGAAACGTGCGTGTAAGTGAGAAGCGCTATGCAAGTTGTCCTATGTGATAGCGCTATGCGACGTCCGACTAGCGACAGCAAGAAGAAATCAAGGAAGCGAAAGCAAGGAGTTAAGGTAAGACAGTGCAAGCGAAATGCCTGATAGCGGCTAAATTATAGCTCGACTACCGATAGCAATCCCGACAGTTGCAAAAGTCAAACTTTTTAGAGGAAACTTTAGCGACGTGCACTTAAAACAAGTGAAGCGACACGCGATCAGAGAGATTGGCAAGAGCGGAATCGATTGCACCAAGACTAGGATATAGTGACTAAAGTGACTCCGACACCAGCAGAGGTCCGGGGAAGGGAAGTACTGTACTGTATGTGTGACGGGTCATTTTATCGTACTGCGTAAAAGTTCGGGAATGCGTAGGTGAGAATAGTAGCAACACTGGCGAGGGCACGATGTAGCGACAGGTAATAAGACATGCAGCACAGCGGAACACAAGGATACATGTAATAAGACCTGCGACTGATGAGTAGCGACATTTAAGGAAAGATGACGCACCAGCGGAGGTAGGTGGACATAGACAGGACATGGGAGGACGGAATACCTAGGCGTCGGACCGGGTAGCGCGCTATGGGAGAAAGGTGGTTCCAAAGTGGATAGCTTGGGAGCTGAATAGCGCTGGTGACTAGCGCTTTACTCCTTTCCTCTAGGTAAGGCAAAATGTGCCTATGACACTCATATGCGCCTAGCGCTGGTATGATTGTCACATCGGTTTGTCTTGGCGTTTGTCCCACGCGCGATGCAGTTTGAACCTGAGGACATTTTCAACTTTAGCCGCCAGTTGCAGCATTATATTTGTCCTGGGAACAAGAGTGATTGAAACCTGATTACTGGTTGTTCCAAAACATGGGGATCAACAAGCTATGTACTGGTAATTTTAATGGTTACAGAATTGATGCAAGTCCCAGATGAGCCTATGCATCTACCCTCGCCTCGCCTCCGCTCATAAATATTGGCTTAACAGGACTAAGTCGAATTGGTCTTTATGCTCAGATTAGCACAATACTGATTACTGAATGGCATTCATCTTTGTGCTGAGATTTGCATGGCACTGATTACTGAGTGGCATTTATCTTCATGCTGAGATTCCACAAGTTCATGGGGAGGTAATGCATTGTACATTGTAGTGACAAGATACATGTATTGCATTAACATCTGTAATTACAAGTTTAAACAAATGCATTAGGTCATGGTAACTACAAGACACATAATGCATTAATGCATGATAACTACTAGGACACCTTGCAATTAGCGAGACGAAGCATGAAGCTCAGACCAACAGTCCCAGTACCATTAAGAATCCAAATTGATTGTTCAAAACAAGCTGCTAGTACGTTGTAAAATTAAAATATCATGGGTAAAGTACAGACTCTGGGAGGTGAAGATCCGGAAAGTGATCTTGACGTTTGCCGCTCAAACTTACCATGCTAGTAGATGGGAGATAAATTGCCCAAATCCTCTCGAAGCAGTCAGCCAGATCTTGCCTAAGCTGAGCCTGGCAACAGGCATATGCCACCAGACCTTCATAGGCCACCAGACCCTCGTTGTCAGCTGTGATGCAGGGTGCACATTCACTGACCTTCTCTTTCCACCACCCTGCATGCCACCTAAGGAAGCAGGACACCCTACGCATCTCCTCCCGGAGCAGCTCTACTTCTTCTGTCCAGTGCATGGACCTGGCTTGGGCTTTACACCATTTGATCCTAAGACCTGCCAACAAAGTTAGTCACACATCTTCCATGGCTCACGGTTTAACTGAACTTACCGTCTTGTATTGCGTCATCTTGATCATCTCCGACACCTTCCACTAGCCAGATCCACAACATTTGCCTTCAACCTTCACTCTCTGCATGTCTTGGAGCTGACATCCCATGTACATCATCCTTCTCAAGCACTTTGAACTTGTGATTCCAGCTGACCTTGCCGAGCACAGGTGTGAGAGACAAGAGAGCTGTGTGAGCTGCACAGTACCTCTCTGCTGCAGCTGCAGCCTTTGCTTCAACACAACCGAGAGCATTCTGTGCTTGAGTATTGGCGCTCTGACCTCGAATCCAATCTTTTTTGAATGAGTACATATAGCTACACAGGTGGAGGCTCTATCTGATTTCTTGGAGAGTGTCTTCAGCCTGAGTGTATCGTAACTCCCACTCGGTCGAGAGGAGTCGGGTATTAGGAGCCTTGGACTTGCTGCAGAGAGCTGATGGGAGCCAGAGGTTAGTATCTTCAGGTGTGATTATATTGGGCATATGGCAAGAAGGAGGGTCAAGTGTGGAGTCAAGTAGCCGTACTTCAGGTGTATAGAGAGTCTGGATGCGCTTCCAGGCATCGATCTTACACTGTAAAGAATTCCACAGCCGTTGAATTGCTGCCATTTGCATATCTGTGGTATGCAGTCCCTGTTTTCCAATGTCTACTTTCAGATGTCGTCTTAAGGAAGAAATGAACATAATCAAAAAAGAATGATGGATACTATTACACACTGTTCATTCTCAAGATCGATCCCCGATGCAATAAATATGCTAGGGGACACGTCAGCATGCATGGAAATGTCGGTTCCTTGTTGGAGCTCAGATGCCTCGAGCTGGGCAAATTTCAGCCGGACAGCAGCTTGTGTGATGGCTTGTAACACTAGTTGTTAGTAGCTCACCACTATCAGATTTGGTGTGCACTACTCATGAATAACTTTCATTTCAAATGGATTGATAACAACAGATCATGCGGGTTCTCTTCCCTTGATTCAATTTCAACCTTCCAGGCCTCTGTCATCTCCAGTGCCAGAGCCTCGTTGAGTTCTTGAAATACTGTGTGATGCGCCTCCCATTCCTCCTTGGCCTCAATCATTTGCGAAGGAGTGTGGCACCTGTCACAGATACAATATGATGATACATGTGAGTGCAGAGTTGCAGCCAAAACATACCAAGTCCCACAACCTTCTTCCAGTTCCAGTCTCTGAAATGGTCGTCGAGTGTGTCTCTTCATGAGCCTGGCCCCATTTCTTTAGTACTAGAGGCTACGGGGTTGATGTTTGACCATCTGCATTCATGCGCTTCGCCATCGGTGCGTCCAACATTCTTTGAAAAATTGAAAGAATACGATGTTTGGCATTTGAAAACATGTGCAGGAAGATGGAATTTTGGCACAAAAGACCTAGTGATTAATGTGAGCAGAGGCACGAGAGACCAGTATCGTGATTGTAAGAACCTAATGAATTTAGTAAGAGGGTCTATATGGAGGTTTAGAGGGATTGTAGTCATGTGTTCCCAAAGGTGTTTGTGCCACTGGCAGGCGATATCATATGAAACTATTCAGCGTTTCAACGCAGCAGTCCCTAGAGGGTTGAAATAAAATAAATAATCCATGTTGCTGTATCTATGCCATATGGTCAGCAACAATGGTTGTGTGACAGCTGGTGTACCTCACCTTTCGCCCTTCTGCAAGTCCCCAACACCATTGGGTAACTTCATGTTGTGCCATGCGCAATCTATTGTCCCCACTCCAGTCGCAGCCAGACCCTGAGAAGCCTTCGTGTCTGCCATATTGACTGCATTATGTGATGCGCAGGTACTTCTCTACTGAAACGGTCAGAGTGAAATTACATTAAGTCATTCACAAGGCTTACCTCTTGTGGCTTACCACCATGATATAGTAAGTATGCCTTGTATGCCATCTCATCTACGAAGTACTGCCCATCCGCAACCAAGCCCAGGGTCTGCACTATCTTTGGATATGATACGTCTTTTGAGATGGAAGTTGGCATCGATAGCTACAAAGAGAGCATATAATCATCTAAAGGGTTGTGAAGCATGAGCAAAAAATCTATGTATGAGCGTGATACATACCTCTTGTCATTTGGAATGTCTTTCCAGTTGTTTGGAAGGTTTTTGAGAGGTTGAGGGCATGCGGGGCATAGAATGGCACATTCGCCACTTTGTGTATTAGCCACACCAGCTGGATCGTGTCCACAGCCTGCTTGCTTGAGCATCTTGAGGTGACACCATTCACGGACCATCTGTAAGAATGCCTCATAACGATTCTGACAAAACGGGTGATGTAATGTACTAGTAGGGTATCGGATAACTCACCTTTTGAGGATGAAGTCCTGTATTATCCATCAGATGTGCAATCGAGTGATAAAATTCGTATCCAGAAGCCTTCGACTCAAATGATAAAAGGTGGTATTGCTCAAGGATGCGGAAGGTTGCTGCTGTACGTGGACTAACGGTTGTAGCTGGAAACCAAGCAGCACATAGTAATTGCTTGGTGTGTGATTGAGCTGTCTTGCAACCACAGAAATCCAGTCCAATGTTATGAATACCGTTAGTATCAATGAGGGTGAACTCATCGTTGAATGTCCATTTGGATAACAAACAAGAATCTCCTGCAAAATGGCCAAGCTGCACGCGCAGGCCCAGGTCCTTCAGCGACACCGCCGTGAAACAAGAGTTTGCCCATTCCTATCACAAAATTGAAAATGAGTATGCAGTATGTAGTTATAATATCATGTGAATGGACTTACTTGAATGTGATGTACTGGATTTTGAGTGTGTAAGGAGACAATGCAGTCCTTACAGTACAGCTCCGTACCAAAGCAATCAATACACCAAAATCTGAGGGACATTGAGATGGCAGTGCCAGCAAACACTGATACCACCATAATCACCTCTGCCCTCGTGCTGAAGGAACTCAAGTAAGAACATATCCTGATCAACCATCCATGACAAAAGCAGGTGATCCTGAAGAACTGAGTAAGAAAGGCCTATTACTGGGTACAAAGGGAGACTTATGCCAGCTGTGCACTTCCGCTTTGTTTTGTTGGGGGCTTCAAGTTCCGCGTCCTCAATGAGCTCTGCATCATGAACATCGCATACATTACAATCAAGCTGCTCATCACAAACTTCACCGATTGTTGGACCAGCTCCAGTTTGAACCTGAGATTCAGCTTGACTGGAGCTGATAACATGAGAACCGCATGCCTCAAAGCCTTTATTGCGTGATACAAATGTATATGTTTGGTGAACACTGGCAGCATCAGATTCAGAGCTGGGCAGGGTGAACATGTTGAGCTTGACTCGCTTCTGACATTTGACATTTTTGAACGATAAATGTCGGGGAAGCGTACAGATGGTTTGCGTGACCTCTGGGTCATCAGTAAGAGACATAGCACTTACTAAGATTTGACGTAAGATCATATGGTACAAGGTATATACATACTTACAGAGGTATGGCAGCTTTGAAAGGAGCTTATACATGTACACTGGCACACCTGCCAGTGAGTGGCACTGAGTGCGCGTAGTAACACAGACAAGGTATTATTAGTAAGCATGTAATGCATTACGTGCTCAATTCGCTACCTTATAAAATGAGCCTGCCATGCAAGTTAGAATTCATATTCCCATCACCGTGCCTTTCCCTCACATCCACTCTAATCATGATGGAGTCCAAGTCTGAGTCTACGCTGCCGGCCAGTATTCCGAGTCATATCCCCACTACTGTCTTTACCTAATGGAGTCCAAGTCTGAGTTGAGTCCTGCAACACACTTGGAAGAATCTCCAGATCCCGCCTATTGCCTCTGTGAGGTTTGCATGATTCCATTGTGTGACACTTTCTCTCAAACCTCCCGGCTCCTATTGAGCAAAGTTGATAATGAAGGCGGTCATATATCTTCGACACTACTAGCTGGCCCAGGAGTGCAGCCTCATACACAGTGTGAGTAGCTATCCAAATGTCTCTGGAGAAACTGATCCCCCACTAGGTGACAGTGGTCCTACATCCTCTATCATGCAGGCCACACCATTCACACTTGGTTTATCCACTACACTTACAAGTCTTACCAGCGCACCTTTTCGGTTACCTGAAGTTTTGCCTCTCAGCATCACACCCTATGCCACTGCAGAGGCAGACTCAGATACCAGATGGGTACATCAGGGCGAGGCTATTTACAAGGAGATTGTCGATGCAATTGCCAATGATTGCTTCATATACTTATATAATGGGATGCTCTACAACATGCCTGCAGTGCCCGGGGAATCTGGTCCCTATTACTGTGTCACCCATGGACAATACATTGGTGTGTTCAATACTTGGTAAGGCAATTCTGCCTGACATTGCACATGGCCACTGATAAATTATATCTAGGAATGAGGTCATGGAAAATATCAAAGGTTTCAGTGATGTGGCATATGCAGTTACTTCCCTTGCCATTGGAGAAGCACTTCTTCACACTGCAATTAGGAAGGGTGAAGTACGCAAGTGTCGAGTATGAATTGAGCACATGTTGCACTGCATTTACTATCCTTTAAGTTTTAGTTTTGTCAGTCAGCACTCATGAGGTCATCCAACCGCTCAAGCAAAAGGAGAATGCAAAATGTTATTGCTAGCCAATAAGATATGTCTGTACACTACGTCAGCGCTGTTGGTTCTTTTCCCCTTATTCAATCTTGCAATAATGTTTGAATGTACCATGAACATCATTCTCTTGAATGTGCGGTGTAAAGCTGTCCACATGTGAATGAATCTGTGCGTGAGTCAAGCCTGGAGCATCAGCCCTTGAGATTCGTTTGCAAGGGAAATTGTTTGGGACTTATGGGTCCAGTAGGATTGAAACATGCGTGAGTCAAGCCTGGAGCATTGGCCATTGAGATTTGTTTGCAAGGAGAAACTGTTTGGGACTTACAGGTCCAGTAGGATTGAAACATGCATGAGTCAAGCCTGGAGCGTCAGCCCTTGAGATTCGTTTGCAAGGGGAAACTGTTTGGGACTTACGGGTCAAGCAGGATTGAAAGATGCATGAGTCAAGCCTGGAGCGTCGGCCCTTGAGATTTGTTTGCAAGGAGAAACTGTTTGGGACTTACGGGTCCAGTAGGATTGAAAGATGCATGAGTCAAGCCTGGAGCATCGGCCCTTGAGATTTGTTTGCAAGGGGAAACTGTTTGGAACTTATGGGTCAAGCATGTAAGAACTGAAGTGGCTCTCGCTGTGAGTTCAAAGGGGTGTGGAGACCGCTAGTATGATGCTGAAACTGCTATAAAACTTGATTAGCGTTAATGAATGTTATGCGATAATGAATGTTATGCGATAATGAATGTTATGCGATAATGATCGAGACGAGTGCAAGACAATGAACAATGGATATAGTGATACGATTTAGATAGCGAGTGTGAGACTGAGACTGGGAGACTGGTATGATTGCCTGCAGTAGTGAGTGTACATGGGCTACTTTTATACTGCGAGACATTTAAGGGTCGGGTATAACTATGCCGAATCAATTATGTGACGACGGGCACTGAAGGGAGTGGTGTCCGCACCTGGCAGGGTAGAGTGGACTGAAAGGGAAGGGGATACAAAACGATTGAGTGAGTGGCGATATAAAAGGGTATGGTATAGACATAATGATGAGAATTGCATAGCGGTTTTGACAGATTTGGAGACGGTGAACTGAGAATGGGGTGACGGTGACGAAGAAGGAAAGCTTAGGGTCGCTAATGACGAGAGGAAAGGGAGTTGAGAGGAAGTCGAGGTCCGTGCTGACTGACGTTGATGATGCGCTGATGGTGGTTAAGGTAAGCGTTGAAACAGCTATTTCCGGTGTCAAACGATTGGTAATCCTTACAAGCAGGATTGAAAGATGCATGAATCAAGCCTGGAGCGTCAGCCCTTGAGATTCATTTGCAAGGAGAAACTGTTTGGGACTTACGGGTCAAGCAGGATTGAAAGATGCGTGAGTCAAGCCTGGAGCGTCGGCCCTTGAGATTCATTTGCAAGGGAAACTGTTTGGGACTTACGAGTCCAGCAGGATTGAAAGACAACATCATACACCTGAAACCGTAGTGCCAAGCTTCAGAAAAAGGAGGTCCACCAAAGTAGAGCATGAAAGGGAGCATGCACAAGGTGACAGCGCGAATTGGACAGGATCAAACACTCTGTTTGTAGATGGGCCATTGTCTTAATAACCGAGGGTCTTATATGAAAACGTGTAAGAATGTAATGACACCACAATTACACTGGATAAGACTTCTTGCCAGTCCTCGATTAACACGGTCTACAACTTTTCTTCTTTCGTGGTAGATAACGTGTGAGTTCTTGGGAGGCTCGCTAAACCAATCAGTTAGATTAACTTAGCCGGAGCTTTATTATCTCTGATTGAAACTATGGGATTGTCTAGGATATACTGTCTAGACACTTGAACTGGTTTCCTGAATATACAAATAACTGTTAAGAAGCTGGTCTCAAATGTGACTACATTGACCAAAGCTCATGTTGGTCAGTATACAAATACCTGGTGAGAATGCTGGTCTCACAAATAACACCGATGACCAAAGCTCGTGTTGGTCAGCAAAAACTATGTGGTGAGAACACTGGTCTCACATAACTGGGTTTCTATTGCGAGAAACTTACATAATCTCAAGGGAAACACTTTCCCTGCACTTGTCTGGACAGTTCTTACAAAGGAAATGGGCTTTGTAAGCAGCAATTTGTTCAGACTGAAGCTTCTTAGGTGAGGGTTCAATTGGCTCAAGTGGGAGATTCTTGAATGCAACAAGCGGGAGATCTATTTTTTGGGGGAGAATGGGCTCTCCTTATATACATTTTGTGTGGGAATATTATGTAAGTAAAAAGGTGATGTAATGACTTCAGAATGTGAGAAGAATATCCCAAAAACTGGAGCAGAATGTTCTAGCAGGTGCAAAAGAACATTCCAGAATATTCATGGTGGGATAATGACATCATTCTGAGTCACTCTGAGTCATTATGAGCATTATGAGTCGTTGGAATGTTCTAGCAAATTCCATGGAACATTCTGGAATTGATGACATCATATCTTGCAAGAGAATACCTGCAGGAGTGTGTGTGAAGTCCTATGACATCATTATGACATCATACCCTGTAGGTACAATTTTATGAAGCATCTGATTAGTCAGAGCATCCTGATAGAAAAGTAAAGTAAAGAAACACTAGAGAAAACTACTCAGAAATAATGGAACAAATAATAGTACACAATACACGGGCTTTTTAGATAGGTTTTTGTTAGGCTTTGAACTTTTCTCTATGGGTTTCTCTAGCCAAAGTGAGTAAGCCAAAGGAAAGGCAATACCTTAACCTTCAATTTGCTTCTCATATCAACTAGGTCATTATGTGATTCCCATCTCACATATGACTTTTCTTCAAAAATGTGGTGGATTCATGAATCACTGAGGGAAAACTGAAACTATTGGACCAAGGTTTGATACCAAGGTATGGGTTGACTAGTCTGAGGACTAAGCTAACAGACTTTGTCTTTTAGGGGGATACCTAGTAGTCATGTCCATGCATGATTCCCAAATTATGCAGGACACCGTCATTGAAGAGAGTTGTCGTTTGTGAAGGAAGCTCGTAATAATAATGGAATACTCAGTGAGGTTGTGCAGGTGGATAACAGAAAAGGCTGAGGCAGTTCCTCGTTTGCATGTGAACCTGAGCTCCTGAAAGTAATGTGAGAGTGACTCAGAGGCCACTGATGCAGGTACTATGTCGCACACTTGGCAGCTGCAATTTGAATCATGATTTGACCAGCCTGAGTCTGTTCTTTCTTTGGTTCCTCCAGCACATTGACAAGACTCATGTGCCCCAATAATGTGGTGCAAACAGCAAGGACAATGCTGATGCCATGTAAGATGATACAATGAACAACATTTCAACGAGTATGGTAAGTTTCAGCCAAATTAATGCTTCGGGATAGTAGTTCTAATTACAGTGTCTGTATTACAGACTTAGACTGACTCAGACTCCAGTGTGACTTTGATCGAGTGGTGTTCATCATGAGTATGTACCATCTATCTACACTTTCAAATGGATCATTGAACACAACTGTTAGCAAAGCCAGATTTTCAACATTGGCACTGCCGCGGCTGGTGCAGCAAAGGTAAGTATCATCAATATATATTCGTCTCGTTCACACTTGCTTCTCAAAGGGCCATCACTGATGTGATTCAAACATGTCTCGATCCATATCGTGCATCTCTACACATCTCCTGAAATGCTCTCTCATTAAAATGTCCATCAGCACCAACTTAATCTGTCTCCATCCATATCATGTGTCTCTACACATTTCCTGAAATGCTCTCTCATTAAAACGTCCATCAGCACCAACCTAATCTGTCTCAATCCATATCGTGCATCTCTACACATCTCCTGAAATGCTCTCTCACTAGTGCTGCATGGGTTCCGAGTCACTACAATATCGTCACAATCATCAATTCTGGTAGTGAGCTCCTCTCACACTAATATTATGTTGATGAGCTAATTTCCTACTCAAGTTTGTAAAAGAGTCAGTCAAGCTTAAGAGGATGAAAACTGGCCTGCAGTCACGTTCAAGGACTACACCGCTGTGAGGATTGCGACCCTGATTATCTGAGCTACCTAGTGCTGCATGGGTTCCAGGTCACCGCAATATCATCACAATCATCAATTCCGGTGTGGGAAACACAACAAGAAGAGAACTCTGTAAAGTACTCTTCAAATGTTGGGTCAAAATTGCTATGCCTAGCTGCTATTCGACCCTAAAGGATTTCTTTACTAGACTCAGAGCTCAGAGAGTAGAATTATTATCAAGCAAAAGACTGGCATTCAGACTGGTACTGACACTGGTGAAAGGGAGACATGATTATTTAAGCAGTAAAAATGCGAACATAAACTAAGGAAAGTGGGTAAGTGAAGGTAAGTAAAAAGGGGGAATATCAGCCCAGGGAAAACTATATTGTCACACAGGTAGTGAGCTCCTCTTACACTAATATTATGTTGACGAGCTAATTTCCTACTCAAGTTTGTAAAAGAGTCAGTCAAGCTTAAGAGGATGAAAACCGGCCTGCAGTCACATTCAAGGACTGACTCGTGTAGAATCAGTGGTATACTGCTGTGAGGATTGCGACCCTGATTATCTGAGCCACCTAGTGCTGCATGGGTTCCGAGTCACCGCAATATTGTCACAATCATCAATTCCAGTAGCGAGCTCCTCGTTCTCCAGCCCCAAGCCCCCACCAGGCTGGGGTGCTGGACTTCCCTTTCATTCTATGACCACTACATGCTGGATACAAAGGGCTCACTATATTTACAGCTTCAATTCTAGGCTCAGTTTATATCTATCTACATATTGTAAGAACAGAGTGATTTCTCTCTCCGACCAATGCTAAGTGACTGATTCGATTTCAAAAGGAAATCCAGTCATTGGACAGTGGCCAGGCACTATACACGACATTCAATGGCTCACAAGGACAGACTGACGTGCTG